GTTTGTAATTTTCGGGAACCTCAATACCGCGACGTGTGTCTGGAATGGCCGGTGCAACATTTTCCTTTCTACGAACTCGATTGACCATTTTTGCCATCGCCATAGAACTTGAAATTCGCCCTAGAGTTGCAGCTGAAGCATTTTGGAGTACCTCTGTTCTTATTTGGGATGGAGTTTCCATTGTAGAAGCTGCACGGTGTTTCACATTTGTTTGAACTTTAAGCACTTCAATTCGCGCAGCATCACCGGTAGCACAACACGTGTGATTTCTTCGCAAACAGTTGAATGTTCCATCGACACTATTGGTCCAGATTCTTCCACGACAACCACTATACTTTCTATCACATCTCCAAAAAATCGTTGCCCCATCTATGCTATCTTTGTCTTTTACGTAGACAAAGCCTTCGTGCACAAACTTGTTAGTACCTCTTTGCGATTTGACATTATTTTGGTTCATTTTAGAACATGTATTTCTAAGAAAATGAAAAACGGTAATAACTCAAAATTAAATCAGAGCCCACAGGTTGATAAATTTGCAGGTATCTGGAGGGGAGCTACCCGTACTTAAACAAAGAGAGTAGTAAATTTATATTCAATTATTATCTTAGTAATTAACAATTAATCATTGAAATACACAGGTATCATATACAAAGGGGGCTATTGTTAATCTAATAGGTACTTTTCTTTCATTAAAGCCAAGTACCTAGATTAACGTTAACTACCTTTATGCTAACTTGATCATTTATCATATTATATCAATTAGATGGAAATGCGTTAATAAAAGAATTACGGTTAATGTGCATTAATAGTCAATTATCATCTTAGTAATTAAAAAAATATTAATTGAAATACACAGATCTTATATACAAAGGTAGGTAATGTTACTCTAATAGGTACTAGCTAGATTAACGTTACAGGGTGTAATTTAAAAAACGCCGCAAGCTGTAGTTTCTACAATTTTAGTCCGATTTGAATGAATCAAAAACTATGTTTAATGAATACTAAAATACTACAAAATAACCATAATTAAAACGTTTTAAATTCTTATCTTAAGGGCGTACTCATAGTCAATTTTTTTTTTAAATGGCGTGATCTTGTTTTTTTAGGTGAATGCGATAGAATTTTTTTGCTGAATTCAATGATAATTTGCATTGTTACATTAGCCGGAATTTTTTTGCAAAAAAATTAAAGAAAAATAATTTTTTTAATTTTTTAGCATGCTATGGAAACAACTGTCAAACATTGGTATCATGATCAAGCATTTTGTTTGTATGTATGTATGTCCTGAAGGTTTTCATTCCAAATTTATTATACTCGTATTACATAAATTAGATGGAAATGCATTAATAAAAGAATTGCGGTGAATGTGCATTTATTAAAATCGCCTAATATTTTTTGGATGCATTTTAATATATTCCCTATTTCGTCCAGTTGTCCATCGCCGGGTTGGGCCGTCGCCCAGTTGGGTTTCGCCGGGAAGGCTGTCGCCCGGTCGTCCATCGCCGGGTCGACCTCGCCGGGTTGGCGGTGGCCGCCTCTACTTTGCCTGAGCTTACCGGTTACAAGGTTGTTACTTTTGCCTAAAGTGAACGTAACAATATGAAAACTAATAGGGAATTAGAACAATTAGAAATTAACAAACGCGGTTAGAAATGCAATTTTAATTCAGATGTAAATAAAGTAAGATAATAATACTCCTTTACGTGTGTATATTCAGGATGAGGTAACTGTAATTAAAATAAGAGCGAGTTAAAGACGTCTGTTGTTCCCGAATGTTGAATGATAAAAAACTTGGGTAAATATTTGAAAAACTCCTCGTTGTAAGGGGAACCCGTAAATATGAGTGTAAATAGTGGGAAGGCAGCATTGATTAGACGATTGCACGTAGTATCAAATCTGCGCTAGTTATATTCGCAGAACGCGCCGAGCAACCTTAAACCATAATCTGTCCATTGGGTGGATTCCGGGGAAAGAAATTAAGGCAAGAGCGAGTCATAGTCTACAGCAAGTTATTTTCGCGCTGCGGACGATTTTCGCGGCCTTTCCAAGAAAGAAAACTAAGTTTATATTTTCGACGCCCTCTTACCGTGGGGTAGAACAATTAACAGTGAAGGTATATATGAGCAACTAAACCTAAGAGATTACAAGACACACAAGTAGGTAGGTGTTGGCACGGTGATCCGCAGGTAGAGCAAGACCGTGAAGATGGGAATTGATGGACTAGAGTCAAACGACTAGTCCCAGTCGCTTGTAGAAGGGTAGTGAATGACTTACCCAACTCCAGGGTCTTCTGGGCGTTTGAGTTTCCGTATTTATTCCCTGGTGATCCTTTTGTTGCGAAAGTTTGGCCAATAGTGGGTTGGGTGGATCGAGTGGGTTACCAGTTCCGGGGTTGCGACGGCCGGATGTATTCGCGGGAGTAGGAGGCCTAAACAGCGAAATCGTTAAAATTTGGATAACGGGCGATCAAAATTGAGTTGCTCTCGACGAAATTTTATATACTCGGGAATCTAAACATGACAATAACGAAACCAAACTAGTCATTGAAAATGTTGTAATAATCCTAGCGGTCCCCCAAGCCGACACCGAAAATGTTGACTTATCCTATACTTATAGTTCGCAACATAGAGGAACAATTACAAGAATAAGCGACATCTAACATTCGTTGTCAAAAATGTCGTACTTTTCGCGCCACTTTCTAATCTCGGTACGGTTCGGCTGAGACGAAGAGGCACGAATGAGACTCCTACGTTGTGTATTCAATTTTTTTATGTGTTGGGACGTGAGACATAGACGAGAATTAAATAGAACGGAGAATTTTGTGCGTAAGAAAAGACAACACACATACCAAGGGAAACAAAAAAACACAACAAATGAGACATCATAAATGCAAGTGCAAAACATGATAAAGTTTAGAGAGCCCCTTAATTGCTAAGATGCTAATGGCCGTTTGCACCGACAAATTTAAGCGGAGCTTAGCTTAAGCGTAGCTTAAAATCCATGGCAACGATTATTGAGACAATGGGTGCCATGGATTTTAAGCTACGCTTAAGCTAAGCTCGGTTTAAATTTGTCGGTGCAAACGGGCATAAGAGCTCCAATCACGAGACGAGCGGCCTCAGATTCAGCGAAGAATCGGACTGTATCCACGGAGACAGCTTTCTCGCATTGCTAGACCCAACTCCTGCACAAGATGAAAAAGAGACATATAGGTACACCGACAAATCGACATTTTCGTTATGAAAATCTACTAGTCTTCGACATCTGCGAAAAACGGTCGAAATCGAAAACGTGGCACGATTGATGCATACAGAGGGTATCGTACTTATTAAGAAATTTTATTGGTTAAAATTCTAATTAAATCTAATCAAGTTTCTTAATTACCTAGATCAGTCACGTCAACTGAAGTTGAACTGTCGTGGTACAACCATATACTAAAAAAATTCACATATTTCGCCATCCATGCAACCATCGAAGACATTGGAAATGGCAGTCGTATATTGCCATATGTAAAACACAACTAACTTTTATTCAATCGGATTACTTGCTCCACTCGCTCGCTAACACAACCATTGTGCACTATAAATAAAATGAATAAAATAAATAAAATAAATAAAATAAATAAAATAAATAAAATAAATAAAATAAATAAAATAAATAAAATAAATAAAATAAATAAAATAAATAAAATAAATAAAATAAATAAAATAAATAAAATAAATAAAATAAATAAAATAAATAAAATAAATAAAATAAATAAAATAAAAAAAATAAATAAAATAAATAAAATAAATAAAATAAATAAAATAAATAAAATAAATAAAATAAATAAAATAAATAAAATAAATAAAATAAATAAAATAAATAAAATAAATAAAATAAATAAAATAAATAAATAAATAAAATAAATAAAATAAATAAAATAAATAAAATAAATAAAATAAATAAAATAAATAAAATAAATAAAATAAATAAAATAAATAAAATAAAAATAAAATCACGGTCGAGTACGCCACAATCGTCACTTGGTGCGACACCGTTGTCTGTTATGCTTAAACGCAACTCGTAACTTTGTACCCATATAAGTGACTATCTGAAACCATAAAAATTTTCATTGTTAAAAACCACTAGTCTACAATATATTGTACTACCATAAAACAGCATTTTATTTACAGTCACCCGCTAAATAACTTATGATTCAGACATGTTTTCCGGTTTATTCAAAATATCAACCTCAAGATTTGAAGTCAGCAAAATGGCCGGTGAGCGGCGTTTTAAAATTAATAGAAGATCAGCGAACAAATCAGGCGAAAGTTTATCGCCCTTGTGACGTTCAACAACCAACTGGAACAATGAACGTCGATATTTTTGGAAAAAATATAACCTTCCTGGAATCTTAGTGGCCCCGATTCCTATTGTTACACAATTTGAAATGTTTTGTGGATTTTCTTTTACTTTTGTTGTCTTTGTTAATTTAGTTCGTGAATTTGTGTCTATGGCTATGGCAGGGTTTTTGTCCCGAAGAAGGTTTCCCTGACATTGCCTGGTTGTGTGCGTAATCGCTTCTCGACTTCTGCTGCTAAGTACTAAAGGCGTTGTTATTATGACAAAAACAACTAAAATAATTTTTTCCCTCTAAGTCGAAATAATAATGTCCGCTTTGTTAGTAAAACATCGCGACATAGGCACCTGTTACAAATAGTGGTCAATAAAAGTCGTTGTATGACTGCCTACATGTTTATATCCTTTTCCATCAATTGCAGGATGCCATGTAAACATACTTAGTGATGACGTCATAATACACAGAACACGTGCGCGCAAACACTCGTACCCTTTTTTCTTGGCAGTTTGTACATTTTGGTTTTGAAAAAAAAAAATTACCAAAATTTCCAGGTTTTCAAAATAAATGAACCTTTCGGACATCATGACGTTTTCTTTGAGTTTCCTCCCTACAAAACACCAAAACCACCTGACGTGTTTCCCTTTTGAGAAATCAGTCGTGACAAAGTGAAAGTATAAATTTAATTGAAGGAACAAAAGAACACAAAATCTCTTAACAGAATACAAATAGTTTTCCTAAAATCTAATAGATGTCATACTATACGGCTGGCCTTAGTGGGGATACTTAGTTAAATCCACAGTTAGAACCTGGCTAACGAGACATTCCGCTGGCTGAAACAAATAGTCGATTTATTGTAGCACGGCGTTAAACTTACAGTTGGGCAGATTCCGATCAAAGCATCGGCGTGCGAGTAAAACTCCTCCTTAAGCGATATCACTATAGTCTGCAAGGATTCGGTCTTCTCCCTGATATACTTGGCGACTTTACCGATGTTTGTATTATCGAGGGCGGCGTCGACCTCGTCCAGTACGAAAAACGGCGCAGGTTGGTAGCTGTGAATGGCGAAAAGTAGCGCCAGCGCCGCCACTGTCTTTTCCCCGCCCGACAGATTCGACATCGGCTGAAAACGTTTGCCCGGCGCGACGCAGTTGTAGTTGATACCGTCCAGGTAAGGCTCCTCCGGATTTTCGGCGCCCAAGAACGCCTGCGCCGAGTTGTTTTGCGCCAAGGATTTGTAGATGGCGTCGATGTCGTTGGATACGTGATCGAAGCACTTTGTAAACAGATCGTATCGCTGTTGCTTGATACGCTCGAACGCTTGCTTCGCTTTCTTGTTCTGCTTACGTAGCGACTCGAATTCTTCGTTTGTCGACTGCAGCTTACCTTGAGCTTGCTCCAGTTTTTGTAGGGCCTGCAAGTTATCAGTTAAGGGCGTGTAGGAATAGACAGTTGGGTTACCCTCATGTTAGGAGCTTGTATTTTCGTTAAGGTATCCTGTAAGCTTTTAATCGAGTTGTTTAGTTTGTCCGCCATTTTCTTAATTTCGTCTTTTTCTTCTAGGTCTTTTAAGTTGTCAGACAGTAGATTATAATCGATTTGGATTCTGAAAGAGTTACTTTGAGAACTAATCGAGCGCGCTGGCACTCACCTTGCTTCCCTTTCGAATTGTTGACTGGTGCTGTTAGTCTCGGTGGAGGAGGAGGATTGCGAAGGATCTTGCTGAACGATATCCTCCATATTGCCCGCAATCATGGGAATTGCAACATCATCCATCTTGCACTGCATTAAAATATTGTGCCTCTCGTTTTTCTTGCTCTCAATCTTTCCTTCGAGTGAGACGACCTGCTTTTGTGCGCCCTGTATATCTTTGGCGATCGCCCCCACCTCGCGACGCGTCTTTCCGACCTCGTCCTCCATGGCGTCGCACTCCTTCTTCTTCGTCAGCCGTTCCGCCTTCAGCTGCTCCACCTGACGCAAATCCTTGTCGATCTCCTCGCGCTGCTTCACCTCCTGCTTCTTGCACGACTCGAGCTTCTCCTCCTCGTCATTGACGGTCCTCTCCCATCGGCTCACGTTGCTCTGCGTGTCGCGGCTGCGCTCGAACTCCAAATTGCTCGAGATGCGATTGATCTGCTTCTGAAACTCGAGACGCTTCTGCTTCCGCTCCTCCTGCGCGCGAAGCTCTCGGTCCTCGTACTGGCGAATATTGCGGACGCCGATCTCTTGGCAGAACTGCGAAAACACGACGTCCTCGACGCTGTTCATCTTCAGCTTGATCTCCTCGATTTGCTGTTCGCGAGTCTGCATGCTTCGTTCTATTTCGGTAATGTTCGGCTAAACAAAAGACATTATTATTGCAATAGTACGCACTAACTGAGCCTCTAGACTCTGAGCGACCTCCAAAGTATAATAAGACTCTTTTCAACACAACAATTATTTATTTAATGATGCGTAATTTAGTTTAAACAACCGTCTTTTAATTTGTTTATTTTATTCATTCAGATAGGTTTGCGTGTAATGTAAATGTAAAAGTTTATCTGTTGTTACCTCCGGTCGTTGCGATAAGACGTTGCGTTATCGCAGTCAATGAAGTGTAGATAAGCATGTCTTTCGCCGTTAGACATGTGTGCAGTTTATCGTGTGACGACGCTTTAACTTGTTAAGGGTGTATTCCACTTAAATTTTAATTCTATTTGACGTATGATGGGTTGCATAATATGAAATGGTAATGAATAAACAAAGATTGAAGAATTTACCTGCCGAACCATTGTATAAAGTAAACAAGTTTTTTTAACCCTATCTGGAAAATAACGCATGTAAGCAAATAAGTACCTATAAATTAGATATCTTTAAAAAATGTACATTTTTTTACTAATATTCTAGATGTGTTACAAAAAATCGTCTAATTCGGGAACAACACAAAATAAATGAGAACTAACGCTTTTTACGCAAATTATATTTCTTTCCGAAGGATGCTACATGGGAATAATCTCAAAATTTTATCACACTAAAATTTTAGGGGTGTTACGAAAAACGTCAGAAAAGACGCAAACTTTTAATTCACCCAAAAATAAATTACATTTTCCGTGTGAATTCTATTACCCAGTATATTATGGAATTATAATACGTTCTAATGAATCCGGTTTCTTTTGGTAAATTCGAGGGTAAATTAGTCCCGATAAACGCAACAATGCCGCTAATGAAGTCAGGCCTGCCGTATGATGTGTTGCCTACTGTACATTTATAAATGGTGAATGACTCCACTAAACGCTACAAGTTTTCGTAAAAAATTTCGAATGAATATTTCGTCTAAAATTTTTTGTAATTTATGTGAAAGGTTGGTCGATGGCACTATGGTTTGCTAATGTTTTTTCTGAGTATGCTACAGGGAGATTTTTAAAATAATTTGTGTTGACGCCATTTTGCCTATAAAAATTCACTTTTTATTGGCAGTGCTCTAAAAAATTGTTTTTTCTTAAATATTAAAATTTTGGTCTGTAGCATACTTTTTAAATGTATAATTTACACGAAAAAAATTAGCTCCGTCTTTCGTCTCATGTTTTACAGAATTGAGACGAAATATAAATCGCACTATTTTCGCATAAATGTTGTACTACTGGATTACACCCTTAAGGAAGGGGACTACGTGAAACTTAATCAGTCTAGAAAACAAATCGTCAGCCTGTTGATTGGAGTTGGGGAGGGTTTAGAACATTCATTCGAAAATATTGGCATCTATAGAGATAAACCAACCTGCAGACTGTGCGAACGTGAATGTCCCGCATTGGATATGAGAAACAATTGCTTTAATTTAATTTATGCTTATTCAAGGAAGATTCCCCGTTTGGACAGCAATAGGGATTTGAAGCTTTAAAAAAATGTTGTGAGGTGTGAAGCCAGTAAATTTTGAGTCTCTTGTTAATTTAGGCAAGCCGAGGCAATTTAGTTATTCTGACTATTGGAAGTCATTTTCGGTCATTTATTTTGAATTAAAACTGCGTGATATTTCGTACTTTTGTGTGGACAACCAAATACTTACACCAAATTCATTCATCTCTTTTGAAAGGCGACTCAACTCGGCATCGACGACCTTAATTTGCTTTGTCTGCAACAAACTGGCATTAATTACCGCTACAAAAACACCAAAAAGACAAAACTTACAGTGCTTTCCATGTCCGTCTTAGCGTAACGTAATCTCGTCTCCAGCCCGCGTATTTGCGAGTCGACCGTATTTAACTCGGACTCCTTCCGCGACTTCTTCATCGCCTCACGTAACTCCTCGGTGAGTTTCTCCTACGACAAGTTGTAAAATACACGCGCGTCAAAATCGGCGTACCTTTTGAGCTTTCAGTTGTGACATGTGCTTCTCGTCCCAACGTTTAGCCTTCCTTGCCAGATCTAAACTACCGCCAGAAATAATACCCGATTTCTGATAAAACGTCCCATCTAACGCGACGGCCTAAAAAACTGGTTGAGAACACCCCCTTGCTTTTATTAACAACTTACATCGTAGCGACCGCCGAGCTCGTATGCAACTTTCATGGCGTCTTCGGGAGTTTCGCATACCAAAGCGTTATTGGTCGCGAACATAACCGCTCGAGATATCGCTTGGGGCTCAAAGTAAAGTACATCATATAAAAGCTTGACGCCTTTTGGCTCTGTTATATTCCGCAATCGATCTTTTAACGGTTTAGCTTGTAAATAATCTAACGGTAGAAACGTTTCGGGCTCGAGCATTTGCTCTTTTAAATACTTGATGCACTGACGCCCAGTATGTTCGGTATCGACGACGATCGCCTCCATGTACTTACCCAACACTTTGGTAATCGCCACATTGTAACGTTTGTGAGACGGTTGGCACATGTTTATCATTCTGTCGTACTGAAGATTGAATGAGAACCGACGCAAGGTGGCGCCACAGTCTACTTACCACTCCGGGATAATTACTCTTGAAACGCTCGACGATCTCCTGCTTCTTTTTACGGCGCGCGTCCTCGTGCTTATCCGTACGGGCGTCCCCCAACTGCTCGAGTACGTCGTCGAGTTGCTTCTGTACCTCCTGCACGCGATACTTTGAGGAACCGACGTCGGATTGCAGATCTTCCCGCAGGCGCTGCTGTTCCAGCAACGCTTGTTCACTTGTGCTAATTTTACAAAACGACAGAAAATGGGTAAAAGAATGTAAGTAAACAAGTTGTAAAGTATTCCAATTTTTTTTTTCCATTACACGCAAATCCGTCGTGATCGGCTATTCATTTGAAAATTGTTAAAGGAGATTATTTTATGGTGGAAGTAGTGTTTCCTTAAATACTGGAGACAACAAAAATACGATGCTGCTAGTTTCGCGACGGTTGAAGGAACGCCTTGTATCGCAGACCTTGTACGACTAGATTATTTAGATTATTAACAAAAACTGCAAGTAATTTTAAGGTTTCTTACTTTATGTCAACCGCCTGCGTGCGGGGTAATGTCCAAAACGAGCTTTGTAATCTTTTCTTTCTTTCAGGGATTTTGTTTTAATTTTTTTTAGTCAATTGTGTGTTTATTCGAATCCATTGTGCAACCCGGATAAACTTTTAACGTTGATAATAAGAGAACTTTGACAGAAAGCATCATGGTACAGTACGGTGTAGTAGATAACATCTTTTTAAATAAACGGATTATACCTTCCCCATGAAATTTATTAATAGTTATATATAATCTTATAAAAACACGACCAGTTTCGACGTTTCAGTCATCTTCATGTGAAAAATAAAAGGATCGGTTGTAGCTTACAATCAGTGGTTAAAAATTTCGGTAATAGAATAATTTAAATTTGAAAATACTTGATAAAGTGGTAAAGAACAAGTAAAATTTATTTATAAATAAAAATTTAAAAAAAAATCAAATAAAATAAATTAAATAAATTTTACTTGAGTACATGAAGATTACCACTTTATCAATACATAGGTACTCAAAATGGAACAATTCATAGAAAAAAAATTGAAAATACTTGTATCGATAGAAAATAAACAGGTCGGGACGGAGTTTTATGTTTTTAACATCGTAATTAAAAGCAAATTAAGGGTAGGTTGGTGGGAACCGCACGATTAATGTAGAAACCATTACTGCACACGAGGGTCCCATGGGGGGTATAATAATAATGATAATCAATAAAGGCCCTAGAGCTACTCGCGTGTTCTACCTACCGAATATGCTCCGCTAATTTCTCAATGCGCTTCTCCATTTCCTCCTTTTCATGCCCCTTCTGTTGGTGCTTATTTTCCGACTCGGTTCGCAAGCGATAAACGTTATCCAACCGATCCTGATCGGATTTTTGCTCTCTGTTCACCGAATCCAAATCCTGCATATACCTCGCAGACCTTTTCGCCGCCTCCTCCTTTAAGTGATGATACTCGCGCACCTGCTCGTCCTCGAGGTGAACGTCACGTCCCTGACTCTGCGACTCGCCGGCGATGGTCACCTCGTATTCGTCCTTCGAACGTTCAACCTCCGCCAACTCCTCCTCGAGTTTGCTTATGTCGTTATTATGAGCCTCGTTCGCCTTACGTGCCTGCTCGAGCGTCTTAACGGCCCCATCGAGCTTCTTCTGCATGTGAGATACCCGCTCCTTCGCCTTAATAAACTGCGGCCGCTTCTTTGATATCTCCACTTCCTAAAACTCGATGCTTAACCGCTCGCCGGCGTGCAAATTAACAACTTACCACTTCGCGAATGTCCTGCTCTATCTTGGCCAGCTCGCGGCTGTGCTTCCCCTGTTCCTTTTTCTTCTCCTTGAGCACCTCCTCGGCTTTCTCCTTCTTTCGTTCGATCTTGTCCACCTCCCTGTGTTTCGATTTGAGATCGCCCTCTAGATTTTTCATCTCGCGCTCGTTGTGAAACAACCGAAACAGCTGATGCTCGACGAGCTTGTCGTTCTAAAACAAGTCTCCGTATCGACTGAACAAATTTCGGGACACTTACGAGATCCTCCTTCAATCGTGCGTACTTATCAGCCTCCTCCTTCTCCAACCGTGCCTCTTTACGCTCGGCATTAATACCTTTCTTCTTCTGATAGGCGAAGTTAATATCCTCCTGCGCCTTTTGCATCTGCACCTTGAGCCGTTCATACTCCTCGCGCAACGCCCCCGAACTAAAAAGACAATGCGGGTACAGAGACATCGTGCAACGAAGCCTACCCGCTGATCTCCTCGAACAGTGCGGTCATTTCCTTGGGATTTTTCATCGCGACCGACTCGACAGCGCCTTGAAACACCAGGAAGTTTTTCGCCTTAACGTTTATGCGTAACTTTTCAAGCTCGCCGAGGTACTCTTGGTTCGAGACGACGTTGTTGTTAATACGATACTCGGAGGAAGATCCTTGGACCGAACGCTGAAAACTGATCTCTTTACCTTCGTCCTCGTCCAAAATGAAAACTGCAGTAACCGACGCGCTACGGACAAAGATTTAAACCGCTCTTAACTAGCGTGACGGTTGACTAACCTTCGTGAAACCGGCCGGTTAATCGCCGCCCCGTGAATTAAGTCGCCCAGTCGTCTCACGCGGAGGCTCTGTGTGCGTTCCCCCATAACGAAACTGATGGCGTCCATAAAATTTGATTTGCCTACAATTTGGGAGATTTGCGTAACAGGCGGATAGCAAAGGACACTTACCTGAGCCATTGGGGCCGATGACGGCGTTGAAAGGTTGAAGGGGTCCGATAACGCGTCGGCCTCGATACGATTTGAAGTTTTCAACCTCGATGTGTTTTAAGCGAGGGGGCATCTTGTTTGTTATTTCTTTTAACTTAAATATCTAATAATTTTATTTGAAGAAAGCTTGTGTACATTTCTGTATACCAACCAGAGACATGGAGAGAGTGTCTCTGATACCAACATAACCCGCTATTGATGTCAGAGGTACCAACGGAATTCAATAAATTAACCAAAACGCAGTGTTTGAATCTTATACCAACCTTAGAAACTTGTGATTAAAGTGCATAAATGTTGTACCGGGTGATCCAAAATAACTGCCAATGTTTAGAAGGTGGTTTATGCAGTAATCGTTTTTTATATGAATTTTTATTTTGTTGTCTGTAACGCGATCCATGTTTTTTAACAAACAGTTCTTTTCAAAGTTTCTGGCAAGTGCAACAAAAGTACATACATTAAGAGAAAATACTTTATAAGGATATGAATACTGATTTATTCATTTTAAAGGGACACTATCAAGTACAACGTGCAACACGTTGTAATGTTCTTAACTCCCAGGTTCTGCGTTAACTTCACACTACAAAAACGCGGAAATAAAGTCAACCCGGCAACGTTTAAAAATGGCCACCAGAATGACTAATCCCTCCAAAACCAAACAAGATCCCGCTTAAATTTGAGAAGTAGCACGTGATCAAACATCTAAGGCAGGCCCCCCTTACATTGGTTGTAAACAACGCTATGACCTGAAGCACAGTAGGGAAGGAACGTAAAATAAATAAATGAAATTGTGAAAAGTTTGTTTAATAATGATCATATTCATAGTGATGTGGATTGTAACAAGTGTTTTTATTTTCAAACACTCACAAAATTCAAAAAGGTTTATACAATATTGAAAAAAAAACATAAATGACAGGTAATTTTACAAAAATATTTGTAAATTACATAAAAAAACATAAATTACTTGTAATTTTACTGTACAATTACGGTTTTTTTTTTAAATGGTAAGTTACATTAATTACATAAAATACATAAAAAACATAAACAATTGGTAATTTTACAAGTAATATTACGCACTTTAAAAAACGTGTAATTTAAAATCACTAGTTTCTAGTCTATAACTTTTGATTGAGAAGTCTGATCGAAAAAGTACGAATTGATTTGGATTCTACGCACCCAAATTAATAAGAAAAAGTGTTTTCCCGAGAAATTTTGTTGTAGTCGATTTTTGGTAAAAAAAGGAAAGTTTATACACTGCCTTTTTTTGAGCCACGAAAAAAAAATTGTCTCAGATCGACTCGAAAAAAAAATTTCTTATAGAATGTGACCTGTAGAATCCATAATTTCGAACAGTTCTAAGATTGGGCTACTAGTTCAAAAGTTACAGCCCTTTGAATTTTTTTTCAAAATTGGTTTCTAGTCTATAACTAAAAAGTACGAAATGATTTGGATTCTACGCACCCAAATTAATAAGAAAAAGTGTTTTCCCGAGAAATTTTGGTGTAGTCGATTTTTGGCAAAAAAGGAACGTTATACACTGCCTTTTTTTGAGCTCCGAAAAAAAAATTGTCTCAGATCGACCCGGAAAATAAATTTTCTTATAAAATGTGGCCTGTAGAATCCATAATTTCAAACAGTTCCAAGATTGGGCTACTAGTTCAAAGGTTACAGCCCTTTGAATTTTTTTTCGAAATTGATTTCTAATATTCATAATTATTAAAATTGTGAAAACCCGGAAATTTAGTTGATGTACATTAATATAAGCAAAACCAAAAGGTGTCGTACTCGCGCAAAAGTAACTGCTAAGGGTAAAAAAGTACGACGTAAATAACCTCGCGGTTTGATTAATACAGTCCAAAAGTTAGTTAACAAAATAGTTTGTAAAATTTGTAAAAGTTTAAGTATTAGGTAACAAAGATAGTAAATGCATATACACAATGTTGGTTACACTCAAGCTTAAAAACAAATTTTGGGAACAAAGGGTCAGGTAAAAGCAGATACCTGAGTTCTGAGAAAGGGTTAAGACTTAGGAGTACACTCATCTCTGGTGTAATAAAGTCTTTTGTTAAAAACAAGATGGAAAATTACATGGCCTTGTAGGCAAATTCAACTAAAGACGAAACATGTGGAAATTACGAATCGTAACTCATTTGTCGCACAGATTCTAAACCGAAGAGTTTTGATTAGCATAATCTCACCCCCGCAAGATAGGTAGCGTCGCCCCTGGTTCGGGGTTTCGAGCCTACAGTTGAAAGTCAAAGACAATAACGGAATTAGGTTTCGTAGCTCAATTTTTACTACAGTTTTTACCACCCCCGTGACTGCTTCATTCACGGAGAAAAATGTTAGTAACAAACAACAACTCAGTGCATACATCAAACGAATCGGTAATTTCAACACATTAAAATAAAATGATCAAAACTTATATGAATGTTACTTCAGGGACAAGACCAAGTAATCAACACATAAACATAAATTAAGCACGCATTACACCAAAAACGTAAACTATTACAAACAAAAAGGATAAGGGTATTAAACATGTCATTCTGCATTGCGGTTAAACCAAGTAAATTTCAAAAACAAAGATTGAAACACACAAAAAATATAAAATGCGGCATACAAAACACAAATACGATATAAAGAAATGCAAAAATTACTACCTGCATTAAATAACACAAAATAACAATAAACATTTATGGAGCGATGCGTTCACGACCACCATTCAAGACAAGATGCTCAACGTAACAAATTTTCGTGCTCTCCAGATGGCGCAAATCGCTTTCCCCTCGTCAATGAATAAAGCCCCTCGTAAAAATTGCGCGGTTGCCAACTCTCAAGAATGTGTGCATCGCCGTAAGTTGTATATACAGGGTGGAACCTCTCAACGTTTAGAAGATGCTATTATAATCGACTTGGTTGTGCTTTCTGCAATTCAACGAAGAATATGCTACCTACCATGTTAGTGTCAGTTTACGGCAGGAACGCACGAACGGACGGACTCAAGCGCCACCTGACGAAAATCTCGCGCCTGGACGAGATCGGTGGTATCTGAGGAAAGACGGTTCGGTCAGAGATGTTAAACTACAGGAATTCTGCGGTCCGGTCCAACAAATGGCGGCGGTTACTTCGGTAACCCTAAAACAAGGTTACAGCCCAACCGGCCAGTTTCCTTGAGAAATTAAATGCAGCGGTAGAAAACAAGTTGAAAATGTAAACTAATGACGGTAAAAATTGCTACGGGGGTTCCTTCTGGACTTGAAAATTACCATCGGTTCCGCCCGGCAAGGCAAACCATCTTCTTCTCAGGCTGCTCAATCGATAAAAATAAATGCTCCGGCTAACTCAAATCGGTGGGCTTTTAACTCTTTTGAAACTGCGTAACAAACCTTAACCTGCCGCCTACCAGTCTCCTGCCTCAACTCCTACTCCTCTCTTTCCTTCCCCTCGTTCTTCGTTAAAGACATAGGCACATTGAACCAAATAGATAATATATTTAAATGATATTAGAGATACAAACAAATTACAGGGATCTAGCAGTTCTTCTCTCCTCCTTGTAAAAACAATAGCTTAACAATGACAACTAAACTAAATAAAAAATCCTACCAGGTGAGACTAATTTACTCAAGGGGTGGCCATCCTCTACAGTTTGAAAATTTCAATAACAGGTCATCGGTTTTTTCTCCAGCGTGGGCTGGGACTTATTTAAATAAACACAAAAATTTATCCTACTCTTTGGTAATCGTTCATTGGACTTTAATAAACAATCAAATCAAAATTTTTTTACTATAGCTTAATTACCAAAAAGTGGGATTTTACAGAACGTTACAAATTTAATTAGACTAACCTTTACAACATTTGTACAGCCGATCTTGTGAACTGCTCTTTCCTCTGGTACAGGGTGGATGTGATGAAACCTGACACTTAGGTCTCTGTGACTTCCTAGGGGGTGGCTTGAAATTAACACACGGAAACAAAATCCACGGTGCCTATCCTTCCTCGGAACGAAAGCAAAGTTTAGTGTTTGAACTGAAGCTTAGTCCAGGAAATCCTTCGCGTGGCGAGTGGGAGACGGCTAGTTGCCAAAGTTTCTACACAGTGGTGTATTTAATTTAAACAGTGACCCCTACTATTTCCTTCCACCGGCTCTTAGAGTTTATTAACTTTGATCGCCTGCGGGAGACAAATTTTTGAGTTAGCGGCACGGCAGAACACAAATTTTTATGATCACTATCCGACGGTAAATCGCGATTTGTTCTTGGGTGGTTCGACGTATTATTTCACCAGCTCTTCTTGGGGCAAATATCTCTCCAAAAACGCAGCGCTCCTTCGACAAATGACCGTACGGCACTAGTAGGAAATTCCACCTGGGGCGGATCCCTAATATCGGCGCCTTGAGGACTAGGGCAGCACTTTGAATTATATATCCTCGAGAAATCACAACGTATCCTAACGCGATTCACTGCATCCAAAGTAAACTGGGGTGAAGCTCAAGGGTTCGCCAAAATATCACCTGATCGGAACCTGGGTCTTAGTCGCAAAAAAAATCAACGCGAAAAGAAAATAACACTTCGAAACGGGTGCAAAAAGCACGCAACTGCGAGCAACCGAAAAAAACCGGTGGCTCAAACCGCTAAGTGTACCAAAACGATCGCTCAAGGTACGTGTTGACCGCTTGACGCACTAACCGCGAGTCTCCTCAAAACGATCGCTCAAGGTACGTGTTGACCCCTCGACGTACAGACCGTGAGTCTTTTCAAAAACGATCCCCTTCTTCAGAATTGAAATGAGAAAACCACACCCAAATTACCATAAAACAAAAATGGCTCCCGCTAGAAATTCTCCCATTGGTTTAGATAAAGAAGACTTAACCCACTCTAACTTCGTCGTCAACCTCCAGGAACTGCTGAATAAGCTGATCTCACGGTTTTCTGCTGACGAATTGAAACCCCCTTATCTCTTGATGGCTCGGTGCTATATCCGCTCCTATTCTCGGTCTAGACGGCGCCTTGGGTGATAAACGAACGACAAAAACTCGCATTACTCATGATGACGTCAATCAACTTTGCACTCTTCCCACGACGAAATTAAATCTGAGCGAAATTAAATCTATCGGACCATAGTCTTGAGCGAACCGAAATGCCCAAACACAAAATTTCTAACCGGAACAAATAATGAAATATACAGGGTGACCTGCACTATCATGACAAGAAATTTCGAATTTTTTAATGAAATTTGGCGCGAAATAAAACTACTCGTTACAAAATGCTAAAGCAACACGGCAAAAGGATCGATACGGTACGGTTGCAAATATAATCGGTAAAAGACGTAACTTACGGCAATTAAAAGACATAAAGATTCACTTGCTTACGGTCAGTAAAACAGGCAGGAGGTATAACTTACTTAAAGCACTCAAAAATGGCAAATGATCCCCACAAAATCAAGCGTTTACCTTATAAAGAAATCCGAATTTTGTGGAAATGGAACAGGGAAAATTGACCTCGTCGCGTATATTCAATACGAAATCGGATCAAATCAATTCGATTTTTAATTAATTACTCGGCTCCTGTTCGTGTTAAAATTCCCGAACATATGGCAATCGCTTCGTTAATTAAGCGCGAACAATTTGACACCAAAATCGGCGCTCTTTTACTGTAACTCATTTAATTAGTGCATACATACTCAAAAGGCTGCAAGGGCGCTCATGAACTCATTATATTAATTAACTTTATGTTAATTGCAAGTTTTCGGATACAGATTTTTGTACTGATAACGAGCAAAACAACTTGCTTCGGAACTTGTTTTCTCCTCGCTTTTACTTGCTATGACCTATGGGGAACTAAAACGTCCTATAAACAATTAACTGCGCTGAAACCAAAAAATATTAATTGTCCCTCATCTTCGCCATGACGAGAGCCTTCGGTGGTTACAAAAATAATTCCAAAACCTTCGAAGGCCTTTTAAACTCTCTAAAAACACGTGCGAACATTCAGGGTTTAAGGATCTTCAAGTTCTGATAGTTACTGAAACAACTTAAGGCCTCCCAAGACGATTTAAACCCATTAAAATTTTCTGAAACCCTTTTTAGCCTAGTTCTTTCGTTGTCGTAATCCTGATGTACAATTTTGCACTACTTGCAAGTATTGATTTCACTGTAGTTGAGTGCTGTAAAGTAATATACGTATTTTAATTAATTCGTCGGTTTCTTCCACATCATGCAATAATGTATAATTAAACAACTAATTTGTTTCTTCAACGAAAATTCTGAAATTTTTTTAGAATTTTAAGCGTCCAGTTTTAACTCGAGGGTGCGCTCGCTCGCTCGATGGCTTTATGTCCATCGATTTAAAAGAGAACGGATGGACCGCGGATTGCGATGAAATTTTGCAGGTGGATTCTTTATCAAAATTGTAGTTCGGAGTTCGTGAATTGGCAATGTAGGCCAAGAAATATTGAAGGCCCTGTAATCCTAGCGGTCTATTCAGCCGATACTCAAAACGTTGACTTACCCTATACTTACCGTTGGCAACTCTGGGAAAAAACTACAAGCAGAGCTAGCTACTTTTCCAGTCGTAACGGTGGATGTTTCGCGGCACTTTTGAATTTGGATGGCAGTCGGCTCGATATATGGGTAGCACGAATGAACTCCTACGTTGTGTAATCGGTTCTTGTATGTATTGGGACGTGAGACATAATCGGGAAGGGAATTAAATAAAAGGCAGAACTTTTGTGCGTAAGAAATGACAATAACAAATAAATATATTACGCACACAAAAAGACCATACCAGAGAAACCTTCTACGGGACAAAAACCCCGGCATAGGCTACACAAATACATGAAATAAATCACCTACAGCAACAAAATGCAAGAGAAAATACACATAAATAAAACATCTCAAATTCTATGATAAAAATCAGATAATCAAATCAAATGCAATTGAATCAAATTGTGGCAAGAATTCAATAACTAATAGTTAGTACAAGAAAGAATAAAATGGTTACTACCTGTAAATACACCTTCAAAACACCACGCCCAAAATAATCAAGAACCATAAAAAATTGTTTTGCGCGTGCGCAATCCGATTTTTTTTATTTGTTAAAATCTGTATTGAGAGAAATCGACTTCCATGCTTTTTTCTCAGAATTGTGGGTTTTTTGTCAGAATTTTGAAGATTTCTTTCCTATAAAATTCTGTGATTTTTCGCAAAATTCGAATTCTGACTTTTTTTAGAATCTAATTCTTTGGCGCCAATGCACCGTCCTAAAAAGGAAATTACGGTTATGTTTCAAAAACTTTCAATGGAAGTAATCTCTACGTGATGCAGTTAAACAATACTATTAATAGGTCGCAATTTGTTAGTAGGTACATGTATAAACTCAGTAAAATGAGGGCAGTTATTGCGGTAGGTAATGCGATTTTGCGTGAATAAACAGATTTCATCTGGAGATCTCGTTGGAATTGGTGACTATTTCAAGATGGTTTATTATCGTAGTGTTTCGGCGGTCTTAAAAGTTTAATTTAGTTATCAACTCACTGGCGGATATCATGCCCGTGTTAGAAGCGCAAAATCGATCCGATCGTCACACACCACCTTCATTATCAACAACCACCAGTCAAACTAATTTAAGGGTAAGTTCAAACCATGCATTAATCACCTATTTGAGATAACTCTCCATAAAACGGCGACAAAAGCACCATTTTGTTACACTTTTAGTAAACATTGTTAAGGGATGAATTAATAAAATTTCCGTTCATTCTTCTGACACCCTTAAAATCTTTCGCCATGTAGACATGAATAAATGGTTCGCAAAATTAGAAAAATCGAAAAACTAAGAAAGAAACTTTGAATGCAATTTGAGGAGGTGGATCGCAAGCGAAACAGAGATTTTTCCGGAAAATGTTTCTTGTTTCTTTCTACCACCTATTTTAAACTTGTGCCTTCTAGGGAAACTCCTGGAACAAATAACATGAAATTGCATCCAAGCACGGTTTTGCGAGGTCTTCCATACCAGGCCAGACTTTTTATCCCGATAGTCATTCATAACTCAAGCCTTATTAAGCTAATACGTATATTTTCAGGAGGAAAGAAAACGTACAGGAAGATACGTGGCGGCCGGAACTGCAATATTTCTCTCGATAGTGGGCGTCTACGAGACCCTGATCCGGGGCGCCCCAGAGTATGCCGCCATCTTTCTTCCCGCTGTTATTATTATTGTGTACGTGCTATGGATCTTAAACAATTCAAAAAATCAAAACTCCAAAAGACTAACAGTTCGTATAACTTCATCATACGTTCAGGAAGTTAATAATCATTTTCAGAAAAATAAGCAGGGCACGTCGCAGGACCTCGTGGAGGTATCTACGTCAACAGAAAAGTTGTTACCCATCAAGGCCGATAGCGCAAAACATTCAAGAGGTAAAGCTGAAAGGATGCAGACGGATCGAAAGGTCGCCAAAGGCAAATCGTTCAATCGATCATTTTCCATTGCTTGAATTTTACACAAATATTATTATTATTATGTCGTATATATAAAGCTTAGTTTAATCTTCGACATATGAAAATATTTATTTTACCTTTGTATATATTAAATTATACCGTACCCGATGACTGACAGTCTCCACGTTTCCCCAAACGGTAGAAGTACGCGTTACGTTGAACAAAAATAGTTTGCTTATAAATAAATGACGCCGACAATTACCGTGCTTAATCAGTTAAAGTTAAAGAAATATCAGAAAATGTCTCCACGCGCGATCCAAATTCTGTGCAAGTAATCTCTCAAAAAATGGCACCCAAATTGTTCTGTATACTTGTGTTGAGGCACCAGATTCAGAATTTGCCTAAAGATGCAGTATGGTGTTTATGACCATACAAAAAAAACTTATTAACAACGCGACAATGGCGCCAGCACAAGAGGATTATGCTGTTGTCAGTTTGGTATCATTGCGATGAGGCATTATTAGTCCATAAGACCTCATACTGCATCAGATTGTTGATGTAAGGGTGTCGTCCTAGTCTTCACAACACCCAATCGCTTGCACACATTTTTGAAACAGAGCAGATTCGATGTTTCTATCCTGATCACTATTCACGTAATAAACTTCCGTGGGTCGACCTCTTCAGGAATGTTAAAATGACTTTGAACATAAATTGCTACCCCAAAATCCCCAAAACGATCGACTCGTGTTTTTTTATACAATGTAAAAATTTCAAATAACTTGCATTTATCAATGAGTCGAAGTTTTCTCAAAATTACAGCCGATAGCAGTCAATTGGACCTCTCATATCGCCCCGATATCTAAATTTGACTACTCGTTGAAAATGCATTTTCGAAGATGGTTGACTATTTGAATCAGGATCAAACTGGGCTTCATATTTGGTAGTTTTGAAATTTTGCTTACTCACTGTAATGATTTACTATGTTCCGCAGTATGGAAACGTCAATTATCCCCTTGCATAATTGGGGTTTTATCAGCCAGCGGAAGCACTAATTAATCGTCTTTAAACTTTTTACCGGATGCCGTTTAATCCAGAATCTTATTATCGCCCCCCGTATAACCAAGACAGGTACACTAATTTGGTTAATAAACGTGTTTTTTTTTATCGTATTTAACAATTCCAAGTGTAAACGCAATGAAACGCTTTGTACCTTTGACCACAACGCTTTCGTAGTAAAAATGGATTTAAGCGCGATCACGCTAATTAAATAAAGCAAACAAATCCAAAATGCTCGCCCACGTAAATTCGTTTTACTCGTAATAAATTTCAAATCACACCCGACAATAATTTCGTCGAATTGGCGACACAGTATGCCCTTGTAATTCGACAATTAACTTCAACTTTCGCAATAAAAATGTCAAACACGATTAAGCGGCCGTGTTATCTTCCGTATATCTCGATTATTCGTCTTGAAAACATTCAGTCCCCGAGTCAAAAAACCGAAGCGGACCCGATGCAAACCAAGCCTCGACCACGATTTTTTTTACATGTAAGGGTAGCAGAACGTCCGTTCTTCATGCTCCGTAAGAACATGGTCGCATTTACATACAGGGAGCTTCCACATAATATGTAAATACGGAAAGGGGGTAGTTCTTTGGCTTATACTACACTATACTAAAAGCTCGCACAAACATAAGTTTACATAAAAAAAACGCTTCGTTGCCAATCTACAGGGTGTTACAATTTCAAAGATTTTCAAGTTTTTTCGCATTCTTTCAGATATTTTGCTTAAATATGAAATACAAATTACGCCGAAAGTCTTTGATCTTTGGTCATATCAATGGTGTACCGGGTGTTGTTTTTTCGGGAGTCCTCTGCATTTTCTTTCAGTGCACCACAGGTAGATCTTGAAACAAGAATGAAAAAAAGTGAAAATCAGTTTTCGGTAGTTAGCTAAATAAAAGTATAATTTTGAAAATGGTCCAGTGGGCCCTGCCTTTATTTAGATAATCCATGGATAATATCTCGTTTTTATTAGCTTTGACAGTTTTGGCATCGAAAATTGTATCTCGTGTTTCAATATGTTTATAAATTAAAGGCTTAAATTGTAAATTGTAATGGGTGGAAATATAACACCCTGTAGATCGGTAACGAAGCGTTATATGAACTTTTAATCATAAAATAAGCCGAAGAATTAATCCCTTCCGTATGTACATCCAGAGCTGGACAGAATACTTTTGGCCCGTAGAATCCATAATTTCAAACAGTTTGAAGATTGGGCTACTAGATCAAAAGTTACAGCCTTTTGAATTTTTTTTCGAAATTTGTTTTTTGTCCATAACTTTTGATTGAGAAGTCTAATCGAAAAAGTACGAATTGTTTTGGATTCTGCGCACCAAAATTAATAAGAAAAAGTGTTTTCCCGAGAAATTTTAGTGTAGTCGATTTTTGGTAAAAAAAAGGAAGGTTATACACTGCCTTTCTTTGAGGCCCGAAAAAAAAATTGTCTCAGATCGACCCGGAAAAAATTTTTCTTATAGAATGGGGCCTGTAGAATCCATAATTTCAAACAGTTCCAATATTGGGTTACTAGATCAAAAGTTGCAGCCCTTTGAATTTTCTTTCGAAATTGGTTTCTAGTCCATAACATTTGATTGAGAAGTCTAATCGAAAAAGTACGAATTGTTTTGAATTCTACGCACCAAAATTAATAAGAAAAAGTGTTTACCCGAGAAATTTTAGTGTAGTCGATTTTTAGTAAAAAAAGGAAGGTTATACACTACCTTCTTTTGGGTCCCGAAAAAAAAATTGTCTCAGATTGACCCGGAAAAAATTTTTTCTTATAGAATGTGGCCTGTAGAATCCATAATAATTTCAAACAGTTCCAATATTGGGCTACTAGATCAAAAGTTACAGCCCTTTGAATTTTCTTTCGAAATTGGTTTCTAGTCCCTAATCTTTGAGAAGTCTAATCGAAAAAGTACGAATTGTTTTGGATTCTACGCACTAAAATTAATAAGAAAAAGTGTTTACCCGAGAAATTTTGGTGTAGTCGATTTTTGGTAAAAAAGGAAGGTTATACACCACCCTTTTTTGGGTCCCGAAGAAAAAATTGTCTCGCATTGACCCGGAAAAAAATTTTCTTATAGAATGTGGCCTGTAGAATCCATAATTTCAAACAGTTCCAAGATTGGGCTACTAGTTCAAAAGTTACTGCCTTTTGAATTTTTTTTCGAAATTTGTTTTTTGTCCATAACTTTTTATTGAGAGGTCTAATCGAAAAAGTACGAATTGTTTTGGATTCTACGCACCAAAATTAATAAGTAAAAGTGTTTTCCCGAGAAATTTTGGTGTAGTCGATTTTTGGTAAAAAAGGAAAGTTATACACTGCCTTTTTTTGAGGCCCGAAAAAAAATTGCCTCAGATCGACCCGGAAAAGTTTTTCTTATAGAATGAGACCTGTAGAATCCATAATTTCAAACAGTTCCAATATTGGGCTACTAGATCAAAAGTTACAGCCCTTTGAATTTTCTTTCGAAATTGGTTCCTAGTCCATAACATTTGATTGAGAAGTCTAATCGAAAAAGTACGAATTGTTTTGGATTCTACGCACCAAAATTAATAAGAAAAAGTGTTTTGCCGAAAAATTTTGGAGTAGTCGTTTTTTGATAAAAAAGGAAGGTTAAGTATTCAAATACTATGCGAAGTATTCGAATACTTCTCAAAGTATTCAAATACCTTGCGAAATATTCGAATACTAAATATTTGTGAAAGTATTTGAGTTACAAATACAAATACTGCTTCCATAAAAGTATAAGTATTTGAATACTTTAAAGGATTTGAATACTATACTATTTACAAAATCGAATACTGCCCAGCTCTGTGTATATCATAACTACGAACATCCTGTATATGAAAAAAAAATCAAAATTTGCCTACATCTCTTCATGATAACAACAAAAACAAACTTAACGCTCCCTTGATAAAAAAAAAATAAAATTCGAAAGTGGTAGTTGGTAAGTGCCGACCGAGTTCACTACTTTTTTCTCTTTCACAGTCTTTCGCTCCCTTTTTACCGCGATCTATTTTAGAAAAAAAATTGCGCGCTAGGAGGGTTCGAACGCGCGTCATAACTTTTTGGAGTTGATTTTTTGAGATTGAAAAAAAAAGGCGGGTCTCATTGTTTCGCGGGATACCTTACATTTATTGGTTGTGTTCCGTGGGCGAGTGGTCCTGAGCTCCTGACTGCTTAAATCCATTGCTGCACCAGTGAGTCGTAGGGAATGACGTGAGTAGTTCGGATTACAGGAAGATTTATTTTGCAGCCGTGATGTAAGATAAATTGAAAAAAGTCCTATTTTTCATGTTTCATATAGACACCAGGCTATTAAGAGTCGTATAAGTATAGCTTTCAAGGGTGTAGCTGGATATTGGGTATTGCTGTTTTCCGAATGCGAACTCATTCTATGCAACAAAAGCAAATAAAGTTCCCATAACAAGAACAAGCTTAATAACTATTGAATGTGTGCCACAACGGTCTAGTGGTACACTCGGCTTGCTAACCCGGGGGCCCAGGTTCGATTCTCTGCACGAACAGTTTTTTTTAAATTTTTTTACAAAAATGAGCATCCCAATTCAACACATTGTTTGATGGGCAGTACGAAGTTTGCTAGCAATAAATACGTTTTAAATAATATGAACCTCTGTATTTTTAAAAACCTGCTTGCCAAAAGTTCCCCCTAATTCAGGCTATAGCGCGACGGGCAAGGGCGCAAATTTTAGTGCTTGCGTACACGTAACTTTTGTCTTGAGCCGGCCCTGAACCACTTACGTAATTGGAGATCTGCTGATTTAACGGGAAATTATTCCACGTGTACATTTATGTCAAGCGTTCTGATTGGACGGAAAATTAGTTTTGTAACTGATAAAGAAATAGTGGGTAGTTGGTTGTGTCGGGAGAACCGTGAGACAATTAGCCTTAAGCCGCGAGAGAGTTCGCGTTGAGTCCTCTAAAGTTCACTGAAAAATGACTAGAATTCATAGAATTTTCAAGATTGAATATCTGATAAAAAGTTATGGGGAAAATAGAATGTTTATTATTATTAGTTTTGACGTAGGCATTCGGTCTTAAACACCACAACTCGATCTGGAGTTTTTGTTTATTTAATTATTTAAGGTATCCAGAACCAAAATTGACGGAAACAAAAATGCCGACCTTAATTGAATAACAAGATCGGAAAATTGACAATTTTCTTATGAAACGAAAGGAAATGACTTTAGTAACGATAATTTGAAAGGGGGACGAGATACTTGGTGGTTTCTGGAGCAGGATTGTGGTTCGAGTGGTGGCTTGTAACGAATGGCGAGTGGAAGAGGAATCAATCTTGTGATTAACATGATATCAACAGGAAATATAACCCATATTTTACGACTGGAAATAATAGCACTCAGTCGAACAGTACCTACCCTATTACAACCACACTTTTTTAGTTCTTTTTATTCCGTAATGAGCAAACTTTCAACGTGTTTTCTTCTGATGTGTTTGAAAGGTATCGACACTTCTTCCAATTGTCTCCATTGATCTTCTCCATTGTTTCAGGAGCGATGAGCGAGCCCACTTCGGACAAGGGAAATTCCTCGTCCTGCAGCGACTGCTCTGACGAGAAAGGTGTACTTGCAGGTCTAATTTTTAAATTCTAAATTGGAAGCCCATTTTTTAGGATATGCGAATGAGTCGGTCATAATTTGCTACAACTCCTCATCTGCAGACGGTGAGTATATTACGACCTTGCTGGTCAATATGCAAAGGGTCGGGAAATCCGCTCGGACTATTCAATATTGTCGGCAAACCACAATAAAGTGATTATTTGTTTATAATCGCATTATTAATATCGTTCAGTTGCCGTGCACACGTTCCGAAAATCTTTTGAAAGATCCCCTCCTGGCGCGATGAGTAGTTAGATGTTGCCTTCTTTGATTTCACTATGTGTAATTCGAACCATTTTTAGATGCGACGATGCAATGTTTTCCGATGACGTTCTCTGACCTTGTGGACGGTACGTACGGACGCCCTTTGGATTTGCTAAATTTTTCTTTGTCTAGGGTTTCTGGATAGTATCGGAATAGCGGGACTGGTAGGTAAGCTATACGCGTCACGGCGCGTCGATTTTGAGTATAGGTGTTAATATGCAAGTTAGTTGTAGTCTTGTCTTCGCTTCTCTATCTTGTTCTTCTCATGACGGCAATCTCCGTTCTTCTGCATAGAGGATGTGGGGGAAAAGGTGCGCCGGGGCCGAATGCGAAGTTATGCAAAATGTATGGGAAGGTTATGAGTAATTGATTGGCGATGTGATAGTTATTTGCGTATTTGTATTGATCGGCATTAAATAAAGAAAGCAAGGATACGATATTTTTTGTGCAAACCTGACCTCCATTCAGTTTTAGAAGCATTCTAAAGGGCCCTGTTAAAAACATCCTGGACTGTCTTGAGTCCAGTTGCTTGTTGTCACTGAGCCCGGAATTGACTAGTCAACCCAGTCTTTAATCCTGGCCCTGACAACGCAAGAAGCAATTCCTAGGATACGCTCGGACCCGACAAAGACCTCACCACTGCCATCGCGAACCAACTCGTTCTCCCTTTTGGTGCCCCCTATTCTCCAGTGAGCCGGCTCCCAGATCAAACTTACCCTATTAGCCTAATCTATTTAGAGTTTTCTTGCATTCAAGTGCCGTAGCCGAATTTATTAGCCGTATGGAAACCTTCCGAGCTTCTCCCTTCACAACTAAGTGTAAAGGCTCTAGTTCCAGAAGTGCCTCCTAGGCCAACGTTGGCGTGGTCTTCATGGCTCCAGTGAGTCCCAGACAGACGAATCTCTGAACTTTAATTTCTAGCTGATTCTTGTAGGTTACCCTGCTGCCACCATACAAGTGCACCGTACAGTGTTATTGGCCTTATGACTACAGTGTAAAGTCAAATACACCAGTCCAATGTACAGTGTGAGTCAACGATTGCGCGGAGTAACAGATAAGATTTGTCGATAGATTGCTTTTGTATTATGTTATGGTTGAATATTGTCCATATTTGAAAATATTTGGAATTATACAGGGTGCGCCCACAAAGCAGGGCGCCAAAATGGTACATCTTTTTAAATATAACTCCCTGTATTTGAATGCATTTTTGAATTCTACGTGTAATTGTACGTCTTTTTTATTATAAGGTTAATATCCTAAAAGCTAGGTTGTTTTAAAGATAATTCGATTTTTAAGAAACATTGGGAACTTGCAAGCATCAGTATATTGTCAAAATTGTTACTAAAATTTTGATTCCAGGTTTTATATATTAAAAAAATAGCTCACATGGTGTTTTTTTGGTAGGTCCACAGTTGCAGAACTTCATATTAAAAAATTGCACTTTTTTAAATGGAACACCCTGTATATTTTTCTGTCATCTTTTAGCTCCTCCAAAAATCTTTAACTTTTGATAATACTGACCTAAGCTATCTCTGATAGTTTTCGAAATATCTTGGTTTTCCTTGTTTTTATATTCTAATCTTAAATAACTTATATTATGTAATTTACATAATGACGGGGGGGGGGGGGGGGGGCATGCAAAAAAAAAAGCAATTTGTATTATTATTATTATCCCTCTCTTGTTTTGGGTCCTCAACAGGCATGCGCCCAATTACAGAGTGACCCGCATAATGCTATTTAGAGGTGCCTCTGCAGAAGGTCTTAAGTTGGTCTATACTACTACTCCGGTATTTACCTTACGAATTAGGAAAACTGCAGGAAAACCTAATTCAGAGTAGCCGGTAGAATGCTCGGAACTGGTCTAAGGTAATTTCCATCTCCGCCACAGATGAAAAATTCACCTCAACCCAGGTTCGAACACCCGACCTCCGGATTTACAACCCAATGCTCTATCACTGAGCCATAAATCCATATCTGCCTTATCCAAAGCTAAAATTACGATTAATTTATTTTTCAAACAATAAACTGGAAAATAAGTAAAAACATTTGACTACAAAGCAAATTTAATTTAACTCCTAATGTCATCCAGTCAGTGATATTAGTTTCATTTTTTTCATATTCATCTCGTTAATTTGTAAATTGGAACTTATTTCAGATTAAAATATAAAAAATAGAGAAACCAAGATATTTGTTTATGTTTTTACTATCAAATTTATTCTCCAGTTTTTATAAACTTAAATAAGTTATTAGAAAAATGAATTAATAAATATGATTTTAGCTTTGAACGAGGCAGATAAAAATTGCCTTTTTTTTGCATGGCCCCCCCCCCGTTATTATGTAAATTACATTATATAACTTATTTAAGATTAGAATATAAAAACAAGGAAAACCAAGATAATTTCGAAAACTATCAGAGATAGGTATAGGACATCAAAAGTTAAAGATTTTTGGAGCAGCGAAAAGCTGACAGAAAAATATACAGGGTGTTCCATTTAAAAAAGTGCAATTTTTTAATATGAAGTTCTGCAACTTTGGACCTACCAAAAAAACACCATGTAAGCTATTTTTTTAATGTTTCATAGTAGATGTATTTCATTGATTTTTACTTAACCCTGGATAAAAGATATAAAACCTGGAATCAAAATTTAAGTAATAATTTTGACAATAATATATTGACGCCTGCAAATGCCCAATTTTTCTTAAAAATCGAATTATCTTTAAACCAACTAGCTTTTCGGATATTAACCATATAATAAAAAAGACGTACAATTACACATAGAATTCAAAAATGCATTCAAATACAGAGAGTTCTATTTAAAAAATGCACCATTTTGGCGCCCTACTTTGTGGGCGCACCCTGTATAATTCCAAATATTTTTAAAATGTGGAGAATATTCAACCATATCATAATACAAAAGCACTCTATCGAAAAATCTTATCTTCAAGGCATTAAGTTACTCCGCGCAATCGTTGACTCACCCTGTACACCGAAAAGCACTTCTACATGCCCATAGACATGCAGTGGCCCTTTTGCTTATTCGCTCAATGTGCCCTTTGCAGGTCAGGCGAAAGTCTATAATGACTCTGAAATTTAAATAAGTCACGGACCTGATCAGGCCCAGTTGATGTCCTCGAAAACCCATCAAGAACCTCGGTCTTTATCGGGTTATCGGAGAGGCCACCTATCCACTTGTTCAAGAGTCCTCTACATGCGCTCTTTCACAGTATTTGGAAATTTTCCAGCTATGGCGATGGCAACATACGATATACGATCCGCCCTCGTTCAGAGTACGGTGGAGCCCGTCTAGTATCGGGCACCAGGCACCACAGCCATGGAGACAACACTCCACCCTGCGGACATCCCCTAGGAACCGGTGATCTCATCTCCTTTGTCCCGAATGAGGATATAATGGTGTATGCATCCGAGCATGGCGCGGATCCATCTTCCGATTGGCCCATCAATGGCAAAGCCTTCAGCGGCCTCACTACTTGAATCGGCCCTTGATATCTAGAAACGCTCCCAGGGCTACCCTCCGGCAGACATTCCCTTCTCCAGCCTGCACACAAGGATGGTAACCACCCGGGCAGGTACTTTCCTGTCGATGGGCCTTAGAATTAAACCGCCTCGGGTGGCTCCTTTTGTTAAATCCCAGAGCTTGGAAAGTGTATTTCGAAGGGACATGTGAGACACTCACCCGCGGTAGACGTGCCTATATCAGCCGCATGAGAAGCTTCAGTGTGGTAATACACTGCCTTTTTTGAGCTCAGAAAAAAAATTGTCTCAGATCGACCCGGAAAAAAATTTTTCTTATAGAATGTGGCCCGTAGAATCCATAATTTCAAACAGTTCCAAGATTGGGCTACTAGTTCAAAAGTTACAGCCCTTTGAATTTTTTTTCGAAATTGGTTTTTAGTCTATAACTTTTGATTGAGAAGTCTGATCGAAAAAGTACGAATTGTTTTGGATTCTACGCACCAAAATTAATAAGAAAAATTGTTTTCCCGAGAAATTTTGGTGCAGTCGATTTTTGGTAAAAAAGGAAGGTTATACACTGCCTTTTTTTGAGCCCCGAAAAAAAAATTGTCTCAGATCGACCCGAAAAAAAATTTCTTATAGAATGTGGCCTGTAGAATCCATAATTTCAAACAGTTCCAAGATTGGGCTACTAGTTCAAAAGTTACAGCCCTTTGAATTTTTTTTCGAAATTGGTTTTTCTAGTCTATAACTTTTGATTGAGAAGTCTGATCGAAAAAGTACGAATTGATTTGGATTCTACGCATCCCAATTAATAAGAAAAAGTGTTTTCCCGAGAAATTTTGGTGTAGTCGATTTTTGGTAAAAAAGGAAGGCCTTTTTTGAGCTCAGAAGAAAAAATTGTCTCAGATCGACCCGGAAAAAAAAATTTTCTTATAGAATGTGGCCTGTAGAATCTATAATTTCAAACAGTTCCAAGATTGGGCTACTAGTTCAAAAGTTACAGCCCTTTGAATTTTTTTTCGAAATTGGTTTTTGTAGTCTATAACTTTTGATTGATTTCGTTTTTAGCGAAATCCACCAAAATGTGGGGGAACATAAGTATGCACCGAAAAAGGAAGTGTGGTAGCCTCCGACAAGATCTAACTGACGGTGGAGTGAAAACTTCAAACGCGAATTTGGGGTGAACGGGGCGTCGGAAGTGGGTACTGTCAAAGGGAATGTGGTAGCCCGCGACACGAGCTTTACTGATGGTGGAGTCAAATCTTTAAACGCGCATTGGAAGGGAACGGGACATCGGAAGTGGATATCGACAAAGGGAATAGGTAGCCCCCAACAAGATTTTACTGAGGGTCGAGTCAAAACTTTAAACGCGAATTGCGGGTGTACGCGGAAAGTGGGAAGCGGGTACCGACAAAGTGAATGTAGTAGCCTTCGACAAGATCTTTTATTGATGGTTGAGTCAAAAGTGGCTAATAGAATACTGATCTGCCACACAAAAATGCGCTGAAGTCTCTTCGATCTCACACGAGGACTTTGATAATTTTTTTTCAAATTTAGAACTCAATATTCGCGTAGAAACGAGAATTTTGAACACTTATTGTCGCATAAGAACCTTTAGTTTACCATGTTAATGACTACCTACTTCAAAATTAGGGCCTTTAACTTCGGTTTCTAATTTGGATTTTGACTTGCAGTTCGAATTTTAAACTTGAAGTGTCTAATAAGCGCTCTACACTTTTCATTTGCGAATTTAGAACTTAATATTTTGTTCAAACTTTGAACTTTCCGCGAAACCAGTATTTTGAAATCTTGCCGACGCATTTGAAGCCTCACTTTACTGTGTTTCTAATTTAGATTTTGGGCTGACCGAATTTTAAATCATCAGCGAAGTTTAAGCAAATTGCGAAATTGTTGTCATCCTTTTAGGCCAAATTTTTGGAAGCCTTTTTTTCCGAATTTGGTCAGTTTTGGAGAGAATAATTACAATTTCTTGACGATTTCGAAGTTGAAGATTTTCTTAATTTGATTAATGGTTATTGAACAAAATCGTTGTCATACATTTAATAAATTTGGAAAATAGGGAACGATGTTTGCCATGGTTATTTTCCAAAATGTTGTAAACTCTGGAAGGAGAAAGTATGAAATCGAAATGTTATCATATCACACCATATGAAAAGGTGGTGGTTTTTTTGAGGTAAAGATACATTTTAATGCGGCTGAAGTTTGAGATAATTTTGGTAATTAGACCAATGAATTTGGAACCGCGGAACAAAGATTGGAAATTGATGGTGACGAGGATGAAAAGAAAGGGTTCTTATCCAGGAGACAACTTTTCTGCCCAAAATATACTGTCGCCCACCTAAGATATGGGTAAGTGCCTAAAGAAACACAGTAAAAAAAAACTCGGACGATGGCGCAACCCGTTACGAAAATGAAAAGTAAAACCTTTCCGTTACGATACCCCAATTACCCAGAACAGGTTCGAGATTGAGCGTAACCACACTTGGGGTTGTCTTTAATTGGCCGCCTAATGTTCGCGGATGTTTTTCCCTACTTTGTAGATTAACAAGCTAAACAGCTAATTAAAAAATGTAGTTCAATATTTTTAGAAAAACGGGAAGCGCGATAACTAATTTGGTAAAAGTTCCTCGTCTTCTGAGAAAACATCAGTTTCTCCAAGATGCTGAAGCTGAGCCTACTGTTCGTGGGTGCCCTACTGGTCGTGCGGGAGGGTCTGTGCGTAGCAATTGTTTTTCTGGTTTAACCTCGAAGTTTTAGGTGTGGCCCTTAAGGTACTTTTAGCGAAAGATGGAGAGGTAGACGTCGCGAGGGAGGTCGTGAAAGTAAACGAGGGGGAGGCGTTCGATCTGGTATGCGAGTCGGATACTGCAGTAGAGTGGCTTAAAGTGTCTGGCACCGGGTAGTACCTCGAGCGTAATCAACGGATTTCTTTTACGTTGAAATTGTAGGTCATCCCCTGATCGGCCACTCACAAAGCCCGCAATAGCCGAACTTTTTTATGCGCCGGTCCTGTCTTTTAGAAGGACTAATGGAAATGATGCGGGTCACTATATCTGCATGGATCCCAAAACTTCGGAAAAGCAGGATGTTTCCGTGGAAGTGGTGCTATTCCCAGAAGGTCCAGGTAAAGTGAGAATTTCAATTTTTGAGGTTTTGAATTAATCAGCAAATTTCAAAAATGCATAGCCGTACAGATTTTTTCCGGGAAACAGGAATCCTGATTAGATATCAAACATCCTGCTTTAAATAGGACGCTATTGCGACACTTGATAATTTCAAAATCCTATTTTGGGCGCCCAAGTAGATTTGATTTAGTTAGGATGCCAAATATTTCAGATCTTTTTGTCAAATTTCGGGTGGTATTTGAACTACTAGCCACAAATTTGATATGAATGTTCACTACGGAGAAAAAATGGGTCATTATTTTTCCATTTACTTGCAGACAAAATCGACCAGCTCTACGACATTATTAAAAAAATCGTGGACCTAACTTCCGCGGAAAAGGCATCTCATGAGCACTTAAATCAGTTATTAGACATCGTGCATGAACTCAAACTCCGAAACGGTAAGAGAAACCTGATGGAATATACCAGTAATAACTGGCAACGCGTTTTTCTATTCCAGAGAACTTAACCAGAGAAACGCTTGAATTAATTCGTCTCATAATGAAAGAAATTATGCACGCATCGGAAACAGAGGCGGGATTAGCGGATATTATGAAAGAATTTGAGAAATTCTGTACAGAGAATGCGGAAGAGCTCCATCACAACGACGAAGAAGCATACCCAGAAAAGCCGGTCGGAGAATTTGAACCGGAAAAGGACAAACAACATGAAGAAGATCACGAAGACGGAGAAGCTGGGCCACACCATAACGAAGCGGAAACGGAAAAACCCGAAACCCGACCCTTTGAACCTGAGAAAGATTACGAAGACAAAGAACATGGTCAGCCTAACCGCCATGAAGTAGAACCAGAAGAAGCACACCCAAGAGAACCCGAAAACACACACTTTGAACCCGAAAAAGATTACGAAGACAGAGAACGTGGTTGGCCCAACCTCCATGAAAGAGAACACGAGGAAGGACACCCAGAAGAGCCCGGAATCGGACACTTAGCTAATAGATTTGCTGATATAGGCCCGGAACATGAAGAAAAGAATGAGAAAAGTAGACCCGATGAATGGCCACGTCACATTGAGAGAGAAAATGAACACCCACACGAACCTGAAATCGGAAACTTGCCTGCTAGATTTCATGGATTGAACGCAGAACCGGAAGGAAGGAACAAGCCCATTTGGGAACCCAAGGGAGAAGAAAAACCATATGAAGAAGATCACGAGCATGGTTGGCCACACCACAACGAAAGACGAGATGAAGCAGACCATCCAAAAATCGACAACTTACCTAGCCTGCCCGCAAAACTTGAAGATTGGCCAAAATTTGGCGAGGAAAAACCCGATTTCAAACCAAGCAGGGAGGAGGAAGGTTACGAGAAACCACACGGGATCGAAGCAAACGAAGAGAAGCCGGTGCCGGATTATGAGGAAGAGGAATGGAAGCCAAATGAAGAAGCCAGCGAAGAAAAGTCGAAAGAAGAAGGGTCGGAGCAAAATGACGAAGAAGAACCGGAAGAAGAGGAGTCGGAGCAGAACGACGAGGCCACTGAAGAGGAATCGGAAGAAGAAGAATCAGAGCAAAACGACGAGGCCAGTGAAGGAGAATCGGAAGAAGAAAAATCAGAGCAAAATGATGAGGCTAGCGAAGAGGACGATTATGAGGAAGACGAGGAAGAAGAATCAGAGCAAAATGACGAGGCCAACGAAGAAGAATCGGAAAAAGAGGAGTCGGAGCAGAACGACGAAGCCAGTGAAGAGGAATCGGAAGAAGAAGAATCAGAGCAAAATGACGAGGCCAGTGAAGAGGAATTGGAAGAAGAAGAATCAAAGCAAAATGACGAGGCCAACGAAGAAGAATCCGAAGAAGAGGAGTCGGAGCAAAACGACGAGGCCGGTGAAGAGGAATTGGAAGAAGAAGAATCAGAGCAAAATGATGAGGCTAGCGAAGAGGACGATAATGAGGAAGACGAGGAAAAAGAATCAGAGCAAAATGACGAGGCCGGCGAAGAAGAATCCGAAGAAGAGGAGTCGGAGCAAAACGACGAGGCCGGAGAAGAGGAATCGGAAGAAGAAGAATCAGAGCAAAATGATGAGGCTAGCGAAGAGGACGATAATGAGGAAGGCGAGGAAGAAGCATCAGAGCAAAATGACGAGGCCAGCGAAGAAGAATCGGAGCAAAATGACGAGGCTAGCGAAGAGGATGATTATGAGGAAGACGAGGAAGAGGAGGAAGAAGAATCCGAGCAAAATGACGAGGCTAGCGAAAAAGATGATAATGAGGAAGACGAGGAAGAGAAGGAAGAAGAATCGGAGCCAAATGACGAGGCTAGCGCAGAGGATGATTATGAGGAAGACGAGGAAGAGGAGGAAGAAGAATCCGAGCAAAATGACGAGGCTAGCGAAAAATATGATAATGAGGAAGACGAGGAAGAGAAGGAAGAAGAATCGGAGCCAAATGACGAGGCTAGCGCAGAGGATGATTATGAGGAAGACGAGGAAGAGGAAGAATCCGAACAAAATGATGAAGCTGAAGAGGAGGAATTAGATGAAAATGAATCAGAGGAATTAGATGAAAATGAATCAGAGGAAGATGATGAAGCCGACGAAAAGGAAAATGAGAGACCCGTGGAAGCACCAGTAGGCGAAAATGGGTGGCCAGGCTACGAGTCGCCCAGCAAGGAACACGGTGGTACGTAGATTTCACTCGAGTTAATGTTGATTTTTCAAATTCTAGAACCGCACGTGACTCCACAAGAAGGCCCAAATCCTTTGCTAGGTAATTCGCTTTATTTTAAGAGAAGAAAAACACTAAAGAATTTTTTTTTAAGAAAGCGTCGAGAGGTTGGACAAGTTAGGTAGAAAGTTTTCTTATCTAAAGCAAATTGCGAGAGGTGGAGTATAATCTTGGTGTGGAGGAGATGTTTCATGGTTGTTATCTACATTACAGATCTGCCGAATGGAGCCCCTGGCCTAAGCAACGAAATTCAAGATGACATAGTTATTAAAGGGCTCCGTGAAATACACAAAATATCTGAACTACTCCTGAAAGAAATGCTTGAATCTTCATCCCATTAACTTGGGCTTGTATCATTTTTGTGTATTTATTAACGCATTGCTTAATGTGCTACTGCATTATTTTATTGGGTTTCTGTAAGTTTTTAAATAACTCTGTAAATTATTAAAGTATTTGAGAAAAGAACCACTTATGAAACCTCTTAAGGGTTCAACCGTTAATTAAGGAATGTTTAAAGTTTCTTTTAAGGACTCATTAAATCTCTTCAAGGGTTTTGAACGCTTTTCAAAGTTTGGTTTTCAAAAACTCTTATAGACTGGCTGCTTAAGACTAAATGTCTATTAAAAGTTAGATATTTTCCTTGAAAACTTTTTTAAACTTGTAGAAACTCTCAAATACTTTTAAAAACCCCGCCCTTCTAGGTTCTTAAACATCGTGAAAGTTCTCCAAAGTTCCCAAAAGCTTTTAAATGTTCAGTTTTTAAATAAAGGAACGAATTTCAGAACCCTATATAACTGCCTCCGAACAGCTCATGAAGCTTGCACACTTTTGGAGACTTCTCAAGACCGGTGTCTTAAAGAACTTAAAGCACTTAATTACTAGACGCCATTTTGAAAAAAAAACGTTAATAAAAGTATTAGGTAGGGATTAATTTAGAAAGATTTTGGAAAGCATTCGGCTTTGGGCTACGAGACCGTTAATCGTACTGCTCAAGATATTTTTATTGTATTTGAAAAGCATTCCCATTGGTGAAAAATAATCACATTCCTAAGTACGTAAAGTACGTGAAATACATTGTTAATTATAGCCGGATCTTCTCAAGTCCAGAAGGTATCTAAGGTCCTGGATACGGTAACCTTAGACAAAAGTTGTGTTTCAAGATAAGTATTATAATGATAATGCAAATTTTATTGAATCTTCTTTTTATAATTCACAAATCTGCGAAACACTAAACGAAAAACACCCTTAGTGAATTTATATGCAATAAATAGGGATAAGCCGAGGCAAAGTAATAAAACACCAAGCACGTCTAGGAGAAGGTATTGGTACCAAGGTACGTCTAACATTGGACTTCTGAGATGTTTCGCACCCTTATGCCGTATCACATACTCGCTCCACCAAACGGCCCGTTCCAGTCCAGTTAACGGTTGGTCCCTCGCCAAATTTGCCACTTTTTCTACATTGGTTCGGTACCTACAATCAAAGTCCTTAATGCGATCCCACGGGGGAGGTGGTTTCTCACATTGGATTTTGAATCACTTCAAGAATTTTCGATTTAAACTCCCCTTTATTTAAATTCTCAAAGTCAACTGATAGCCCCATCCCCATGTGCACCATTTTGCCAATGTTGCCGAACTGGTCGCCAAAGAACGGCATGCCGATGATCGGAACGCCACTGTAAAGCGCTTCTTCAGAGGACTGCATGCCTCCCTGCGTTATAAATAGTTTTATATTGGGATGCCCTGTGGAAAGAACATAACAGCATAATTGAGAGAGGTAGTAAACTCACTCAAAACGTCCTGTTGGGGAATCCACTTCGATGTGAACACGTTTTCGGGTTTGTTAGGTAAGTCCGACTCGAATTTCCACAATACTGTGTAGGGCAACTCGGAGAAGGTCTCTATTATAACCCTGCGGGTTTCCAGCGGAATGCCCCGGCTTTCGACATTGGAGCCTAAAGCGAAGTAGATGAACCCATTTGTAGCGTTATCCAGCATGACTTTTAATTCCTGAAAGAGGACCCAGTTGATGAGTTAACTTCAGTGGTTTGCTTACCTTTGGCAGCGGACGTGGGGCTTGGATATGCGTTCCGCTTCCAATTTGAATAACGACCGGCATGAGTGGTCTAACCTTGTAAAAAACTGGGTCCGTGTTTACAAAGAGCATGCTTGTATTGTCCATGATGCTTTTCAAAGGTGGGTAATTAGGGCCGAAGTACTGCCTTACTAGTTGATCGAGATAGGGGTAACTGTACCAGATCATTAGTTTAAAGGCAGCGTCGGATATTACACTTGTAATCCGCTGAAGAAATGGCAAATGTTCGTAAAAGTCAAAAAAATCATGAGGATACAGGACTGGGTGAGTGGGATTCCCTATGGTTTCGTATAGCCAACCGGGTGCATCATATGATAGCATTCCGATGTGCGGACAATTGAATCTTGCTACAAAGGCGTGCGATACGGTGGCGTGTGCTTCAATAATTGCAAGATCAAATTCTTGCTCGCTTTCCAGTAGCTGTCGCACGCCTTCGTGTCTCATTTGCTGCTCTTGAATTTCGAATACAGACGACATCATTTTGATTAGTGATCCAATTGGGTTTGATTTGTAATCAAATATGTTTTCCGCCACCCCCTTCTTCCATAACTCGGTGCTGAAGTGCAAATCGATTTCCGTTAAATTAGTCAGCGCTGGATCTTTAAGGGGATGCGTCGTTATTGTGGTAACCTGGTGGCCCCGAAGGGATAATTCCCTCCACAAGGCCTGAAATACCACTTGGTGGCTGTATGATGGCGTCGGTATAATACCCAATATTTTTGAACTGATGACGATGTCAGCCACTACCATACCAACTAACCAGTGAAGAATCCACATGATCTATACCTGTTAAAGTAACGATTTTAATTTGAATTGAAGAACCTCGCAAATGGTCTAACAGAGTTTGCAAGGCCCTTTCAGTTTTTAGAGTCCTTGAAATTCGCGCCTCTTTTTATGAGTCGAACCTTTGTGAGTCTCTGGCAGCTTTCAAGAGTCTTAAAGAACCTATAAAAACCTTCGAGAGATTGGAGAGTATTAAAAGAGAATTAAAGGCCTTTATGGATTGCACTTTTAATTGTATTTTAATCTTCGAGTCTTTAAACAGTTTTTTTTTCATTCCTAGAGACTTTACAACTTTTAATAGCTATTGAATAGCTCTATGAGTGGTCTCGAATCCTGGTGGGTTTTGATAGATGGCCTTTATACCCACTAGATTGGCTTAAGGAAAAAAGTCCACTTTAACATATTAACACCAATTTCTAGGAGTGTTGGAAAATTAAAGAAGAGTAGGGACGCGTCCAGAAGAGATAGAGGTAGAACATTCGGTTTTGGATTACCAGAAATTTGCGGTTGTGAAATGAACACTGAATCCATAATTTCAAACAGTTCCAAGATTCGGCTACTAGTTCCAAAGTTAAAGCCCTTTGAATTTTTTTTCGAAATTGGTTTCTAGTCTATAACTTTTGATTGAGAAGTCTGTTCGAAAAAGTACAAATTGATTTGGATTCTACGCACCCAAATTAATCAGAAAAAGTGTTTTCCCGAGAAATTTTGGTGTAGTCGATTTTTGGTAAAAAAGGAAGGTTAATCACTGCCTTTTTTTTGAGCCCCGAAAAAAAAATTGTTTCAGATCGACCCGGAAAAAAAATTTTCTTATAGAATGTGGCCTGTAGAATCCATAATTTCAAACAGTTCCAAGATTGGGCTACTAGTTCAAAAGTTACAGCCCCTTTGAATTTTCTTTCGAAATTGGTTTCTAGTCTATAACTTTTGATTGAGAAGTCTGATCGAAAAAGTACGAATTGTTTTGGATTCTACGCACCAAAATTAATAAGAAAAAGTGTTTTCCCGAGAAATTTTGGTGTAGTCGATTTTTGGTAAAAAAGGAAGGTTATACACTGCCTTTTTTTGAGCCCCGAAAAAAAAATTGTCTCAAATCGACCCGGAAAAAAAATTTTCTTATAGAATGTGGCCTGTAGAATCCATAATTTCAAACAGTTCCAAGATTGGGCTACTAGTTCCAAAGTTACAGCCCTTTGAATTTTCTTTCGAAATTGGTTTCTAGTCTATAACTTTTGATTGAGAAGTCTAATCGAAAAAGTAACGAATTGTTTTGGATTCTACGCACCAAAATTAATAAGAAAAAGTGTTTTCCCGAGAAATTTTGGTGCAGTCGATTTTTGGTAAAAAAGGAAGGTAATAACTGCCTTTTTTTGAGCCCCGAAAAAAAAATTGTCTCAGATCGACCCGGAAAAAAATTTTCTTATAGAATGTGGCCTGTAGAATCCATAATTTCAAACAGTTCCAAGATTGGGCTACTAGTTCAAAAGTTACAGCCCTTTGAATTTTCTTTCGAAATTTGTTTCTAGTCCATAACTATTGATTGAGAAGTCTAATCGAAAAAGTACGAATTGTTTTGGATTCTATGCACCAAAATTAATAAGACAAAGTGTTTTCCCGAGAAATTTTGGTGCAGTCGATTTTTGGTAAAAAAGGAAAGTTATACACTGCCTTTTTTTGAGCCCCGAAAAAAAAATTGTTTCAGATCGATCCGGAAAAAAAATTTTCTTATAGAATGTGGCCTGTAGAATCCATAATTTCAAACAGTTCCAAGATTCGGCTACTAGTTCCAAAGTTACAGCCCTTTGAATTTTTTTTCGAAATTTGTTTTTTGTCCATAACTTTTGATTGAGAAGTCTGATCGAAAAAGTACGAATTGTTTTGGATTCTACGCACCAAAATTAATAAGAAAAAGTGTTTTCTCGAGAAATTTTGGTGTAGTCGATTTTTGGTAAAAAAGGAAGGTTATACACTGCCTTTTTATGAGGCCCGAAAAAAAATTGTCTCAGATCTTATAGAATTTGGCCCGTAGAATCCATAATTTCAAACAGTTTGAAGATTGGGCTACTAGATCAAAAGTAACAGCCCTTTGAAATTTTTTTCGAAATTGGTTTTTTGTCAATAACTTTTTATTGAGAGGTCTAATCGAAAAAGTACGAATCGTTTTGGATTATACGCACCAAAATTAATAAGAAAAATTGTTTTCCCGAGAAATTTTGGAGTAGTCAATTTTTGGTAAAAAAGGAAGGTTAAGTATTCAAATACTATGCGAAGTATTCGAATACTTCCTAAAGTATTCAAATACCTTGCGAAGTATTCGAATACGTTACGAAGTATCCAAATACTTTGCGAAGTATTCGAATAGGTACTAAATATTTGTGAAAGTGTTTGCGTTACAAACACAAGTACTGCTGCTATAAAAGTATTTAATTACAAAGTATTTGAATACTTTAAAGGATTTGAATACTAAAAAGTATTTACAAAATTGAATACTGGCCAGCTCTGTTTAAAATGCACTTTCACAACCTTGCTTAATCAAGGTCTATTTTCATCTCAACGCTTACTTACTTACATAATTATCGTGCGTTTTGAAAACATACCTACTGTGTATGCCAAATAGACAAAGATATTTCGCGCACTGTACTTCCTCAATGAACACTAACTCACCTTAATGTAACATATTTGAACAGTGAATCAACCTCGGAATCAACCGATAGATTAAATAATTAATTACGGCTTTGTCACAAGGCAAGGTTAAGTGCGAGATAAAATTGCGAGATTGAACCCACTCTATGGCGAGATTTTGATCAAAGTTTATTTACTAGCCTAGATCTCTGTACGAAAAAGTGTAACTATATACTCAATACTCATATTTCATAGATATTTTTCAAACAGAAAGGCATTTGCAGTGCCCCAAAAAATTGTACTTCCATTATATACTTAATTTTGGAATTATGGCGCCATCTTGCGGGGTATGTGTTTTAAAGGTACCTCTTAACGACAAAATATGTGGAAATTAGTGAATCCCAACTCATATATCGCACATAAATTCTAAACCGAAGAGTTTTGTGTTGGTAATGAAATTTCCCCTGGAATTGATAACTCGCCCCTTGTCTGAGGTAACCGAGCTTACAATTGAGATTCGAGATCAATCCTAGCATTTGTTGTCATAATCCTAACTATAATGTGGTTACATCAGTTATTTACCACCCCCGTGCCCGTGCGAAAAGTGTTAGTTTTTTGCTAATTTCGAAATGTTTCAAAAATGATCAAAATTGCCAAATTTGACTTGGGACCAAGGCCATGTAATCAAATACATAAATTGGGCAAACACTTACACCAAAAATGAAAAAGATCTGAAAACAAAGTTAACGGTATAAAACACGCGATTGTGGATTGAGGTTAAATCAAGTCAATCTCAAAAACAAAGGTTAAAAATTATAAACAAACATATAATGTTGTATACAAAACTCAAATAAATTCTAAAGAAATGCAATAAGATTACTACGTGCATTAAATAACACAGAAAGACAATATATGCTTTTCCAACGGCTATTAAAAACCCGAGATTGCGCAGACTGCAGAGGTGTATTATTTTCACCAAGTTTATTCATAGAAGTTAAGTAAAACAATCGATAGAGCTATATGATGAATTCCGAGGAAAACTGTACCATATCGTTAAATGAATGCGCATTAAATGTATTATAGTATATACAAAGTGGAACCTCTTATTAAAGGTGAACGTATCTTAATACGGTATCTCTACACCAACGGTATTCGTAGTTTAAATTTTCAAATCACACAACTCACACTTGTATCTCGTTTTTTATTAGTAAGATCTGTAGGTACGATATCAGATGTTTCAGTTTTGGAATTTTCTTTTGCATTTTGTTATCGTAGTTGCTTTATTTCTTGTATCTATTATTTATTATCCCTGTCTTGCTCGGAGCCCTCAACAGACTTTCGCCCAATAACAGAGTGACTCGCATAATGCTTTTTAGAGGTGTCCCTGCAGAATGTCTTAGGTTGTTCAATACTACCTTACTATTTAGGAAAACCTAATTCGGAGTAGCCGCTAGAATGCTCGAAACTGATATAAGGAAATGCCCATCTCTGTCACAGATGAAAAATTCTTACCTTCAGCCCAGGTTCGAACACCCGACCTCCAGCTATGTAGCTTAATGCTCTAGTCGTTGTCAGGTTTTTCCTTGTTTGGCTCTTTCGTTTAGATTTGCTCCGCCGCCTTCCGAAGGTGCTTCCTGCAGTAACCTTCCCTCCGAATGGTGCCGTATGGACCTGGACAGTTGGCGCTGCCCTTCACCCCTTGCTGGTTTTTAAGGATTAACTTCCAGTAGTGATCAGTCAAAATCGAATTAAAAAAAAAGAATGAAGAACATATAGAAAAAAAAATGACTTGAGCTGCAAAGTTAAGAGAGAGTTTATTAATAAATGGAAAGATATAGTAATCGTACAAATCATAAATCTACCTAAATTAAATTTTGGGACGCGCCTTCTGAAATAACTTCGGCCGCGAAGCGTCATACGATTTAGAATAAGCGTCCCAAAATGAAACTACAAATAACCTTAAAACATAGTAGCTTAAACATCTTTCGTGTTTCTTTTTCCCACGAGTTGATATCTGTCTATGGATCATCTTAAAACTAGAAAACGCTAAACTAATGAAAAGCTTAATAATTGTGGCTGTTAGTTAAGAAGACCTTTAGCTTTAAAAACATCCCGCATTAAACCTTTCAGGTACTTAATTTCTCTTTGAAGTTCGGTGATCTGACACTCCAATCCCTCGTTATGCTTCGCCAAATCGGTTTCCTCCTTTAGAATTTCCTCGACTTCGGCTTTCTTCTTCATACGGTAGCGTGTGGCCGCGTTTTTGTTCTGCTCCTTCTTGCGCGACTTGCGAGCCTCGTTGCCGACGCGCGAGTACGGTTTCGAGCGTCGTCTGCCTCCTCCGCCTTCCGCTCGTGGCGGCGAGGGCAAGGTTTCGTAATCGGACGACGACTCGACGGTCTCGGGTATCCACTCGGGATCGTCGGACGAGAAGTCGCTGCTGTTGCTGCAGGGGGAGGGCGGCGATTGGATGAGGTTCTCGGCGCGTGCGCGTATCAGCTCGTCGACGACGGCCAATTCGCGCGCGACGTCGGTTTGAAGGTCGGGTTGGGTGTTGTCGTACGACAGAACTTCGTTGAGAAATTGCTCCTGATCGGCGAGTTTCGTCGAGGCGATGACGGCGACGTCCGGGGGTACCGTTAAAGTTGTAAAGCTCGGCGGGCTTTGGGGAGGAGTTAGGGGGGTCGCTTGCGGTGCACTGTAGAGAACGTTTTCGAATTCTTGCCAAAAGTTTTGCGTGCTAACTGCGGACGAGTGCTGCTCAAGCGGCGGTGAGTAAGATGCGCTGCAGGCCAAACCCACATCCCCAAATATCTTCTCTTCCTCCAACCAATTCGGAAAAGGTTCTGGAGAAACGAAATCAATTTAATATTAATGAATTCAATATCTTGTATATAAAGTGGCATTTAAAATGCTTCTCAATCATCCAATTTATGTGGGACACGGTCAACTCGCCAAGGGCGACTCGCCACCGACCGACTAGCCAATGGGACAACTCGCCAACGCGACAACTCGCCAACGGCACAACTCGCCAACGCGACAACTCGCCAACGCGACATCTCGCCAACGGACGACTCACCACTGCGACAACTCGCCAACGAAATATTTTTCCCTGTTTAAAGGGTCATACAAATGCATCCCACAAATGCAATAGTCAGTTTCCCTAATTTTGTAAAAAAAGTTAATCGAAAAATCGTAGTCAATATTTGAATGAAGACCCAACCGCCTATACCTGTTTCTATTACTGCATTTTGATATAACGACATCTTCTGCAAATTATTATTTGAATAGAAAATTTGACAATCACATCGTTATTTGAACGACACATTAAACAGGGAAAAATATTTCGTTGGCGAGTCGTCCGTTGGCGAGTTGTCGCGTTGGCGAGTTGTCCCGTTGGCGAGTTGTCGCGTTGGCGAGTTGTCCCGTTGGCGAGTTGTCGCGTTGGGGAGTTGTCCCGTTGGCGAGTCAGTCGGTGGCGAGTGGTCCGGTGGCGAGTCGCCCTTGGCGAGTTGACGCGTACCGATTTATGTTTATCAACACTCTTAGAATGCTTGGGCTACAGACAAATTCAATAGAATATTTTTTACTGTAATTATTTCTATGCCATTTGGTTTGCATAACGCACCTGCACGTTGGTAAATGTTAGGTATACAAAATAGAACATGAGTTCGCACGCTTCAATCAAGTGAAAGTGACAGCGGCGATTGAACAAATCAAGGACTGATTGCTAGTTCAAAGTTGCGAATAATTGTGTGATGCCATTTGGGCTATATAATGCGCCCATTAGATTGTGAACCGTTAGATTGTGAAGGTTGGCAATGTCTAGTCTAGATGAAAGCAATGTTATTAAACTCCGAAAGCACCAGGAGTTCATTCAATGCGCAAAAGAGTTGTTTACCAAACCTGACAGCTACTTAAAATTCACATGTCTCATATCATCATCTCATGTTTTAAAAAAATAAGATCAACAGCCTTGACATATTATTAATATCCTTAAGGCCAAATCCGATAAGACTACAAATGTGTAAAAATATAAGCTATTGCGGAAAAGAAACTTGAAAGGTTATTTTATGCAAATATCTCTAGCTAAAAATGTGGTTTAATTAATAGTGAAAGCGTGTACAATATTAATCAGCCTTGGTTATAGTAGTAGGTACCCCGAAATGATATTTGAGACCTCCATCGATGATATTTGGGTCACTTTTACCATTGAATAAATTCTAAACAAGAATTTAATTACATAAACTATTTACACGTGGAGACTTGTGCGCAATATTTACTTGAAAAATCCTAACGCTAACAGGTGATATTAACCTTAATCTACAAATTACAGATAATGAGAAACAATGGGAGATCAGTAAACTTTAAATAGATCGTCAATTACAATAAAATAAGAATTGCAAGAGTATTTTTAGTGTGGTCTAAACTATAAAAAGGCGGATGATTAGAGAACTCGTTTCTCCTTGAGTTTAATTTATCCAAATGTCTTCAAACTGGTTTTATCTCTTGTGATAAAGTAAACGTGTTTTTCGAAAAGCAATCTCCCCCTCATTTTGGACCATAAGCCCTATATGGCCATTAGATTTTCACTAGTAAACGTGGCGGTAGACAAAAGTATTGGAAATTTTTGTTCGGAGGGGTTATTAAACTCTTGCCATTGGTAAATTGATGAGATGACCCTGTCTATTAATTTTATTCGCTCTATTAGTGAGGATGAAACTGTTTTCACAAGCACTCACTGAGCAATATATATGCAAAAATATGCAAACAGATCCAAAGACACGAATTCCTTACCCTAAAACAGAAGAGTGAACATGGTATACAATCCGCCCCTACCCTAAATTGTGCAACTTTGCCTTCAAGTTTAAGGAGTTATGATTTTTGCTGTTTTTTGAGCACTGTTTTTTTACCAGAAGGGTAGGGTTAGGGTATGGAACAATTGAGGAGGTATTAAGAAAATGTGAACAAAGCGCGAAGTGGGCGCAAACGTCAATCAGTGCGTGAACAAGAAGGAATGAGTCATGAAAAAGCATAAAGGTAGCCGGAGAAGAGCTTAATAAAAGTGTGCATCCGAATAAATTCTACTTTGGCTCTCTAGCTACGTTCAAGAGAGATCCATCTGCATAGGGCATCTTTATAACAGATTAGACAACGCATTGTTTATGTTTTCCTTTTCCAATTCATGGAATTGTGTAATTTAATTCCTAGTAACGCGTCGACGAATTGATTTGACTGGTTTTGTTAAGGAACAGATGAAATTTAGAGAACCGGTTCAAACTTTCGACCGTTCCTAGTGCATTCTCCAAAAAAGCAAGCGGTAGGTATTCGAAAAATCACCGAGTGGGAGCGCCAATAAAAAAAACGGCACAAGGCTAGACAAGCTGGCTTGCACCAAGAAAGTGATTTTGCACACAAAAAAAAACCGAATGCAACTAGTGCATGCCCAACCTTCGAATTGCATGAAGCTGCATACAAACTTAGATACAAATGGCCCTGATTTGATGAGTAAAAAAGCGTCCAATCATTGACCCGCAGATATGACTTAATTTCTTACTCAATGACACGGTTCTGATTTCGATGCACAATGCTCCACTGTCTTAATCACAGATAAATCGAGAAGTCAAAGTTTTCTGAACGACATTTTTGGTCCCCCTAACCTTTGGCATCATGAGATTGCGTCAAAAGGACGATTCACCCTCCATGCACTTACGTTCGGAGGTTGCGCAACGAGGAAGTGGTGGTTTTTCGTACGAAGTGGAAAAAGCCTTGCCCCGAACACCAGTGATAAAAATGAGGTTGAAAGTCCAGGTTTTGATTAAACAAACGAGCTAAAGATGTTGACAAAACGTGCATACATGCATCATAATAACATTAATATACAATTAATAAAGGCGAAAAGAGGAGTGGTAGGCGCGCAATATTGAAGGTTTTTGAATTTGCCACACTACGCATGTGTGATTGGCGATATTAATTATTTATAAAATTGTATGAATTGTCATTGAGATCAATTAAATAACGCGTGTGGTCCGCTACAATGTGGAACAAAGAGAGACCTACCATAAGAAACAGCCATGGCGCTAGTTAATTAATTAACTACAAAATCTCCTTCTGGGCGATTTCCTCTTCAGCGTCTTTTTACAAGTTTTTGAGAATTGACGATTATTTCACGATTCCACGTAACGCGATAGCTGCACTTCATGCTATTACGAACGGTAGTGGAAAAGGACATTTGTACGGTTATACATTAGGGAGCAACGGGAAGAATAATAGCGCACGGTTTGGAAAACAACACAAAGCACTTGAGATGAACACGGTACGCGATCGACCAAGCGAGTGGCTACCGATGTCCACTCAGGCTCGCTTCTGGGTGACGGAAATTCCCCTCCTCAACACACACGTGATTACCTTCCAGAGATAACGCGCCAGTTTTCGCGTGGAAAACAAAGATGGCACCAACATTTCGATAACCCAACTTAGCCAGTTATCTCGTGTTTGCAACAATCTAGAGCGCCGAAATTGCACAAACGACGACAGAAATCGGTGACCTCAAAACTTCCGGGCGAAAGGGAATAGTAAAGTTTCGGTTGGAAACGCCGCGAGCGCGTTTTTCCGGGTAGCGTTACGGTTCGAGTCATTCGTAGGAAAAATGCAAGTGGCGATTATGGGATTCCCGAACCGCTCGGTTCATTCCCGTACGTCTAAATGATCTGAAATCAAATAATTGGAGCAGGACTTTTCAGGTAAACAGGAACTCGAAGGTAATTCCTAATCATGAGCTAGCCGTCGGCATAAATCGTTACTCACCCCCTTTGATGATCTCATCTAGATCCTCTTTAATAAATTCGTCCAAATTTTCGAGCCGCTCCAAGCCTTCCAAAAGTTTGCCGGCCACTTGCGCCTTAGAATCGCACGAACTCAATTCCGATTCTACCGATTCGATAGCTTCGTCTAAAGATGATCCATAGAGATCTATAAACTCGGAAGCGAGCGCCTCCTCAAAATTCTGAGGGGACGCCGGCTCCTGCTTCCACTCCGCTGACGACGGTGCGGTGATCATCATCGCGGCGGCGGTTTCCTTCGTTTAAATACTGAGAAAGATCGTTTAAGTTGCTTTGTTCTGCCTCGATAAGGCGAGCTTGTAAATAAAGCGCCATGGTGGCTCTGTAAGAAATAGAGGTTGTTGTTAATATATGGCGATAACGAAAATATGTAAATATGCAAAACGTGGACGGGTAAATTCTATGTAGGGGTATGGGGATCAATAAACGCCGCTTTTATAAATCGGCAAAAGACTTGCCACACTCTCTTCAGCTTAGGAAAAGTCACCATAGCAAACCTCTATCCTACCTAGGGTTGCATAAATTGCTTTTTAGCAACACAGGCAGACTAGATTTGCTTAAAAATTAGCATTCTAGAGACACACCTAGGCAGGGTAGGGACTCAGCATAGGAAAAGTCACCCTAGCAAACCTCTACTCTACCTAGGGTTGCAGAAATTGCTTTTTAACAACACAGGCAGACTAGATTTGCTTAAAAAGGAGCATTCTAGAGACACACCTAGGCAGGGTAGGTGTTCAGCTTAGGAAAAGCCACACTAGCAAAACTCCACTCTACCTAGGGTGGCAAAAATTGTTTCTTAACAAAACAGGCAGACTAGATTTGCTTATAAATGAGCATTCTAAAGACACACCTAGGCAGGGTAGGTGTTCAGCTTAGGAAAAGTCACCCTAGCAAACCTCCACTCTACCTAGGGTGGCAAAAATTGTTTTTTAACAACACAGGCAGACTAGATTTGCTTAAAAATGAGCATTCTACAGACACACCTAGGCAGGGTAGGTGTTCAGCTTAGGAAAATTCACCCTAGCAAACCTCTACTCTACCTAGGGTTGCAAAAATTGCTTTTTAACAACACAGGCAGACTAGATTTGCTTAAAAATTAGCATTCTAGAGACACACCTAAGCAGGGTAGGGGCTCAGCATAGGAAAAGTCACCCTAGCAAACCGCTACTCTACCTAGGGTTCCAGAAATTGCTTTTTAACAACACAGGCAGACTAGATTTGTTTAAAAAGGAGCATTCTAGAGACACACCTAGGCAGGGTAGGTGTTCAGCTTAGGAAAAGTCACCCTAGCAAACCTCTACTCTACCTAGGGTTGCAGAAATTGCTTTTTAACAACACAGGCAGACTAGATTTGCTTAAAAAGGAGCATTCTAGAAACACACCTAGGCAGGTTAGGTGTTCAGCTTAGGAAAAGTCACCCTAGCAAACCTCCACTCTACCTAGGATGGCAAAAATTGTTTTTTAACAACACAGGCAGACTAGATTTGCTTAAAAATGAGCATTCTAGAGACACACCCTTTTCTGAGGCAGGAAAAAAAATTGCCCCAGATCGACCCGGAAAAAAAATGTTCTTATAGAATGTGGCCTGTAGAATCCATAATTTCAAACAGTTCCAAGATTGGGCTACTAGTTCAAAAGTTACAGCCCTTTCAATTTTTTTTCAAAATTGGTTTCTAGTCTATAACTTTTGATTGAGAAGTCTGATCGAAAAAGTACGAATTGTTTTGGATTCTACCCACCAAAATTAATAAGAAAAAGTGTTTTCCCGAGAAATTTTGGTGTAGTCGATTTTTGGTAAAAAAGGAAGGTTAATACACTGCCTTTTTTTGAGGCCCGCAAAAAAATGGTCTCAGATCGATCCGGAAAAAAATTTTCTTATAGAATGTGGCCTGTAGAATCCATAATTTCAAACAGTTCCAAGATTGGGCTACTGGTCTCAGATCGATCCGGAAAAAAATTTTCTTATAGAATGTGGCCTGTAGAATCCATAATTTCAAACAGTTCCAAGATTGGGCTACTAGTTCAAAAGTTACAGCCCTTTGAATTTTCTTTCGAAATTGGTTTATAGTCTATAACTTTTGATTGAGAAGTCTGATCGAAAAAGTACGAACTGTTTTGGATTCTACGCACCAAAACTAATAAGAAAAAGTGTTTTCCCGAGAAATTTTGGTGCAGTCGATTTTTGGTAAAAAAGGAAGGTAATAACTGCCTTTTTTTGAGCCCCGAAAAAAAAATTGTCTCAGATCGATCCGGAAAAAAAATTTTCTTATAGAATGTGGCCTGTAGAATGCATAATTTCACACAGTTCCCAGATTGGGCTACTAGTTCAAAAGTTACAGCAAACCGAAAATTTTAAATTTTCTTGAAAATATTATTCTTTGCCCACCTATCAATGCGCAGTTTCGTCTTTGAAAGACTTAAATATCTGCGATTCCTGTGAAATCTTCGAAAGGTCTTTGTGAAATTACCTACGGACTTTTGTCATTTTGTAGGATTTGCTCATATGCGATGTGCATCGCCTCTCGAGTTGGAGTATTTCAGAAATAAAATTAACAGAAATTGCACAACTCCCCCATATCTAATCTTGTAATTAAATATTAATTCAGCGTGTTGAAAATGTTAATCAAAACCCGGTGCAAAATAATTACATCGTAATCGAAATTACGGTTTGGTACGTTCGGCCATTATTAAAACTGTCCACGCGGCGTCTACGCCACTGGCTGAACGCGCCGCATTCCAAGTAATTATTGATACTTAGACTACTGCCCAGCTTAATTCATACCACTACAAATGTGGGCAACACTGCAAAATAGTTAAAAATGGTTTAATTAGCACAAATTTTGAAACGGAAACACGTGATATTATTGTAAACGTTTGCTAACAAGGCACATTGTGCAATAACTCGATAAGATAATATCACGAAATAAATACATGGAATATGTTTTTTGAATTAACCGTACCTAATAATTACCTATGTCGTAATCGAGCCTGAAGTGCTTACGGATCGAGGCGATATATTAACGGGAACGTAATTACTATTCAAAAGGTTATTGTGGGTCATCTGTACATTTCCCCCTTTCTCTTAAACGTAAAGAAACTCGTTCGAAATCGATCCAATTACCTACTAAGGAATGGGGTGAATTTGAATTATATCGATTTAATTGGCGGGCGCGCGTAAAATATTAACGAGAGGAAAAAATAAGCGAGCGATACTTACTCCATTATGATAATTGTGCTGGGCACACTTGCGTGTGCGGGAAAAAAGGCCCACTAGATCCCCATCGCTGCTGCACTTGGCACAAATACAAAATATGAAACACTACAACGAGAGCATGAACAAGCAATGATGGCTGACGCGTCTTTTAGTTTAGGTATTCCAAGAATGGGTGTCTTACGTCAGCAAGGTAGACCTGCGCAGTGCGCACAACTGCTCCCGCTCATAAAACGAGGAAGTAAAAAAACATTTGACAATCCCAAGGATCTATAAAAAAGGAGTTATGTAACATACCATATACCTACGAGTAAAAAATTCGTAGCCATATACCTACCGAGCGTTCGAAATTAGACCATCTGTAAATTTCGGTAAGGAACCTATGTAGCCAATTTTCATTTCAATTTAATTGCTAATGGTTAGACCACCAACAATGCACAATTCTTATAAACCTTCCAGTTTTCAATAATTATTACAGAGGGCCACTATGGGCATGGGTAAATTTGGTTAAATGGGAAAAAAGTTACGCAATCAAAGGTTTAAAAAGATCCCGGGGAAAATGTTTTTGGTTTTTGGAATATTTGGATAAAATCGGGGTTTGCACTTTTTTCTGGCGGTTGATGACCTAGAGCAAAACCAATGGGTAACTTCTTTCTTCACAACTTCTAATGACGTTTTCTCATTGCTGAACCATTATCGTAGGTAATTGCACGTGCATCAAAATTACCGATAATTTTTTTGAAAGCATGTTGTCTAAAAACTGCATGAGTTTATTTTCATATTTTGGCGAAAGAGCTCTTTTAACAAAATATGAAAATGACCGAATGCAGTTTTTTACTGACAACATGCTTGAATAAAAAATTATCAGGTTTATTTTGATGCATGAGTGTAATTTAGGGGATAATTTCACGTGTGCTATTTCAGCGACTATTCAATTCATCTAACATTTGTCACATTTCAACCAGTGAAATGTCTCGATTTCAAATTGCTGCGCCAATGAGAACGAATTATAGTGATAATTGCACGTGTGGTATTTCAGCGATAATTTCACTTGTGGTATTTCAGCGACAATTCAATGCGATTATTCAATGACATTTGTCAAACTTCCACCAGTGAAATGTCGCGAAATTTTGTCGTATTAACCGGAACATTCTTCTTAGTTTGTTAATCAATTTCGACAACCGACATCACCACATCTTTTAATTTAATCACTCATAACGAATTAGCTTGGAGCACAAAAGTTCGAATAGAATCAATAGCAAAATAAAAAGCAACTTCCGTAATTTATTTTGACGTTTATTGTTGTCATGGATATACATTCGCGTGGGTTAATTATGCTTAATTTTTCTTTTGATTCATTGAATAGTCCTCCGAATACCATTCGTAGTCGAAGTATTTGTAGATTATTTTTGAGCTGCTGCTCCACTCATGCTAGTTACGCTTTTTAATACCACTCGCGCAAGCGCTCGTGGTATTAATCAGCGTAACTAGCATTCGTGACAGCACCTCAAAAATATTCGACAATACTTCGACTACTTATGGTATTATATATGAATATTTCCCGAACAAGCATTACTTGTCAAACTGACGTTACCTACTTATAAATTGTCGGTGTATTGTGAAATTGTCCAAAGGAGTTGCCAGTTGCCATGGATATGGACAGTGCAATTATCGCAGGGCTCTTTCGCTTTCTACAGTGCAATTATCGCTGTAATTGAGCGATAATTGCACACCTCATATGGCATTTATGACATTCAACTTAATTTTTTTAATACGGCCAATTCCGCGATATTATTTTGAATTCATTGATTTATATTTTTTATACTATTAAAATTGAGACTTAGCCTTCTTTTCGAGCTTAATTAAAGCAAATTCCTATTACGGACCTGTATACAGGATGGTTCAAATTCGTGATTCACAATTGGTCCGTAACGGTGGGAGTACATGGGGGAAATAAAAACGTTTTGGAAATTTTTGAAAAATCATTGAAAATGACTCAAAAATTGAAAATGTGCAATTTCGTGAATTTCATTTTCACTGGCCCAAACGGTCGGAAATGAACACCACCTTCTTTCTCTATGAGCACTTTTTTTTCGGAGAATATGAATCTGTTTATCAGTATAGCACATTTGCTAGATGTAAAGGCGGCTACTTGAATCTTCAGAATTGTTGCTAGATGTAGGTAATAGCTACAAGGTTGCTGCTACTTACTTACCAAAGGACTTTTATGTTCTATGGGTGCCACACACAGCCTTCACCGCTGTATTTTGTGGGGATCCAAATGAGACACACTCCCCTCTTTGGCTTAGGTCGCTCCATTCCCAACACTCCAACTTACAATGCAGCAATCCCGCATGATTACCAACTTTAAAATTATAAAAAGAACAACCACTCAGAATGCGTCACATCCATCCCCCCTTTGGTCAACGCCGCCAGGTGAACGATCATCGTTGGTTGAAGGTTCATTGCCAAAACAAGTGAACCAACAGCCTGTCTCACGCTCAGGATGTGAAGCTATGACTCCTCATCATGGTTGCAAATGCTCTGTGTTTAAAACAGAGTATTGGAAGACCAACTACAGAAATGATCCTGTGAAGTATAGTCTTGATATATTTAGATAGTCTCCAAAAGGATGTACCAAATTCGTTTTCCGATCAGCCGGCAGCGAAACTCACAGCGCCATCTGTGCGAATGGATATGATACCGATGTCCAAATTGTTTATTAATTATTGATACAGGTATCTATAAAATCTCATGGAAAACAGCAATAACAAAGTAAAATAGCTTATATACATTGTGGCTTATGCCTAATACATAAAATGCCTCTACAACTAGCACATTATGTATCACCATTCAATCAATATTAAACAATCCCGTAACATCAGCCAAAGTAAGCTCCGCATGCGGAACAACGGCGATTCTTTAAAGCAAGACAGCACAGTATGCCGATCGGGAAGAATAGGATCGCGCACAAGAGTCCCAAGCATGTGTAGTCGTCCTCCAATACACCAATGCGACATGCCGGACAAGCGCCGACTGTTATAATTTGAGGTGGAACAATAATCGTGGTATTCGGTGCGGTCGATCCGTAATTCGGTCCGATCATCTGGGGATACATTGGTACATTGCTGAACTGGTCATTTTGCGGATCTGTGCGGAAAAGCTAAGTAAGCGAGTACGGTTAGGGGACGATACTCACTTGATACGAACGTTTGCGCATAATAGGGTGCACCCGGATAAGGATTGCTGATATTTTGAGCATCTACGCATAAAAATTTAGTACAATGAGAAGTGTAATAAATTGCTTACTTATCGGTGGGCTGTAAGGGGGCGGTAAATCCCTATTGCCTACAATTGAAACAAATTAACTTTACTATAAAAGCGCCTTTTTTAGTTACCTGTCCCAGCGTTTAGTGGATATGGCGGTTCTTTATGTACAGTTGGATGCATTTTGTAAATTGCACGCAAACGAAAAAGGATGACTAATAATGATTTATAAAAATTGTTGATCGTATCAATTATCAACAATAACTCAACATATGATAAATGCCATTACTGTTAAAGAATGGTTCACAAATGCCTGACGTCATTGCTTTAAAATATTTTGGCGCTAAAAAATATACGCGCCGTTGGCGTAAAGTGTAACTACAATAAAAATCTGCAGTTTCGTACAAGATGTCATAGTCTAAAAAAATAAATAAATAGGAAATGCAAACGTTTCATATACACCACCATGTTTTATACCGAAATAAGGCTCAATAATTTAACGCCGCACTTTTGAGTTTCTATCATTCCAACATCGATGCTAAAACTGAAACTAAACACAATTCGTTTTCCTTATATAGCAAGCAAAAAGCCTCTAGGAAATGTTGGGACATCCGCATATCATATTTCAGAGAAAGAATGAGTTACATCCACGTTTATCGCTTGGTAAAATTCTAGAACGTTCACTTCCCCCCTCCATCCCTCTAGTGCGACTTTATTTATTTATTTGATGTCCCTCTCTCTTGTTCTGGACCCTCAACACAGGCTTTCGCCCAATTACAGAGTGATCCGCATAAAGTTTTCACAATTGATAAATAACGTAGACGCGTTATGAAAGTAATGACAACAAGAAATGTGCAATTAAAAGCAATTTGTTGTCCCGTAAAGTCAACCCTCTACCCTCACGATCCAAAATTCCAGAATTAACCACGAATCTATTGTTCGTTCACCATCTTCAACAAACACACGCTTCCGCACTACTTAGGTAGAAATACATTGTGGGGGTTCCGGTTCTGTGACTTCAATAATTTTTGCTCCGGTTCCTGTTCGAGTTTTCGTTCGGTTTTTCGGGATTCCAACATGAAGCAATAAAAATATATTATATTTTTTATTTATTTATTTATTTCTTTAACCAGATACCATACAGAATGCAAGTATTCCAATTACATGGCACTGGCACATACATAGAGCATTTTGCAAAGACATATTTGTTAGGTTTAATTGAAAATTCTTACATACAATATTTTGTCGTTAATAACAGTACCTAAGTAACGAAATTTTAAAATCAGCAATATAGTGTGTTCGCGGTAATAGGGTCACCTCAATATCTTTTTTATTGGGAACATTACGATCTATCCAATTGCATATTGAAACGTCCGGTAACACTTCTGGTTTAATAGAAATTCATGATTCAATATTTAAAAGAACTTATGAGATCTAGCACGCCGTGTGCTGTCATAATGTGCGCTGTCTGTTGTGTTACATGGGGAAATATACAATGACAAATTTTTCGTATTCCCCCAAATAAAAGAGATATCGAGGTGACTCTCTTCTCTCGAACACACTGTATATACAACAGTTTTACTCAAATTATAACTGCATGTTATAGCTTTCAGGCTATTTCTATTTCGATGGCCAGTGACTGATGGACTTTCTGTATGAGAATTAACCCTCCATCAAGTACCAACGACCTCGTGAAGAGGGCGTATGAGCGGATGGTGACTAAAGCACTCTATCGTCCTTGAATTAGAAAAAAAGCCCCTAAAGGCGGATGAGTCCTCAGAGACCAACGGCACGGAATAATGTGGAAAGGAACGGCAAAACCTCCTAGCAGTTTCCAAAAGTAATCAGTTTTTTAAAATGTCGAGTAATAGTCCCCCCAATTGGATCGCCGGGTGGGGACTATCGGAGATTGCGCTTTACGTACGAAAAAGAATAATAGCACGAGCAGAATAGCTACTTGGAATGTGCGAGCCTTATTGCAATATTGAAAGCTAGAAAGTCTAATTTTGGAAATGACAAGAATAAAGATAGCGATACCAGTTACAGATGGCGTAAAGCCCGTTTGTAACGATCCCTTATTTAGTCAATTTTTAAATAATTTTTTTAGGAACAAAAAAATTGAACATTTCATACGTCAACTTTGATCAATTTTTTGGTAGTTGAAAGTTGTCCTATTTTTGTAATGTTTAGAACCTGTCCTATTTTCCCTCAATTTTTTAATAACTTTTGACAGATTATAGGAAATTTGTAAAATTAAAATTAAATTTATATTCAGAAACAAAAATAGTATATTAAGATACAAGTGTATAATCAAGTCTTTAAAGCACGCGCAACGAGTTTAAGGGCACGACGCAAAGCGGAGTGCCTTTAACGTTGCAAGTGCTTTAAAGACCAATTATACACGTGTATCTTATAGTATTTTTTATTATACCTGCAGTATAATTTAAAAATAGGAAATTCAATGAAATCATATTGACGTTATACTCGAATACATGTCTAATTAAGTGGGCTGGGTGTTCGTAATTTCACGATTGCCATGGAAATGTCACTTGACGTTTGCTTATAAAAATTATCGTCTTTGTGAATAAAACGATTTCCGTTGACAATTCAACTCATGTATAAAAAATCGCATAAGCCGCAGTGAAATTGTCACTTTGACAGCGGAAAAAGTTACCTGCAACTTTTCCAGCGACAAATGCACTAGTGGTTTTTTCACTTATTCATTTTCGAACCAATAATCGCATTATCCTTACCCATATGACTAGTTTGACGTCAATAATTGATTAGTTTGGTGAATTTCTTGTTCGTTAAATTGTCCTGCCGAATTACACTCGAGGTTTGTATTTAAACCGAATAAATTTGGGTTGTGGCAATTCAAATCTGTTTCCTTTTAGCAATTGGACTCGAAAAACTGTCAACCTAAAAATGCTCCACCTGCGGTGTCGCATTTTTATTAGTTGACAGTTTTTCTCGTCGAATTGCTAGGCAACAGATTTTCATTACCTTAACAACCCAAATTTACTCGGTAAAATACAAACCTCTTGTGCAATTATAAGTGAAAAAAATAATACACCGTCCATTAAATCGCTTGTTGTAAAATCTAAACAAACGTTGGTAGGTGTAAAATCTCAATCCAGTAAAGCCTATTATCAAGCATATGAAAAGTTGTTTCCATGGATGAATAGGAAGTTACTTACGAATAAAGTCTTAAATGCATCGATAATGCTGGCATATATGAAGGAAATATCAAAGGTATTTAAATCTTCTATCTTTTGGTGCATTCATTCAAAACTTCACTTATTGCTGGGACTAAAAAGTGGAACAGATTTGGAAGCATACCCTAAATTACGCGCGTTTGTAAAAGCTTCAACCAAAGGATAGGTAGGTACAAGCCAAAGAAATGTTCTGCATTTACAGAAAGCGACTTAGGAAGATTTTTTATTTCACCCAGATGACAGTTTCAAAAGTCATACTTGAAGTATCGTTACTTAGCAACTTTAAAGCACGTGTGTTTTAAAGGCCTTTTTTCGCACGCATTTGAGTGTTTAAAACGGAGATTGTGATTCAGGTATAATAAAAAATAATATGCTCTGTATCACCAACAACCGTTTTGCGCAGATGCCGAATACTAGGGGATTTTGGTAACGAGGCTAGGGGAATGAGAAGATGGCGACGAAGTCGACGGAAGGCACACGCTTTCCCGGTTTTTTGATTATTCTTGATTATTTTTGGTGGTGGTGTTTTGAGGGTGTATTTACAGGTAGTAACCATTTTATTCTTTCTTGTACTAGCTATTTAATCATTGAATTTCTTGCCACAATTTGATATTATTTACATTTTGATTAGATGAATCGTGTTTGTAATACTGTACAGATGATTATGCCATTATTTTGTTTAATTAAGAATTTATTTCTGTTATTCACGAGGGGTTGATTATCGGTGTGATGTTGCTCTGTTCGATTGACCCGTAACTATTCCGTGAGGGAAGTACCTAATACAGTTTGATGGTTCGCTGTATCTGTTACTTTCTGTTTCGTGGCGCGCTGCAGTTCTTGCGCGTTAGCTATACGAAGGGGGGCCCTTTTACATGATGTTTCGATGTTTGTGTGTGCGAGTGGGTCATTCTGTCTCCGTGGAGTAGGTACCTAATGCAGTTAGATCTTTCGCTGTATCTGTTGCTTACTCGTCTCGTGCGGATTGTAGTTCTTAACATCTTAGCAATACGAGCGGGGCCCTCTCATTTACATTTTCTCTATTTAAAATATGTTCTGCTTGAGCGATAATCGATTTTCACATGAATACTTGCTATTGACCAATGGCATTCTCACATGTACTTTTCGTGTTAAATTAAATTATGTTAACGGAAGGCTGGAGTAGAGCCACACCATTTACATGTTTCCTATGTACATGCAATTTGTTTATTTTACGAGTTGTGTTATCTCTATTGATCGTACAGGTATTTTGATGTGTTTTTCTACTGAATTGATTTATCATGTTTTCCACTGCATTTATGATGTCTTGTGTATTTTGATTTTATGAACTTGTTTAATTGCCTTTTGATTTTTATCATACAATTTAAGATGCTTTATTTATGTGTATTTTCTCTTACATTTTTATTGCTGTAGGTGATTTATTTCATGTATTTGTGTGGCCTATGCCAGGGTTTTAGTCCCGGAGAAGGTTTCCCTGGCATGGTCTTGTGTGTGCGTTAATATATTTATTTGATCTTGTCATTTCTTACGCACAAAAGTTCCGTCTTTTATTTAATTCCCTTCCCCATTATGTCTCACGTCCCATCACATAAAAGAACCGATTACACAACGTAGGAGTCCATTCGTGCCACGCATATCGAGCCGACTGCCATCCAAATTCAAAAGTGTCGCGAGACTACCATCGTTTCGACTTGAAAGGTAGGTGGCTCTGCTTGTAGTTTTTGCCAGAGCTGCCAACCGTAAGTATAGGGTAAGTCAGCGTTTTCCGTGTCGGCTTGATAGACCCCCTCTAGGAACATTACAACGTTGACAGTAGATAGAGACCTTAGTTTACAGAAGATAAATATTTAGTCTCCAGATTTAATATAACATAGGTTATGTACAAATGTTTACATTTTACAGGTACTAAAAAATTGACAATATTATGGAATGTTACATACAGTTTCATCATTTATGACATTTTTGGGATAGCATTATCTTTATTGAAGAAAAAAAGGACTAAACATTTGACTAAGTGTTCGTTACAAACGGGCTTAAGAGTGGTGTTGAGTAAAAGATTGAAAAGAGAAAAAAAATCTATCAAATGAACCTAATGAATTCAATTGTTTTTCGTTACCCATTTGTTTTCTATATTAAAAACAACTGAATGCTGCTTTAACCAACAACAACCAACTTTATGGAAATATTATACCGGGTGGTGCCTAGCGCGACGCAGCATAGGGATTTCAATGGTAATTTCTTTATAGTCAATTACTAGCTCCCCTAATTATTTTAGAGCAAAAGTTTAAATACGTTTTTTTTAGAGAAAAAAATACTGCATCTGTTCATACTGTTACTCATAATTTTCCGTTTTTCAAAACCGTAGAAATCGACAAAATAAAAAGGTTCATTTTACAATAAATCAAATATGCCTTGGAATTACCTAAGAAAACAACAATCACGTTTCATTATTTGCCTTTGACGTATATTAAATGTATACTTGTTTATAAATTAGTTAAAGAACTGCAAGTGCAATAACGTTCAAAATGTCCGTCAAAACCATCAGGAAAACGACAATACATTCAACGTTTTGGCTGCAGTAGCGGAAAATCCGAATATAAGTTTAGGAACAAATCTTCTTCAAATCAGTTTTTTTTCTTCGATTATGTAGGTACTCTGATTCCAGAGAATGATAAACAAATAGTATCTGATGCAGATGCACCATACATTCTCTAAAAAAAACATTACCCTAAGATGCCTTTTATTGCGTCGGTTAGTTGCAACAGAATTAAATATGAAAATCGTTCGACGTCAAACAACGATAACTTACATGCGATGCGCTTGTAGTTTGTTAAAAGATTCCAAAGCATCACTGATTTATAAAAATGTAATTTTTTATTTTGTCGATTTCTACGGTTTTGAAAAATGGTTAATTATAACTAAAAGTATGAACAGATGCAGTATTTTTTTCTCTAAAAAAACGTATTTAAACTTTTGCTGTAAAATAATTAGGGGAGCTAGTAATTGACTATAAGGAAATTACCATTGAAATCCCTATGCTGCGTTGCGCTAGGCACCACCCTGTATATATAATATATGCAATGCTATTATAATCAAACTCAAGTTTGTAGTTTGTAAGATTGGTTGCATGGATATTAGGCGCAACATCGAATTTTAGGTGAACAGACCTTTAAAAATAAAAGTAACTTTCATGACGTCACCAAAAATGACAGTACACTGACAGCAATCGACATTTTTCAAAATAGCAGTTTTTTACTTTCCACATTAATCAAAAAAATATGTTACACTTGGTAGCACGTAACTTCCAACTACAGAAATAGTTATTAATTTCGGCGCCTTAATTAAAGTGTAAATGTAGTGATTAGAGCCTAAATTATCCCTTACACGTCATTAGAATGATGCCCTTGCACCACCTGAAGGGAATCATTGCAGTCTAATTTCCGTTTTGACGTCGACAATGCAATCGAATTCGAAAACGCGAGAAATGTTTATTATACGCGCGCTAGAAAAGATACTCAACGATAAGGAAATTAAACGTTCGCACCATTCGCAGCTGAAACGAGCCTGCGAAGCGGCATTAGGTAATGTTCCACGCGCTGTCGCTTAATTATAACCGGAAAGCTTTTACAGAGGAAATTAAAAGGGAACTGAAGGACTCGGACGGCAATGAGAAAATATCGGATGCCCTTCCCGTACCGCGCAGTGGGAATGTCAACCATTTAACGACCGAGAAGTATTTTTTACCGTTCGAGCTCGCATGCCAGAGCAAATCGTATCGTATTGTGGTTACCGCCCTCGACTGTCTACAAAAGTTAATAGCATACGGTCACCTGACTGCAAACGTACCGGACTCTACAACGCCCGGCAAACTTTTAATCGACCGAATTGTGGAAACTATCTGTGCCTGTTTTACTGGTCCGCAAACGGATGAAGGTACGTGTGATCCAGATGTCACTGTTAAACCAATCAAAATGACTAATGAACTGTGACGGTTGGGCCCATTGAAAAATTCACAGTTCATTAGTTGTATCAGGGTTGGCATGTTTAAAACAAAATGTGATTTTTTTATTGTTTCTTTAGGAGTGTATCAAGTTGGCAATAGATTTAACTCCCATGAACCTAGCAGAGCAAGGTCAGCAGAACACAAACATATTGCATAATTAGGTGCTAATTAAGTGCCCTATCCTAGAATTAAATGCTCCTTTTTTTAAATTATGACATGCTCTGGCAGGTTCATATGAACTCATCAAAAAAACCATGAAAATGAAAAGTGAATTATAATTAGGTACTAATTAGGTGCTAATTAAGTACCCTATCCTCGAATTCAATGCTCCTTTTTTTAAATTATTACATGTTTTGCCAGGTTCATATGAACTCGGCAGAACACTACCTCAAAAAATCAAGAAAATGAAAGGTGAATTAACTATAATTAGGTACTAATTAGGTGCTAATTAAGTGGCCTATTCTCGAATTAAATGCTCCTTTTTTTTAAATTATTAGTACATGTTCTGCCAGGTGCATATTATGAACTCATCAGAGCACAACCTCAAAAAACCAAGAAAATGAAAAGTGAACTAACTATAATTAGGTACTAATTAGGTGCTAATTAAGTGCCCTATCCTTGAATTAAATGCTCCTATTTTTAAATTATTACATGATCTATCAGGTTCATATGAACTCAGCAGAACACTACCTTTAAAACCCAATAAAATGAAAAGTGAACTAACTATGATTAGAAACTAATTAGGTGCTAATTAAGTGCCCTATTCTCGAATTAAATGCTCCTTTTTCTAAATTATTACATGTTCTGCCAGGTTCATATGAACTCAGCAGAGCACTACCTCAAAAAACCAAGAAAATGAAAAGTGGACTAACTATAATTAGGTGCTAATTAAGTGCCCTATCTCCGAATTAAATGCTCCTTTTTCTTAAATTATTACATGATCTAGCAGGTTCATAATTTAAAAAAAAGGAGCATTTAATTCGGGAATAGGGCACTTAATTAGCACCTAATTATGCAATATGTTTGATTGTGTTCTGCTGACCTTGCTCTGCTAGGTTAATGGACATATTTAACTCCTCCCCCTTACAGTTACATTCAGATGTGACGAGATTGGTTTTGTTCTACATTCTACTCCACAATTTTGTATAAAAACTGCCCCCCCCCTCCCAATTTTTTGTAAAAATTTGTTAAATTTAAATTTAAGAAATTTTTTGTAAAAATTTGTTAAATTTAAATTTAATTTTTAGGCGTGCAACTGCAAATAATCAAGGCACTATTAACTGTCGTCACGAGTCAACATGTCGAGGTGCACGAGGGAACGGTCCTGCTGGCGGTACGCACGTGCTACAACATTTTCCTGGCGAGCAGAAACCTGATCAATCAGACGACGGCGCGGGCGACGCTAACGCAAATGCTAAACGTGATATTCATGCGGATGGAAAATCAGGCGTACGAGACCGAGGTGCATTTGGAGAACGGTTTCGGGATAAACGACTCGAAGTCGTCGCTCGACGTCACCGACAAGAACGACTCGCTCGACGCCTCCGACTGTTTGGCGAGGGAGGACGCCGAACCGTCCAGTTTTGATGTGGCCGCCGAGATCGTCGATAGTCTCGTGAGCAGCGCGATCGCAACCGTCGACGAGATCAAAATGCAGGAGTCGGGCGCAAAATCGGAGGGGAGTGTTAAGTCTTTGGAAAGGTAAGCATTAGGAGAAAAATTATTATATGAAATGTTTAGTTTCCATAATTTTTTCTTTGGAGTTTTTGGGACTCAAAAAAAGAAATACGACCTAAGTTTTTTAAAAATTCCAAAGAAGTAAAAGCTAAGCGTTCAAGGAAAACAAAAAAGGTTCTGTACTTGCATTTATCGTTTTTCTAGTTGATAAAAATCCTTATTTTTGTTTTGTATCTTGGTTTATGCTTCTTCTCCTTTTCCGCCATTTTGTTTGTAGGGCACTTGTCCGCCATTATCATTATGCACATAATAGGCCAATGTTCCGCTGTGTTGATATGATGAATGCACCAATTAATTGTCTTTAAATGCCTTGCCATATGCCGTTGTATACAACATTTTATTGATCGCACAGCGCCCTATCCAATGACGTCACTCAACTTTGAGGAACTGGCTTTTAACTAGCCGTGCGCAATCCGAAAAAACGTCTTTATCACAATGAGTTTGAAGTTCCCGATCTTTATTTGGAAAGCGATTTTCCGACTCGAAGATGTTCCTTCGCGTAAATTTTATCACTTGGAAATAAAAGGCCTTGCTACGAATCAAGTTTTTCCTAGTCCCGTAATTCGTCCATTCGCAGAAGTATAGAATTTTCTAGTAACCCGCAATTTGTCACACATCCGAATTTACGTTTCTCCACGACGTACTCGAAATTTAGGAGATCTCGCCGCTTAATATGTTTTTTACTCGGAAGTTAAATTGCTAATCTTTACAGCGACTCAAATAGATTTTATCAACTACATAATTTCGTGTTCTGGTTCTTGAAATCGAACCACGAATTTTCACAAATACGCGATATTTCTCGCAACCGAGCTAAAAGTGCCGACCGCGCAACAATAAACCAATAATAATACATTCTAAATTGGTACTGACCCGCACTCGTAACTTCTCTAAGAATTAAATTAGCTTAGCATGAATTTGCAACATTAGAAAAATTCACTTGCGAGTTAGTCTTCGAGTGCCCGTTCTCCTACTTCTTTGGCTATTTTAATCTCGGCCACAAGAAAAACTGAAACGCGTCTTCTTCTCTGAACGAAACGACCTCGATCTTTTAAAATAAATAGTAACTCGCATTTTCGTCACGTGCTCGGCTTTAAACAGAACGGAACAAACTGCGCTCGCTTTCCTCAATACGTTCCTTGTTATCGCCAGACATACTGTCGTTCACGTTCGCTATGAAGCGGTACAAGTGGCAATTTTCTTGTTCCTGTTAGTTTTGTAGATCTACTCCTCTCGCTGTTCTAGCAAGGTTTTTGTTATAATGTCGTTGACATACGCTATTCGCCTATGCTTCCCACTGTATTTCTTTTGCTTCTTTCGATTTATTTTTTTTTGCCATCTCATGTTGTTTGTTGTGCCTTGTAGAGCCATCTGCACCATCTTAAACAACTTCTTGAGTTTTTCTGTCTATGTTCCGTGTTCCCGTTTTCTTTCGTACTATATCCATAACTGTTTCTGCCTATTTTCCATATAGAAGCCCTTGGAAGTACATTTTCCACCCTTCTTTTCGTGTTTTTCTATCTTCTTTGCTCTCGCATACCTCTCTGTATATTCTTTTTCTTGCTCTTCTTTGTTTTCTGTGCTCATTGGTATCTTCCTGTCTCTCTGATTGAACCTTTCAGTCAACGTCTTCTCTCATTCTTTCATACAGTCATCATTGGTTTTGTTTATCTGTCTTTTCTCTGTCAACTTCATCTGCTGCATGTTCAATCTCCTTCCATTCTTCCTCAATACCTCTTCCTACATCTTCTTTTTCTTGATTTTTTTCATACTTCTGCGAATCAATCAGCTTTCAGACTAAGCCATGCAAGAATATCATGATAGTATGAATATTATGCCGAAAACCCGAAAGTTCTACGATATTCCGTTGCCGGGATTTCAGTCTATACGTGGAGGTAGCTGCTCGAAACTATGACTCGCGCCAACCTAATCATGTGCACCATAATAATAATTCGCCCCCCCCCTCCCGCTATAAAATGAAAAATCATTTTAAGGCCATAAAGTTTCCTATGCAAAAACATTAACTCTAAATTTCGCCCGGTCGTTACTTGGTAGTCTTATACAGCAAGTGTATTATCTAATAATAATAATAATAACGCCTCCTATCTATTGATTGGAATTATGTTAAGGGATGTTAGTAGAAGAATTACGCTTATAACGAATAGTAATTAGTTGGCACTAACCAGCTATTCTTATTTCTTTCAGAGTGCCATCTCAAGAAAGCGTCGACACTCACAGCGAAAACGATTCGGCGGTGACCGCGAAATTCACTCATATTTTACAGAAAGACGCCTTCTTAGTATTCCGAGCCCTTTGCAAACTGTCAATGAAACCTCTACCCGAAGGGACGCCCGATCCGAAGTCGCACGAGCTAAGATCGAAGATCCTCTCCCTCCACCTCCTGCTGTCGATATTACAAAACGCCGGGCCCGCCTTTCGATCGAACGAAATGTTCGTGACCGCGATCAAGCAGTATCTGTGCGTGGCCCTTTCGAAAAACGGCGTCAGCTCGATACCCGAGGTCTTCGAGCTGTCGCTCGCGATCTTTTTGGCTTTACTTTCGAATTTTAAAATGCATCTCAAGATGCAAATCGAGGTGTTCTTTAAAGAAATTTTCTTGAACATCCTCGAGACGTCCAGTTCGTCGTTCGAGCACAAGTGGATGGTGATTCAGGCGTTGACGCGTATATGCGCGGACGCTCAGAGTGTCGTGGATATTTATGTTAACTACGATTGCGACCTGTCCGCCGCGAATCTTTTCGAGCGGTTGGTGAGCGATCTTTTTCGTACCGCGCAAGGGCGTCATTCGATCGAGTTGGGTGCGTCTCCCAATCAGGAGAGATCGATGAAGCTGAGAGGTTTAGAGTGCCTTGTGTCCATCCTCAAGTGTATGGTGGAGTGGAGTAAAGACCTTTACGTTAACCCCAACCTTCAGTCGACAGTCGGCGAGCAAGCGCCTAGAGAACCCGATACATCATCGCTGAAATCGCACGGAGGCTCTACCACCAGTTTGCAGTCCAGCGCCAGTTCCGGCGGTAATAAGGAGGTGCTCGACTCGCCCGAACAATTGGAGGTGCTTAAACAGCAAAAGGAGGTGTGGGAAACGGGAATTGATATGTTTAACCGAAAACCTCGGCGCGGCATCGCGTTCTTACAGGAGCAAAATTTGCTGGGCACAAGCTACTTTGACGTCGCTAAGTGGTTGCATACAGATGAAAGGTTAGACAAGACCTTCATCGGTGACTTCCTGGGGGAGAATGACGAATTCAGCAAGGAGGTAATGTACGTCTACGTGGACACCTTAAACTTCGCCGATATGGACATCGTGACCGCCCTGAGACACTTCCTGGACGGCTTTCGTCTCCCGGGCGAAGCCCAGAAGATCGATCGCCTCATGGAGAAGTTCGCCAGCCGTTACTGCGAGTGCAATCCCAACAACGGGCTATTCGCCAGTGCCGATACCGCGTACGTCCTCGGTTTCTCGATTATAATGCTAACCACCGACCTGCACTCGCCCCAGGTCAAAACCAAGATGACAAAGGAACAGTACATCAGACTAAACCGCGGCAACACCGACAGCAAGGACGTCCCCGAGGAGTATCTATCGCAAATCTACGACGAAATCGCGGGTCACGAAATCAAAATGAAATCCGTCGTGACCAAGACGGGCAAGCACCCGATCAACAACGAGAAGAGGCGCAAGATCCTCTGGAATATGGAGATGGAGGTGATCTCGACCGCCGCGAAGAACTTGATGGAATCGGTTTCGCACGTGCAGGCCCCGTTTACTACCGCCAAACACTTGGAGCACGTACGGCCCATGTTTAAAATGGCGTGGACCTCGTTTTTGGCCGCCTTTAGCGTCGGACTACAGGACTGCGACGATCCCGAGGTCGCCTCTCTCTGCCTGGACGGAATACGTTGTGCCATAAGAATCGCGTGTATCTTTCACATGTCTCTGGAACGGGACGCCTACGTGCAAGCACTGGCTCGGTTTACGCTACTGACCGCGAACTCGCCGATCATGGATATGAAAGCCAAAAATATTGATACGATCAAGACGTTGATCACGGTTGCGCACACCGACGGAAATTACTTGGGGAACAGCTGGTTGGACATCTTAAAGTGTATTTCGCAGTTGGAGTTGGCCCAACTCATCGGCACGGGTGTTAGGCCTCAATTTCTCGCGGGGCCCGGGCATAAACCTCCCGATCCCAGTTCGAAGGAACACATAGGACAAACGAGCTCTCAAAGTGTTGTGGTTGCCGTTGATCGTATTTTTACAGGTTCTACCCGACTTGACGGGGACGCCATCGTGGATTTCGTTAAGGCGCTCTGTCAGGTATGTACGGTATCATTTTAGTCTGCCAGATTTCGCTTGATCTCATATTAATATCGTAAAAAGCCCCTCTCGCAATTTATCTCGAATGGCACGCTCCTATCCCTTCCATACAACTTCCTCCCCAAATTCTCCTCAACTATACCTCTGATCCCAACATCCTCAAATTCTTCTTCAGTTTTCTTAGGTTCCTATTTTCTCATTTACCAGTATCCCTAGAAGAATTGTAATAGCAAATCCCCCTTTTGCTTAAAGTGTGCACTAAGCCATCTATACAGAGCGCACAACGTTTTGCAAAAGCTTGACGGTGGCGCCATCTATTGAACAATGAATTTTAATTCATTTGCAGGTATCCCTGGACGAGTTGGCATACCCCGGACACCCTCGAATGTTTTCCCTCCAAAAGATCGTCGAAATTTCCTACTACAACATGGGACGTATACGTCTGCAGTGGTCTCGAATTTGGCAGGTGCTCGGCGAACATTTTAACGCGGTCGGATGTAATCCGAGCGAGGATATATCGTTCTTCGCCGTCGATAGCCTGCGACAGCTATCGATGAAGTTCATCGAAAAGGGAGAGTTCGCCAACTTCAGATTTCAGAAGGACTTTCTGCGACCGTTCGAGCACATCATGAAGAAGAACGTCTCGCCCACAATTAGGGATATGGTCGTGAGGTGTATAGCGCAGATGGTAAACTCGCAGGCGAATAACATTAAGTCCGGATGGAAGAATATATTCTCCGTGTTTCATTTGGCAGCTAGCGATCAGGAGGAGGCAATCGTCGAGCTTGCCTTCCAAACGACGGGGAAGATCATAACCGAGCTATACGGGAGACAATTTTCGGCGATGATTGATTCCTTCCAGGATGCCGTCAAGTGCCTGTCCGAGTTTGCGTGCAATGCTCGGTTTCCCGATTTGAGCATGGAGGCGATACGGTTGGTGCGAACCTGTGCCTTGAGTGTTAATGGCGCTCCGCAACTTTTTGCTGAGCATGCAGGTAGGTTTTTACTATAGTGTAAAACAAAAGAAATTTATAATGTCCGTTTAAACGGTGGGGAGTTTTTGTGGAATATTACAAGGATTTTAATGTTTGCGTTTTGAATCGAAAGTGCGTGATTATGATAATACCCCGTATACATAAGGGAGGTGCACGGTTTTGATTGACAAACTTGTTTTTAATCGTCTAAACTAAACGCTCCAAATATATCCGCAATAAAAGTTTTGCACCTTGGACCTCAACGCTAATTTGACCCCGTCCGCGTTAACCCGCATGTTTCTCGTTAGTTCGATTTCCTCGAACGAAGCGAGGAATTCGGAATTTTTTATCGAGGCCATGATCTGATCGTGTATATCGCCGTGAGCGACTACAGGCAAAGGCTGTCTCCAGTCTCCACCAGCAAGACTACCTTTCCGCCGAAAGTGGAGTTGGGACAGTTGCTGGTTGGCGGTGTGTTTGCACGCTTCGTTCACCATTCCGAAGAGGTTTCTGTGCAGCATGCAAGTCTCGTCGATTGTGTACGGCTTTCGGTTAAAACATCATGCGATCTCATAAATGGCGTACACAACTCACACGATTCGCCTTGAAAGTCTGGCAAATAATAATAATAACTGTATTGTCTGTGATCAACTACCTTGACATAGACATCGTCATACATTCAAACATGGACATTTAAAATTTTAAAAAGTCATTTAGGACAGTGTAAACGCTAAAGTACATGTTACAATTAAAAATCACTCATTGAATAAAAACAACGTTTGACTAAGTATTTTTTTAGGTTCGTTCGATACTTCTTAATGTTTGTGATGTGATGTGAATTTCGTGTTACGCGATCTAAAAATCCCCTCAATTACGTTACGTAGGTTTTCCTCGAAAGTTTGGCTAAGAATGCTTTTCTCCCACCCGATTTTTACTTATGTACTCGCCGAACTCGAATGATGAAACGACCCCAATTTTTATTTCAGGAATGGAGAACGACGTAACCATACCGGAGGAGGATCGCGTCTGGGTTCGAGGTTGGTTCCCTCTCCTCTTCTCACTGTCCTGCGTGGTAAATAGATGTAAACTGGACGTGCGCACGCGTGCGCTCACCGTACTGTTCGAAATAGTCAAAACCTATGGCGATTCCTTCAGTCCGCATTGGTGGAAAGATCTGTTCAAAGTATTATTTAGAATTTTCGACAACATGAAGCTACCCGAACAGTACACGGAGAAGGCCGAATGGATGACGACGACCTGCAATCACGCGCTCTACGCCATCGTCGACGTTTTCACGCAGTACTTTGACGTTCTCGGTCCTTTACTGTTAGAGGAGTTGTACTCGCAGCTGCACTGGTGCGTGCAGCAGGAGAACGAACAGCTGGCGCGCTCGGGCACAAACTGCCTAGAGAACTTGGTCAACTCCAATGGGCACAAATTCAACGAATCCACTTGGGATAAGACCTGCCAGTGTATCCTTGACATTTTCAATTCGACCGTGCCATCCCAACTTCTGACATGGAAGCCGGACTCCTTCCAGACGACGGCCGTAATTGAGCAAAATGGCGACATCGGCGCCAGGCACGGAATCCTCAAGCGTGGTGCTCACATGCACGACAGCAACGCGGACTCGTATTCCTTATTCAATGCGTTGATGATAAAAAGCGTGGTCCAGCTGGAGCTCATACAGACGATCGACAACATCGTATTTTACCCGGCGACGTCGCGGAAGGAGGACGCGGAAACGTTGGCGTTAGCCGCCGCCGACATGACCGGAAGCGTCACTCTGACCGAGTGCCAACGCGAAGAGCAGGGAATGTATCGACTGTTGAGCACCAAACATCTGATTCAGTTAACCGATTGCCTGCTTCAGTCGCATCGTTTCGCCAAAGCGTTTAATGCCGACCACGAGCAGCGCAATCTCCTATGGAAGGCCGGTTATAGGGGGTCGGTCAAGCCGAACTTGTTAAAGCAGGAGACGCAGAGTCTGGCGTGCTTACTCAGGATACTGTTCAAGATGTACGGCGACGACGGACGGACCGCTCATTGGCCTTTGATTCAGAGCAGATTAATCTCGGTGTGCCAAGAGGCCTTAGAATACTTCCTGCAATTGCAAAGTGAGGCGCATCGCGATGCGTGGACCTCTCTCTTACTTTTGGTACTTACTCGCATACTGAAAATGCCGGACGATAGGGTAAGTAATTGTAACTTTTTGAGAAAGGTTTCTTAGAAATTGTGGCCTAGGTGGCGCTGTTAGTTAAAAGACCCTTTCTCTGATTTCATTTGTTCTTCATAGCGTCATTGACATATTTTCCATTTGTTTAGTATTAAAAGGGCTTTTATCCTATTACAAAGGTGAGTTGTAAGAACACAAAAAATCTATTTCCCTATCATTCCTAACCTTCAAAAAAGACAGTGGTGTCCAACAGAGACGGGTAAGTTCTGTTTTTTGTATTTAAATTTAGTAGATAGTGTCTCCCCAGATTACTTGGTCGTCTCTTAAGAGACAAACATTTTTGAATTGAATTTTGAGCTCCTTGAGATCAGCCCTGATTGGTTGGAAACAAATTTGTGACATAATTTTAGTTTCGAAAAATCAAGGGTGCCTTTGAAATATTCAAAAAACGGTTTTTGCATACCAGTAAAGCGCTCTTTGGGGACGAGATACACACACATATTAATATTATTAAGATATATGCGATTTACTGCAACTCATTTAACTAGCTACTGTTATTTATACCAATTATACACACTTCAATGGACGGGATGAAATTCCAAAATTCGTTAATCCAATTGACACCTCTATTGTTAATCGAAATGTTGGGATCAACCGGCGGGGCCGGCGATAGCAAGCGTATAAACACGTAGACTCAACGGTACCGACTGGTTTTAAGCCTGTTTTCAAATAACATGGGAAACTAAAACCGGCTAATAATTACTTAACGGTGCTGAAATTCTAAAATATTAATTCGCCTCGTCTTCTAATTGACAGGAGCGTTCGAACCCAACAAAAGATAATTGAAATATCTCGACAGGAACAGGTGCATTAGTGACAGTTTTCAATTTAAATCGAAATCAAGTGAGATTGCATTGAAGATTTATGTTGGATTAAACGGGCAAAGTGTTTTAATTGAGTGCAGACTAACATTCCAATTAAAAATAATAATAATGTCTTTATGTGGGCATTTCATAAACGCACAATTGATGAAACAACAACAAAAATAACTATACAAAAATCAATTTATACAGTAAAAAAACTGTTAGACTACTACTACCCACGTAAGATTCAAGAATGATATTTTTACGTAAAATCCAGTGCCGTAGTAAAAAAATTGTTGGATCACTGTTTCTGAGGTTTAACCCAAAGGTATTTTTAAATGCAACAACCACTGCTCCCTGTCCGGGGGAGTGACTATAACACTTTGGTCTTAGTAAGACAGCCCGGCTCGCATCCCTTCTTGCGGGGAGGGGATCGGATCTGAGGGTTTTCTCCCAGATCCGCCTGTGCCTGATTAATGAAAGTTCCTATTATTCTCATCATATAACTTCTCTTCTTTTCCTGTCATCCCCCCCCCCCCCCCTAAATCAGTGACACTCAACGAGTTACTTTTCATCTATATTTATTTTATACATTGACTTTCTTTCAGTTTGCCGCGCACATTTCGAGTTACTATCCCCTCCTATGCGAAATAGTGTGCTTCGATTTGAAGGCGGAGCTTCGTTCCATCCTGCGGAGGGTCTTCTTGCGAATCGGACCCGTCTTTCGTATCACCAATACGTAAATAAAACCCTTCTCTTTTTTTTACACTTTTTTTAATGCTAGTGTAAGTAGTACTGTGGTTATTTTCTTAACTTATTTATGACGGGCGATGGCGATCTTTGGTGGTCGCCACCCTACATAACCGTAGCGTATAGTATGGAATCAGTTATTGTGATGATATGTATAGTATATGATAGATAATGTAAAATAAAGCTGTGTATAAATTGTTATTTTATAAATTAAAAGTTTTGATTATCTTGTTGATTTTGACTTTGAAAGGTCTCAAATCGTCTCGTATAAAGTATCACTAGTCAAAATCTTGATGCTTTTAGGGATCATCGCACAGTTTTATTACCTACAATAGCTTAAAAATGAATGTTGATATTTTTATAGACCATTTTCGCGATTACTTTAGTACAGTGTGTAATTTCGTTAACGAAATAAAGAAGCATTCCTAATTAGACTCATATACGATATACAAAATTGCCAAAAAGGAAGCACTATTGTAATAGAGGAAGTTATGTGCCTTTAGTCATCTGCAATTCGATTAGTTTACTAACATGGTGCTAGTACAATATTTCTTTTTTAACGTTTGGGTGCATTTATTGAACAATAATATAACAAACTTATTGGTCTGAGCAAGGTGTCATTTATTGTATGGGACGCTCATTTTGTATATACTCTCATTCACTTTAGATCTATAATTGTTTTTCAATGTAATAATGTATCAATTTTTTTAAAATAAATTGCTTAATAGTATTCACGAACTTGTACATCCTAGTTTTACTTTGTGATTTTATGCCTTTTATTTACAACCAAAATTTTTAACGTATTTTGACAAATCCCTATATATATGCCAACATTATCGGTGCATTTAAGTACTTGAAAGATGCTTCCTATTTATCCACACCAACAGCCTTTCATATTCTTTATAATAGGCTTTTGCCTTTGGATTTTGCAGGTGTCATCTTTTCTTCTGCAACAAGCCACTAAATTGAATCTTTTTCAACCGAAGCCATTTTATTTTCAGAGATGATAATTTTTTTGCCTGAGTGCCTGTTTTTCTTTTAGTTTACATATTTGATTATATCTTATGTCGAGTAAACCCAAATTACGACCTAGAGAAGAATAAATTAATAATTTTTTAACTAATTCTTTGGAATTTACGCCAATGCCGAGATTTTTGTTGTGGCGGGGGCTGGATGTGCCCTAGACAAATTATACTTATTCCTTTTAAAGGTTTTGTTAGTTCCTGTGTTTAATTAAGCTAGCTGAGCAGGTGTATCGCAACTCGCCCCAATATGAGTAACATCCTGTAAAGAAAATAAACATTGACCTATCAGAACTGTCAAGGAATAGGCATGCTGAAAGAAATTTAATTATAGATAAACAATTTGATGTCGATGTCCAATCTGCAGCAACAAAATTCAGTGTAAGGTTTATTGAAAGAACTACATAAGGAACAACAAAAGACGATAAATTGAAATGGATACGAAATTAAACCGAAACGAATCAGACGGAGAAAGGGGACCGAATCTGGAATACTGAAACAGCTCCAACAGGCGAAAATGCCATCGTATATTCGCAAACAGCTGTTTTTGTTGAGGATTGACATGATTATATATGAAACTAAACTTTCAATACAGTTTTGTACCAGTAAATTATCCTATAAGGATGTATTTATGCATGTATTGAGAACCTTTTTTACCCTAAATAATAAATATTGCATTGTTTATTAAAATGGGAGGTTAAGGATTTGAATTTTCTGATTGGTTACCATCACTGTAACTGTACATGCAATAACATAAATTGTATGATTGCTGTATGGCCCTGTATGTATATGTAGTAGTTACAATGGCGCAACTTTGTAGTTCCCATAACAAAAGTAGTTCATCTTAACTTTCATAGTAGATCAAGTTGTGTGTTTATTATGTTTTGACAACAAATTTAAAATTGTTTAAACCATTCAAACGCATATCAAGTCATGTAAGACTGTTTTTTCCCAATAGGGCAATAAATTTGAATCAATTTTTAGGTTAAAGACATGGCCCAACTCCAGAATAGCACCTACATCTCTTGCATCAAAATCGGCGGCGTTCCCATTTTACCTCCTCTGGTATTTAAAAAACGCTTTCACTATCAAATAATTGCCCCGTATGCATTACAGATAACACCCGAAAGACGGTTAGAGATGGAGCGATACAAGTACAGAGCGGTAGAGATAGAAAAGCGAATCAAAAGTGGTGCGAAACGAGAACAGCTACCAGTCAGCTCAGTTAAAACGTTAGAAAATAGTTTAGCTTTCGACGATACTGCCTTAAGTGACGAGTGTGATCCAGTTTTGCCTCGAAATGTGCCTTTGGAAGGAACCAAAACGCAATTAACCCGCAATATTTTTGATGTAACAGAGTATAACGACAACGGAATTATTTTATTTAACAATTTGGATGGGGAGGAACACGATTTACAAGTGTCGGCGTGCGACGATGCGCAACAACAGTCTCAACCTCGTCTTCTGCGAAGTAACTCTTACACGTTGGACGCGCCGAGTCCCATACTTTTGGAATATTTTAAGCAGCATATCAGAGATACGGCCGTGACGCCGGTTGCAGCTGAATCGCCGCCGAGCGACGGTGATGGTAGTAGTAAATTTAAGTCCATCGACAGTATAATTCCGGCAAATTCGACTATTGCTCACTACGGTGATCTAATCGAGGAGTTGGCGAGCATTCACTTTGGTGAATGTAGTCCGCCGCACGTGGCTTCTTATTCGCCCGATACGACTTTAAATACTTCCAGTGTGCAATTAATCGACTTTGAAAGTGACACGGGCGATAATCTCACCCCCTGTTTCGACGATAAACTGAGTAGTGATGTTTTTGTCGACTTGCTCGGCGACACACCGCACAATACGCGAAAGCCTCCCAGTTGCGCAAGGGAGTTATTTGTCAACAGTCCCAATATTGAAAGGCGTCTACGTGAGGTAAGCAAGTTAGCTGATACGATTGTAACTTTCATTTGAGAGAGTTCCGGCTCGGTACTTTATTATACAGCGTTACTATTGACTAGCGCACGTATCAAGAGATGGCGCTGTTTTTCATTTTGTCAATATTGCAAAGTGCAAACTCTCCTCTAACTGATAGTTGTAAAATTAACCACCAGAGAAGGACACTTTGGTGTGCCCTTGAGGCTTGACTACAGTTAAGTAGAGGCTCTTATCGTCCAGAACGATGCCGAATGTCAAAATGGGCATATTTGTAATCTGTAAAACCGGCATCTCCGCGCTAAAAACTTCTATTCGCCATTCAGATTAACACTAGAGGCGCTGGTGTAATTTACAAATGGCGGTTTGTAAACATAGGGTTGTTCTAGCTGGTTTTTAATTGAAATTGTACTAATTTGAAAGTGAATTGAATCTATCATGCCGTTTTTGAAACTTGAAAATATAACCCCCTTAATCCTATCCTACCTGAAAGGCCTTTTTCTTATGATCTCGAGGCTGTCTCAAATTAGAGAATTAAAGATCACAATTTATCATTCAATTTCTGGCTCGTACAACTTAACAACTCGCTGACATACCCTTAAGTTGATTATGCTTTAAAACAGCCGTACTATTCTGCTTCAATTACACTGACCACAATTTAAACAATAAGTATTCTTCGATGCGTCGTGCTTTAATGATGGCGATTTAAATTCAATCACTTGTGAATATGCCGCTTTAAGTTTTGCTTATCATGAGTAGCGCAATTACACCGTTCACAAATTAAGTGTTTTAGAAGGTTGTGTGCAGAGCTGGCAGTATTCGATTTTGTAAATACTTTTTAGTATTCAAATCCTAACTAAAGTATTCAAATACTTTGTAATTAAATACTTTTATGGAAGCAGTATTTGTATTTGTAACTCAAATACTTTCACAAATATTTAGTATTCGAATACTTCGCAAAGTATTTGGATACTTAACCTTCCTTTTTTACCAAAAATCGACTGCTCCAAAATTTCTCGGGAAAACACTTTTTCTTATTAATTTTGGTGCGTAGAATCCAAAACAATTCGTACTTTTTCGATCAGACTTCTCAATCAAAAGTTATAGACTAGAAACCAATTTCGAAAGAAAATTCAAAGGGCTGTAACTTTTGAACTAGTAGCCCAATCTTGGAACTGTTTGAAATTATGGATTCTACAGGCCACATTCTATAAAAAAAATTTTTTCCGGGTCGATCTGAGACAATTTTTTTTTCGGGCTCAAAAAAAGGCAGTGTATAACCTTCCTTTTTTACCAAAAATCGACTGCACCAAAATTTCTCGGGAAAACACTTTTTCTTATTAATTTTGGTGCGTAGAATCCAAAACAATTCGTACTTTTTCGATTAGACTTCTCAATCAAAAGTTATGGACCAATTTCGAAAGAAAATTTAACAGGGCTGTAACTTTTGATCTAGTAGCCGAATCTTGGAACTGTTTGAAATTATGGATTCTATAGGCCACATTCTATAAGAAAATTTTTTTTCCGGGTCGATCTGAGACAAATTTTTTTTCGGACCTCAAAAAAAAATTTTCTTATAGAATGTGGCCAATAGAATCCATAATTTCCATAATTGCACTGATCACATGTAAAATTCTTGAAAGTACAGTGATAAAATGTGACATTTTAAACTATCCTTTGTTTATTGCAAATGAAATTTTTGCAAGTGCGTTTACTTTTACAGCCATAAAGATAAACCGAAAGATAAACACTGCAATAGTGATTTCTTTTGGCCATTGTAAATAATCAAAATGGCGGTCTTCTCCCACCTGTATTAATTACAACGTCCTGTCACCAGAGGTCTCACTGTTAATCTGAATCGCGAATTGCATTTGCATATGTTCTCTGTACTGTAAAGTGAAAATGAGACGGAATAAAGCTACTTTTGGAAGGGCCGCAAATTGTAAAAACAAATTTCTGTCACCAAAATTAATTTTAGCAGAGATCTGTACAACTTTACATAAAACCCATGCTTGGTACATAATTATTGTAAGCATTTTATCAAAAAATTTCTAGGAACGGGCCGCGACAATTCTAACATCCGCAGCTAGAGGGTACTTGGTGCGTCGATTGAAACGCACGGAGCGCGTCAAAGTTTTGATACAAACAATCGGCGATACCCTGCTGTGCGCCATGAGTTTGCATTCGGAACAGACAGACGCGATTCAGCTTTCGGACGTCGAGCTTCATCGTAGGCTAATTCAGCAGGTAGTAGGTACCAACGAGAGTCGTTCCCGTTAATGGCATTTTCTTACAGATCTCGGCGGCGTGCTACGAATTTCACGATATTTTTTTTAACTTATCGACTAAGGAGCAAATGGAAATAATTAATTTAGATAGGCAAAGGATTAAGGAGAAATTGAAACGTCCAAGTTCTACTGCGAGCTCAAAATTAGAGTCGGATCGATCTTCCAGATCACAAGCGAATTCTTTTCATACAAAACAAAAAAAGGCTTTAGTAACTTCTTTGGTTGCTTAACTCTTTTGCAATAATTTTTTTATAATAAAAGCTGTGTGAATTCATTTAAGGTTGTTTGACATCTGAATCGTCGAAGACCAAGTAAATTTCAGGGATGTATGTGGCGCAATTATTGTCGTTTTAAATTTATTTCGGCCATAAAGTGCACATAACTTCATTTTGAAAATTTGTATGGAAAAACAAAAGCGTAAAATGAATCAAAATGGTGAAAGAATTCCTACAAATTTAAACAGAATACATTTAATACCTTTCATTAGCCAAAAGGGAAAAGAATAGTCTGCTCAAATAGATTTGAAAGCAACTCCACTCCTTTTCCATTTGTGAAAAACATTACGAAAGTAAAGTACATGAAATTCATTGTTAATTAGCCAAATCTTTTCCAGTCCAGAAGGTATCTTAAGACCCTGGATGCGGTAGCCTTAGGCATTTACCTCCGCACGAGCCAAACAGTTAATGACATTTAAAAAAAGACAGATGCATACACAAAGAAGTGGCTAATCAATCTCAATTCTCACTTTAAATCGACATGAGTTTCTGTATATAACCAACATATAAAAGTTGGAGAAGAAAATGAGTCAAAATCTTGCTCCACATACACAAACATTTAGGCTACATTTAAAATGTTATTAACGTCAGTTAGGACACATAGCCACGCACTACAAAATTAATATTTAACTGAACGAGAAATTTGTTCCTATTAACTGTTTGAGTGCGTTAAAAGGTGTTGTTTAAGACAGAATTTTCTATATGTCTCATAATCGCAATGAGCACATTTAAAAGCTTTACGAACTTTATGTTTTAAAAGGTGCCGTTTAAGATATAGTTTATTATTTGTTCCATAATCACAATTAGCACATTTAAACACTTTGGAAATGGTATGTTTTAAAAGGTGTTGTTTAAAGTAACGTTTGTTATTTGCCTCGTAATCACAATTAGCACATTTAAATTCTTTAGAATCGGTATGTATTAAAAGGTGTCGTTTAAAAGTGTATTTGTCATATGTTTTGTAATCACAATTACCACATTTAAAATCTTTAGAATCGATATGTTTTAAATGGTGTCGTTTAAAGTAGTGTTTGTTATTTGTCGCATAATTACAATTAGCACATTGAAAAGCTTTAACATTGATATGTTCTAAAAGGTGTCGTTTAAGTTGTCGTTTATTATTTGTTCCATAAGCGCACTGAGCACACTGAAAATCTTTGGAATCGGTATGTTTTAAGCGGTGTTGCTTAAAAAGGTATTTGTCATTTGTCTCATAATCACAATTAGTACATTTAAATTCTTTAGAATCAATATGTTTTAAGAGGTGTCGTTTAAAGTTTTGTTTGTCAATTGTCTGGTAAACACAATTAGCACATTTAAATTCTTTAGAATCGACATGTTTTAAAATGTGTCGTTTGTAAGTGTATTTGTCATTTGTTTCGTATTTACAATTAGCACATTTAAATTCTTTAGTATCGACATGTTTTAAAAGGTGTCGTTTAAAGTAGTGTCTGTCATGCGTTTTGTAATCACAATTGGCACATTGTAGCGCATTACGTTTGTGTGTTAAAATGTGCCTTTGCAGCAGTTGTTTATTCTTTCCTTCATAATCACAATGAGTGCATTTAAAATTTTTAGAATCGTTGTGTTTTAAAAGGTGCTGTTTAAAGTAGTGTTTGCCATTTGTCTCGTAATCACATGTGGCACATTTAAATTCCTTAGAATCGATATGTTTTAAAAGGTGTCGCTTAAAGTACCGTTTGTCATTTGTCTCATAATTACAAGTAGCACATTTAAATTCTTTGGAATTAGTATATTTTAAAAGGTGTCGTTTAAAATGGTATTTGTTACGTGTTTGGTAATCACAATTAGCACATTTAAATTCTTTGGAATTGGTATATTTTAAAAGGTCACATTCAAAATTGTTGCAAATTTCGGTCTTACCATTCAACCCACAATCAGCTTGTTTATTATCGAGCGATTTGGAGCACTGCACAGTAATGGTAATTTCGTCCTTTATTGTCAATGCTTCGTTGCTTACTAAAATGTGTTCTTGGAGATCGGAGTGGATTTCTTCTTCTTGTTTTGGTTCAACTTTAACGAGTGGTGCATCATTCCCGTCCATATCCAGCATCAAAATCGTTATCACAAATCACATGTGCTGCTATGTTCCTTTGACTAAGTGTACATCGACAGCTCGTTTTGCATCCCTCCTAACACCCCATTGCAATTGGGGGATCGGTTGTAGTGTTTTATACACTTGTGAGGCGATTTTCTTGTTTAATTAATACTCCCCTATCACTCTATCAAGGGCATTGCTGCGCGTCGTTGATGCAAACTTTCGTGTGGCGGCCATTGTTGGTGCACAAAACTGTGTGATCAGCTGTTTGCATTTCTTTGCGGTGCGTGACCAATGGCGTACCTATATTCATTATCTTTATTGTATTTATTTTATAATGAAGAGAAAAGGTATGCATAAATTTATAACTTATCGGTTTATTTGTTGTGTCGTGCACAAGAGTCGTCGACGATTTTTACTTGTTCAAACACGTTAGCATTTACGATGTAGCTACTCTGCTGCTTTAACGTGACGCCAATGAACTGTAGGCAGCCATGTTTTAAGTGCACAAGCAATTAGATTCTTTTCAAAATTCAAATTTTTATTCAGAGCTACGCTACCACATTAATTTTTACCAACTTAACCTTAATACTAAACAAATAAATAATATTTTCGAGTAATTGATAGCGAGAATGAATCAAGAACAATAGTTGAAACTACTGCTGAATAAAACAGTTTGAGCGTGTGTGTTAAAATGTGTTGCTCAAGACAATTGTTGAAGTGCCTCATAATCACAATGGGCACATTTAAAATCTTTAAACTTTATGCTTTAAAAGGTGTCCTTTAGGATATAGTTTTATTATTTGTTCCATAATCACAATGGGCACATTTAAAATTTTGAGAATCAGTATCTTTTATGAAGTATCGTTTAAACTAGTATTTGGAATTTGTCTTGTTATCACAATTAGCATTTGTTTCGTAATCACAATTGGCACATTTTGATTGGTTAAGAATCATTATATTTTAAAAGGTGTCGTTTATAGTGGTATTCGTTACATGTCTTGTAAACACAATGAGCACATTTAAATAATGTGGAATTGGCATATTTTAAAAGGTGTCGTTTAAAGTGGTATTTGTTACTTGTCTTGTAATCACAATTAGCACATTGTAGCACAGTATTAAGTTTGTGTGTTAAGATGTGCTGTTGAAGCAGTTGTTTATTATTTGTTCCATACTCACAATGAGTACAATTAAAGCCTTCCGAAACATTCTGCTTTAAAAGATCTTCTTTAACTTGCAGCTTACTATTGGTGTATTGACCAAGGTCACATTTAAAATCGTTGGAAATTTCAGTTTTAATATTCCACCCACAATCAGTTTGTTGTGCTTCCTTATCCAGCGATTTGGAGCACTGTGCAGTTTCGTCCTTTATTGTAATCAATTCGTGGCTTACTAAAGTGTTTCCTTGAAGATCGGAATGGGCTTCTTCTTCTTGTTTTGGTTCGATTTTAATGAATGGTGTATCATTTCCGTCCATAACGTTATCAAAAGACGTGTGTTGCAATTACGTTTTTAATTTGGTATTAAACAATACAAATTTCTGGCCAGTCACCATTTATAACTCTTGGTGCAGGCCTTTAGATTTCCTTCTCTAAGGGGCAGACCACACTCTACATTAAAAATTTGTATGTCGACTGCTAGACTCAAAACTGTGATGGAGACGTAATAAAGCTCTGGCTGTAGCTCATGTACCGGTACGGTAAGAAGAGTACTATGGGTTCATAGCTCTCCGTTCACACGTTTCCGATTGTCCATTAGCCAATCAGAAGACAGTAAAAAAAGTTGCTTGAAGTTGAACATTTACGTTTCCGTTGGTTCGTTTCTTAGATCATATATACATGGATAGAGCATATATATAAGAGAAGAGAGCTATCTCATAAGCTCTAGTAAAAGACAACCGTCGCCAGCATTCCAACGTGCATTTGCTTTACCGGTGTTTTGGAACTATAATAGCAGTTTCGGTACCGGTTCCAACCATTGTTTGTGATGTGGGGTTAAATTGACAAGTTGATATACATCTCATATCTGTAGTCACTTTTTCGGGATAATTGATGTAACTGTAGGTGTTTAAACAAATTAAAACAAATGATCAAAACGTATATTTATATTGTATTTTAAATTAATTCATAACCATTCATATATAAATATCGAAAAACCTATTTAGACTCTTCTAAATGCATATGCTATTAATGCTTCTTTTTTATGCACATATGCTCAAATTGGGGTCTAATCAAAGACCATAGTCGACCTTCCGCTCCACTGCATCTCTATTTTAATAATCAATAATTACTTAAATCTTTCCACGTACACGTACATTTAGGCAACATTTCAAATGTTATTAACTGAACTGAACTGAAATTTGTTCCTTGTAAAAACTGTTTGTGTGTGTTAAAAGGTGTCGTTTAAGACAGAATTTTTGATATGTTTCATAATCGCAATGAGCACATTTAAAATCTTTGCAAACTTTGTGTTTTAAAAGGTGTCGTTTAAGATATCGTTTATTGTTTGTTGCGTAATCACAATTAGGACATTTACAATCTTTAGAATCAGTATGTTTTAAAAGGTGGTCTTTAAGGTAGTATTTGTTATAGGTCTTGTAATCACACTGAGCACATTTAAATTCTTTAGAATCGGTATGTATTAAAAGGTGTCGTTTAAAACTTTCTTTGTTATTTGTCTCGTAATGACAGTTAGCACATTTAAAATCTTTAGCTTTGATATGTTCTAAAAGGTGTTGTTTAAGACACCGTTTCTTATTTGTTCTATAATCACAATGAGCGCATTGAAAATCTTTGCAATCGGTATGTTTTAAAACGTGCTGTTTAAAAAGATATTTGTAATTTGTCCCGTAATCACAATTAACACATTTAAATTCTTTGGAATCAATATGTTTCAAAAGGTGTCGTTTAAAGTAGTGTTTGTCATATGTCGCGTAATCACACTTAGTACATGTAAATTCTTTAGAATCAGTATGTCTTAAAAGGTGTCGTTTAAAGTTGTCTTTGTTATTTGTCTCGTAATGACAATTAGCACATTTAAATTCTTTAGAATCGATATGTTTTAGCAGGTGTCGTTTAAAATATCGTTTGTTATTTGTCTCGTAATCACAAGGAGTACATTTAAATTCTTTAGAAACGGTATGTTTTAAAAGATGTAGTTTAAAAGAGTATCTGTCATGTGTTTCGTAATCACAATTATCACATTTAAATTCTTTAGAATTGATATGTTTTAAAAGGTGTTGTTTAAAGTAGTGTTTGTCATTTGTCTCGAAGTCACAAGTAGCACATTTAAATTCTTTACAAACCGCATGTCTTCTTAAACAGTGTTTTTGAAAATGGTATTTGTTATTTGTCTTGTAATCACAATTAGCACATTTAAATTCTTTAGAATCAATATGTTTTAGAATGTGTCGTTTAAAGTACTGTTTGTCATTTGTCTCGTAATCACAATTAGCACATTTGAATTCTTTAGAATTAGTATATTTTAAAAGGTGTCGTTTAAAGTGGTATTTGTTACGTGTGTTGTAATCACAATTAGCACATTGTAGCACATTACGTTTGTGTATAAAAATGTGGCGTTGAAGCTGTCGTTTATTCTTTGTTCCATAATCACAATGAGCACAGTTAAAGACTTCAGAAATCTTATGCCTTAAAAGATGTTTAACTTGCAGCTTACCATTTGTTGAGGGTTGACCGAAGTCATATTCAAAATCGTTGGAAATTTCAGTTTTAATATTCCATCCACAATTAGTTTGTTGTTGTACTTCATTATCAAGCGATTTGGAGCACTGTGCAGTAATGGTAGTTTCGTCCTTTATTGAAAGAAATACTTCGTTGCTTACTAAAATGTTCCTTCGAAGACTGGAATTGATTTCTTCTTCTTGTTTTGGTTCGATTTTAATGAGTGGTATATCATTTCTGTCCATATCTACCAGCCTGAAGTTACATTCGCTTTTTTCAAGGACATTCTATTTTGGGATAGTACCAACCTAAATGAAAAAACAAAAAATAACTAAACTCCGGGCTGAAGTTGCAGGTTTTTTTTAAAACGACATCCGAAAGTGGCGGCACGGGACCTATTTTCATCCCCTGCCAGTGGTTTTTGGAGAAGAGCCTTAAAACTCGAAAAATTTGTCTCGGAGCGCGATTCCATATACGTAGGGTGGAAATCACAACTAATAAACATCCGACAACGAAATATACAGGGTGTGTTAAGGTATACTGACTTCTCAATTTATTTTGACATTTTTTATTTTCATTGAAACAAGGTGCGTAATGAAGATGTGAATGAGAATGGAGATAGGCGTGAACCAAACGATTTATCGCAAAGTAGGTCTGAAGGGAGATGAAGGAAAAACAAGGAGTCGCAAAAACGAAGGTGTGAAAAAAGTATAGAGCTTGGAAAAAGAATACGTCCATTGTTTTGGATACTATGGCCGTGATATTGGGCGATGCACAATTAAAGCCGGATTTATAGTTACGTAGCCGTAAGAACGGAACCGTAAAATCTTACGTTAACGAAAATTATACGATTTATAGTTACCGTAGTGGTAAGAGATGAGCTTGCGCATTAGTGCGAAACGAGATCTGCCATTGTATGTCATCTGTCAGTAAGAGTAACGTGCATTTCAAAATAATAATCCAACAAAGTGTCAATAATTATTGTAAATAAACGAAACGAACGTCAGGATAAACTCAACTGTTTGAATTATCCGAGTACTACCGAAGACAAGCGATCAGACTTCTCAATCAAAAGTTATAGACTAGAAACCAATTTCGAAAGAAAATTCAAAGGGCTGTAACTTTTGAACTAGTAGCCCAATCTTGGAACTTGGAACATTTTAATTTAGAGAAGTTATATAGGTTTCGTAACTTCTTGTATTAAAGTCATATGAAAAACCTGTCAAGTGTAAATTAAAACATTAAAACTCATACGAAAAATATGTTGGTATAGTAAATATCATATAAAAAATCATGTGAGATATATTATAGTGTAAAGGTACCTTAAGAACGTAAGAACGGAACCGTAAAATCTTACGTTAACGAAAATAATACGATTTATAGTTCCGTAGTGGCAAGTGCCAGCTTGCGCAGCGCGTAACGAATTCTGTCATTGTATGTCATCTGTCAGTAAGAGTAACGTGCATTTCAAAATAATAATAACCAAGACAGTGTCAATAATTATGGTAAATAAACGAAACGAACGTCAGCATAAAGTCAACTATTTGAATTATCCGAGTACTACCGAAGACAAGCGCGTTAGCACGATTTACCGTAAGAAATAAGATTTGGGCATTTCCTACGTACCGTAACCGTTTTAACGCAACGTTAACGCGAACTATAAATGTTCACGTGCAACAAGTAGCGTTTAATTCCAAACGTTACGGTACGGCGTTGCAGATACGGAACTATAAATTCAGCTTAACAACGGTAAGAGGGCAGTGCCTATTCTATATACATACAAAATGATTTAGCAACGTAAATATAAAATCTACAGAATATATTTAACTGATGTAGGTACGTAATCATAGCACGATCAAAATCGTAATCTATTGTTTATCACGTCATTGTATATTTCTTTGGTTAATGGAATATATTTCCCCGAACTCAGAATGTAAATTTTGTCCTTAATCATATTGATGTTGAATCCCTCTTTCTGTAGTTTCACTTTCTTTAATTTGTACGATCCTGTCACCGGAAGAGCCTCAAGAACCCTTATAAAGGCAGGTATTGCGTACGATGGAAGATTTGATATGAGTTCATTTCCCAAGACATCTAATAGTAACTCGGCCTCTTTGTCTAGTATGGCTGCCATACCTATATCAGTTCCAGGTATCTAAATGCAAACAGTACATAGAGAAAAAAACCATGTGCGAAATTTTTGACAGAACAGCGTCCTAGCTTAAGTCAGATATTTAAAAAAACGTTATTGGCAGCTGTTATCTCGGAAAATTGCCATCGTACGTACACGAAATTTGAAGCAATTTTGTTCAAAAAACTGTGATCGCAACAGCCACATATAGCTCAAGCTAGGAAGCTAAAGTAGGATTTTCCTGAGTTTTTAACCCACAATAAACGTTGGAATTACGTGTTTATGTTAAACTGATCGTTGTATTTCACAAAAGATAGATTCTTGAGGCACAGTTATTTAAAAAATAAAACGAAAACCTTTAGTGAAAATCGTTTTTTTTTGTTTCCGGAATTGTGGTAGCTTACGTTTACATTGCGACACGTCAAATTTGGCCACTGTTTAAATTATTTTATCGAGTTTTGCACTATTAGTCGATAAGAAGTCCGTTAGTTTCATAACGAACAATTATAGAAGCATTACACGATATTCTGCGCCAAAAGTTGTAGAACCCAAAAATACCATCGGGTTTACCAAGAAAAACTAAGCAAATTCTTTCTAATCTTCCAAAGTACACTGATTGTGCGATAACTACCACTACACTACCAGCCCGCCGAATCCAAATCACGCACAGTCACATCAACAGATGATTTTGCATCGAATCGCTCATAATTCAATACTGACAATTTTTTAACAAGTAGAAAAATTGACAGAAAATTCTATGGCAGGGTTTTGTCCAGAAGAAGGTTTCCCAACAAAACCGATTTTTTGAAATCCTTCCTTTACGTATTCTCTCTTCCATTGATTGCTAATGCTATGTAAACATACTTAGTAATGACGTCATAATACACCGATTACGTTCGCGCAAACTAAGGAAAATCCTACTATAATAAACTTATCTATTACCTCAACCCCGTACACGTTAACTTGATTCAATTTTGTGGTTTTACATATTATGTCCTCGACTTCGGCTGTGGAAACATTCTCCCCTTTCCACCTGAATATCTCATGGCAATGAAAGATATTTTATCCCTTAATCATACTTGCCTAAATGTATCGCCTACACGATCTTGAAAATAAAAATACCCCAACCCGTCGCAACTCAGTACATCTCCCGAATTATAGTATTTGTCACCGATGACAAAGACGTCTGAAAGTATTTTTTTCTCAGAAGCATCCACATCCAAGTAACGAGAAAAACCGTCCAACGGTACTTTGGACCTGATTTCTCCTATTATCAGCCCAGGCTCATTTGAACCGCACCTAATACATCTACCATTAGTATCCCGGGTGGGTTCTCCCGTATTCGGATCATATTTGATGAGAAATATTCCCATAAGGCCTTTCAAGCGGTTTGGAATGCAACCAACGCTTCCCACCTTATTATCGATGTTCACTACAAACGACCTCTCTTGATGATGTTCTAGCACTAGATAACCCACCCAGTCGAAGATTTCCTTCGGTTGACCCATAAAACTCGTGGACATTTTCAATTTGGAATTTCTCTACGTACGCTTTCCATAAATGACGTTGTAAGCCAGCTCCAAATATGTATTTTACGTTGTGTTTGATAGCATCATCCTGGGGTACGGATAATAAGTATATATCGACACATTTCACCAATGTATAGAGCTACCTAAAATCTGTTGTTACAAGAAAAAACCGTTGCTTGAAGTACCTATATCACGTTGCATTTAAACTTGGCGTAGTCACTCCAGTAGTGGCTGGCGGAAAATTTGTCTTTCAGTACCAAGGTTCCACCATCTACTACCGTTAGCGCTATTGCTGCAGTTCCGAAGGAATGGTAGAGAGGCATGGGGCAATAAGCTATAACGTCCGTCCTCAGAAGTAGAGCTTCCATAAAACACACCAAGGTTAAGTATCTGCGTGATATAACATTAGTATCAGTGATACCTAGAATTTACTTATATTAAACCTAGTGTGTGAAACTACTACGGGTTTGGGAAATCCGGTCGTACCGGACGTATAAATGTAAAGCAAAGTATCGTTTCCTTTAATTTTGGGGAAACGTGACGTATCTCCTATCGAGCAGTTGTCAATTTCACGTTTAAGATTAGTATATCTGACATGTCCGCCATGATTGCGATCATACTCGAACAGCTCCATTTGGGCAAACTCACCCGCTATATCTTCAACCCCTAAAGTAACAAAATGTAACCGTGTCTCACACTTCAAACTCACCGCTACGTAAATTTGCACCAAATATCAATCCCCTGCAGTTACTAACCCTGATGCACTGGGCCAAAGAATGCCTCACTAAATTTGTGTTAATTAGGGCTGTCATTACTCCCAGTTTCGATATGCCCAACCATATGCAAGGGTAATCTGGACAGTTTTCTAACATTAAACTCACGCAGTCGCCCTTTTGGTATCCTTGGGCGCTGAAGTAATTTGCAACTTTGTCGGAAAGCTTTAGTACCTGCAAAACTGCGTAGTAATTAAATCCTAGTAGGTCCAGAGTTTTTATACATCTGAAAAAGTCCACGTTTCGTTTTCGTAAATAAATGCGGTTTTCTGTGGATACTTCCTCGCAATTTTGGAAAATTGTGTATAAACAGCCAGGTTATCAAAACGCCGCTTGCTGAGAAGTATCTTTATCCTTAAGAGGTTCCATGCTATCCTACAATAAGGTTGAAAATATGAATGTCTAAATTGTGGATTTAGGACCTTTACCTTAGATCGTTGCTAAAGGTCTTTATTGTTACGCAACCTTGTCGCCAAAGTTTCTTGGGTTTTAACAGTTTTGTTACAATTAAAATTGCAATGGCCACAGCCAGAAATAGTACCTAAAGTGGGCAAATTAGTTTTGTATTCAAAACAAAGAAGTAGCTGGGCATTACTCACCATTGCACACACCATGATGTTGCAGATTGCCAGCTAACTTATTTAAAAAAACTACTAAAATTAGCACATATAAAATAGACACTAAATTATTATGTTAATATAGCTAAGAACAGACTAAAGGTTATCCATCCAGATAAGCAGTTTTCTCTACAGATCATTAATCAATACTAGTTTATTATTGTAAATATTATTAAGTCGCGTCAATGGTCGAAATCTAATTTGTCTAAATTTAAGGCCGCGACGTCCTGCTAGTACATCGCCTCGTAGGTATACGGTTTTAGAGACGTCGCTAAAGTGAAAACTGCACGTTTTGTGCCCATTTTTACTCTCTACATTGTAATTAAAGGAAATTAGACCATATAAAAAAACATTGTATTTTTAAAGTTACTTTTATCACGAGATTGTATTAAGTTAACGCATTGTTGTAGAGGTGAGTTTAACTGAGTGGGGAACGTGAGTGAATCGCCGTATAGAATTGGTAACCAGAGAGACCATTTTGTTGAGAACCAAATACACAATTAACATTCCTAAAAGTAACGTGATAAAATGTGATGCAACTGGCCTTGCTCTTTAAGGTGTAATGACCTATACATTGATTGTTAATGAAATTTCTGCAAGCGTGTTCACTTTCACAGCCGAAACAACTAAAATATTGATTACTTTGGCACAGATCTAAGCATAATACACAGATTGCTAACCTTATGCATTTTTTGGGAAACAAATTTAGGTATACTTAAAGGCGCCCTCTATTGTGGAGCAGTATAAACATGTATCGTTTAAAACTGTAATATGATGCTTATGGATTTATGCGTTAGATGTCGCTGAAACAAAATTAAAGCGCTAAAGTTTACACAATTCGAATTCCTTAATATTCGTATTATTACAGTGATATGATATCATATGATAGGACTGATAGGAGGTACGCTGAGCCATAATTATTTAATTTAACACTGGAGCTACTCGTTCGTCGTAAATGAGTTATTTAAAGGGGGTACCTGTGGTCACAGATACACACGAACATAGGGCAGGTTCTTAAAGAATCGTGAAGGTTTTTTGAAGTGGGCGGAAATTATTTGCAGCTTTAAAGGTCTTGACAGATTGCTAATCGCAAAGGTATATACTTAAAAACTATATGTATATCTCTGCCATAATTAACGTTACACTCTTTACCACGCCGATAAGATTTGGAATACGTATGTATGTAGGTATACATATATGATCTCTTGAATACGTGTCTATAAACAAATCACAAAATAAATTCATCGATTACAAATATCAAATGCCAAAAATAACGAATTCGGATTATGCACACTTTTCCGCTTTAAATTTTTTGCAGCGACATTTGCAAAAATCAATAAGCGTCATATTACAGTTTTAAACGGTACATGTTTGTACTGCTCCGCAATAGAGGGCGCTTTTAAGTATACCTAAATTTGTTTCTCAAAAAATGCATGTTAGCAATCTGTGTATGTGTAGATCTGTGAGAAGTCTAATCGAAAAAGTACGAATTGTTTTGGATTCTACGCACCAAAATTAATAAGAAAAAGTGTTTTCTCGAGAAATTTTGGTGCAGTCGATTTTTGGTAAAGAAGGAAGGTAATAAACTGCCTTTTTTTGAGCCCCGAAAAAAATTGTCTCAGATCGATCCGGAAAAAAAAATTTCTGATAGAATGTGGCCTGTAGAATCCATAATTTCAAACAGTTCCAAGATTGGGCTACTAGTTCAAAAGTTACAGCCCTTTGAATTTTTTTTCGAAATTGGTTTCTAGTCTATAACTTTTGAGAAGTCTAATCGAAAAAGTACGAATGTTTTGGATTATAAGCACCAAAATTAATAAGAAAAAGTGTTTTCTCGAGAAATTTTGGTGCAGTCGATTTTTGGTGAAAAAGGAAGGTAATAGGTAACTGCCTTTTTTTGAGCCCCGAAAAAAAATTGTTTGTACTGCTCCGCAATAGAGGGCGCTTTTAAGTATACCTAAATTTGTTTCTCAAAAAATGCATAAGGTTAGCAATCTGTGTATGTGTAGATCTGTGCTTTTGGTCATTGTAAATAAACAAAATGGCGGTCGTATCCCAAGGTTATTTTATTTCAAAGGTTACCTGGTAACTATGTGGGCGGAAGCGGGAGGGACGGAATGTATACGTCATCGAGAATTCTGACATTGACGTTCAACGTTGTTTGTAGTCGCGCGGGTGCTTATTTTTCTTGAGTTATAGTTTATTTGTTTAAAATTTGTTGAATTTTGAAGTGCATAACGACATATTTTAGCTATAGATACCTGTTTGGTGCAATATAAAGATATTTAATTTGTGAATTTTGTGGGTTTTCATAGCCGTGATTGAAAGGTTAGTTCATCAATTATATGCACTTTTGTATGTTATAATTAAGTATTTTTTTAGATATGAGTGGCGGTAACACTAAAATTCCTCATCCTGGTGTAAATAAAATCTCGGTTTTTACGTTTCCCAAGGACCCTACCGTTCTTAAAGAATGGGCAAGAAAATGTTTCACATCCGGCAGCAAACTAAAATGTGCTGCGCCCTCATTGGCCAAAACGGCCAACCGATGAAAGCGTAGCGTCCCTGGCCGCAAACGTTTAAAAGCAGAGCCACGAACTCTGCAAATAGCCCAGTAAATAAAGGCCTAAAATTACCATTTGTCGCAACTAATTAGTGGAAAGCTGGATTTTTTATATGTGATACTACCTTAAGAGACAAGTATTTTCCCAAAAGTCCCCGCCTCTCCCCTTTGAGCTTTCCCCCCCAGCTCGCTCAAAGGTAGAAAAAACAGAGTTTTCAGATATTGACTGTAGAATGCTTAGTATTTATAACAGAGTGATAACCATTTTACTTTGTCAGCTCAGTCAGATCCAATTTCGACCTAGTAAAACTACCTCCAACCTCGAGTGCAGCTCAACATTTGTTGAGTGTTTATCTTCAAATTCAATTTTGGATAGAAAATAAACTTAATCCAAAGGATTGGGGTTGGAAGTACGCTACTGTGAGAGAAAATGGAATGACAAAAAAGGCTTTAAGGCCTGTTCCTAACACAGAGCCATTTGCCCCTAATGACTTACTGTATCTAATCTCATGCTCTTGCAAAAAAACCATGCGGAGATTACTGCAAATGCAGAAAATCCGGAGTTAACGGTTCTGCAATGTGCGAGAATTGCAACGGACTGTCGTGTCTCTCCAAACCTCGATGAAGATGCAGACCACTTAGCTACCTTGTAAAAGGTAAAGGTGTCCTTGGTGAGCAATCAAATATTTGTAAATATTGTAAGTAAATAGAAGAATATGTAACTATAATTTCTCTGTAAATAAAACTGTACAAATGTTCATTTGAGTGTGGTGGGTGGGTGGTCCGTGATGCCAATCAGACAAATAAATAAAAAAAACAATCCAAGTGAGATGGTGGCTTTAAGATGTAATATAATGTAGGAGCTTAAGTGGATTTTTGAAACGATAACGTGCGGCGGAAGCGTTCGAGCGGCACGCACGCGCTCTCTTAAGCGATGCTCTGTTGTACGCCAGTACAATCATAAGACTGATGTACCTACTATATATTTTTAAAGCTTAGAAGGTGTGCTACATATATGTGTTATATATTACATTTTTACTTCATCTTACAATTACAAAGTTGCAGAGCAAAAACCAAAGTGTTTTACTAAAAATTTCATTTTTTTTCACTTTTTAGTGGTATATCTGAAAAACCAAAGGTTTAAGAAAAATGTTTTTAAAACAAATACTGTACAGCATCTATTTAGGAACAATTTAAAAAAAATTATCACTCTGGCATAAATAATAAGCATTCTACAATCAATATATGAAAACTCTGTTTTTTCTACCTTTGAGGGGGGCTGGGGAGGAAAGCTCAAAGGGGAGAGGCGGGGACTTTTGGGGAAATACATGTCTCATAAGGTTGTATCACATATAAAAAATCCAACTTTCCACTAATTAGTTGCGACAAAAAAGTTTTATTGACTGGGCTAAAAGTGCAACGCAATTTCTGCTTCGACTGCACTTCAACAAAACAAAAAGCTCTCCACCTGCAAAACCAGGTCGCCTTGCCAGATCGACCTCGCGCCACACTCCATCAGTCAGAAGACCTGCATCTGGGCTCACCCCAACGACAGAGCTCGCCGTGTGCACCTCGGTTACCATTTTGTACATAATATAAATATACATTTTCCATAAAACGCAACAGCATTTTATTTGGCGTCATCCGCTAAAGAATGTTTAGAGTTTTAATTCCCAAAGGCTAGGTAATGGTACATAGGGGTGGTTCCTATTTTGTAGAACGCGGAATTTTATCCATTTCCACCTCTAAAATTAATTTGATTATATTTTCACAAGTACTCGTGCAATGTAAAACAGCTTACACACCACACTCATTTTTGCAATACTTTGATTGCTTTCAAAGGTTGAAGTCGATAAACTTCCAAGATTTCTAATATAAGATCCACCCTCATATACATATACCCATATAAATCCAAAAATATACTGCAAAAACTAAATTTTTTACCCCTTTTATTAGCATTGTAACCTATGAGCAATTTTAAATGTGAATTCTGGATGACGTTTTCCCGCCTTCAAAATGCAAGCATTCTATTGGTTTAGAGTTACCAGACAACCTTTCTAATAAAACAACCTTGGTCTTATCCCACCAATGGTAATTACAATGTGGTGCCACCAGAGGTCTCACTGTTAGTCTGAATCGCAAATTGCATATTCATATATAATAATGCACAACATGTAACAATAACAATAACATTTTAATAGGCAAAAAAATGTACAACAATGGGTAGGTATATTCAGATCTAAAAATGGAATCACATGGAAACATCAACCAAACATCACATAATCAACACCTTCGACTAAATTTAATGAGTTTAAATTGCTTTCAAAAACCCCATCGGTCATGTCCTGAAAGAAAAAAAGTAGGTGACAACTATCAAAACCATCCGGCATACCATTTTGACGCATACCACTAGAGGAGGTTGGGCGTCCTTAAAATGAATAATGGGCACTGGGCGCCCAGTCGTTCGCGTTTTCGCGCAATAAGGAACATACCTTCCCCCAATTAGCTTAGCGTTAACGTCGCAGAGCGCCACCACCTTTCGTCGATTGTCGCCGGTAAGGGAATTATAAAACTTCCTCCCCTGTTTGCCGGCGTTCCAAATTGTAAACGAGGTCCACTTGCAGAGATGCCGCTGCAAGCGCTCCAATCGCAATTTCCAGATGGTAGCTCTGAAATTTGCGAATTAGCGTAAACTAAGCGAGTCGGGCCGTACTCGTCAACTGAAAATGTGGCGGCGTTCGGATGATACTGGTAGACTAGCAGGCACTCGTCTACTCGAACTATGCGACCGCTCAAATCCAGATGTTTGTAGAAGAAGATTAGGTCCTCGGGTGTTCCTTTGGCTCCTTCGACAAAACCCCCAACTCTAAAAGTATTTCAAAGTTGTTTATCCAGTTATCTATAAATCCCCCCCCCCCAATACCTATCAAAGACTAGGCGATGGCAAAACCACGTCGGCATTATAATCGTAGGTCCGTGTGACGTGTAAATTTGGACGTTTAAGTCATCGTGCTCGAGATTATTGGCCCAAGAAGTATACCGTTGCGTTGACTCGGGTGGGTCTCGTACAAATTGGCTTCCTAAAATCTACACCTTTTTACCCTTCACTGGTATCTGATACCCTTACGGTATTTGATGGTTCTCGTAGCGCGCGTGTGTACTGGCTACAAATACGGTTTGGTAACATGATGTCATCCTGCGAAAGTAAATTGTAAATGTTAACAATACACTGCCATCTGGGCCATATTGTTCTGTGCACAAACACCTGTTCAGTAAACTCAAAACAAATCAACATTTAATTTTTCCTTGTACACGCCCGGCATTCACTATAAAGAAAAATCCTAACGTTGACTCTATATTTTATTGCTTTAGAAGATACCTACAGTGGCCTCGATCAACTCGAATAAAAAAATCTTACATGAAAACTCTATCTGAGTCGCACTTTGGGTTCGATTAAACACACAGTTAATTAATTGACAAGGACAAAGATTTTTTCCGCGAAACCCTAAAAGAAATTCAAATAACAATGCTTGAAGAGAGAGAGAGGCTCTTAGGATCTGTTTTTACACATATTACGGCCGCAAGCGTTCGACAGACAATTAAATACAGAAATCTTAATACTTACAGTTTTTAATAATTCAATAATCTGGTCGTTAGGGGCATTATTCAGTAGCATTTTATAATATTTGAAAAGACCAATCGATTTAGTGTACGACAACATCAAATATGCATATATAGAAATGGAGAAATTCGTGATTTTAGAAAATCTATGAACTCTAGCATGACGTGGTGTCTGTTGTGTTACACAGAAAAGACCTACAAACTTTGCGAAAACTTGCCCCCTTTTGGGACTAAAAAGGCATCTGAAATTTTTTTTAATCTTTGAAAATAACGAAGATATCACCGAAAAACTGAAACTGTCAAATTTCATTGTCCTTTTCCCTAGCTTAAATGGTTGGAAATGAACACATTATAATCTTTGCAAGGCTTTTAGGGTTGAGCCTTTAGTTTTCCGAATTAAGAGTTGCTAATAAAATATGAGCAAGTTACAAGCTATTAACGACAAAGTGTAAAAGAAATCAACAGAACCCATGGGATGCAACATTGTCACATTGCACACCGAAGCAAAAGGGAAAAGCAAAACAGAAGTATAAATACATCCTATACAGAGCTAGTGTATATAACCCAATCATAAACTTACAATGTCCTGGAAGCACAAATAATCACCGCTGCTAATCGAAACAGCTCTATTTTTGGCATAACCAACTGCAAAAGTTACACCACAATTACAAGATTTTGACATTTCAAGCTCACCTCCACTAGGACATCGTGTAGCATTTTTATGAATGAGAAACGGTACGTTTTTCTTTTCAAAATGAAGTCTCCATTCGTCAAGCAACGTGGCCGTGCTATCGCTACTGGCATCGTCACATACACAGACCTCTATATTAATTTCACCGATGGCCGTTTGGTGGAGAATTGATTCAAAACAACTTTTCAACCAGGGTTCCCCATTGTGTATCGGAATGATAACTGACTAAATGCAAAGTTGTAGGAGTAAATTTATGTGCGCTGTTAGCATACCACTTGGGGTGTCATTTGCCTCGCATGTTCTTCGTGTAGCAACTTAGTATTGTCTATGCCGGAAGGTAAAAATGGTAATTATTTGCAAATTGCACAGACCACAAAAAAGTGAGGTTAAGTGGTGTAATCTGTTCCAAGTAGGTGGCGTGGCGGTTAATCTGTATACTTTACATACAGGCAGGTTATTTCTATATTGCGATTATAATATGCATAACGGTGAATTAAATGCATTCGGCATTCGACACGTTTACATCATTTAAAACAGGATAACGAAACCACTGAAACAAGGTTAAACATTCTATCTAGTATTTAGTAATTGTGATTTGAAAATTATTTATATTAGTAGTTCAAATAAGAATCAGTAGTTCAATAGGCGCAACTAAAATAGTTCCAAGTGTTGGGCACGTTTCAAGTTTCCTAACCTCAAACTCCTATGCATAAATGACGAATTTGTTTGAAAATGTCTCGTTTGATAATAAAAAATTTGCCCAAAAAGGTAAAATAATCAGCTTCCCCTGACATTTAGTAAGTAACAGTGTTACAGATTACAGAAGATAAAATACGAGAGCTATTTGGAGTTATCGGAACTGTCACGGACGTTCAGTTAAAGTACACAGAGGAAGGAAAGTTTCGACAGTTTGCGTTCATTGGGTATCACACAGAAAATGAGGCGAACGAAGCTATTAAACAATTCAATAATACCCACATTAAAACCCATCGCATTCAAGTTGAGGCATGTAGTTCTCTTGGCGATGCAACGAAACCAAAGTCTTGGAGCAAATACGCAAGCGACAGTAACGCGTTTAAGAGAAATACTGAGGGGCACGCCATTAAAGAGACTGACGTACCTGAAACGTCAACAAATACTCGAAAGAAAAAGGAGTTGGAGCTGTTAGAAAAGGTATGCACAAACTAACAACTCCCCGACTGTAATGTGTGAATTTCAGTACAAAGATGATCCGAAATTTGAAGAATTTTTAGAACTACACGCTCCAAATGATAAAGGTCTTTTGTTGGAAACGAAAAACGTAGAGGAACCTGAAAGTGGCGACGATCAACGCAAGACCGCCAATCAGCAGGTGTCGGATGTTGACTACATGAAGTCTTTAATAAGAACGGAACCTCCACCGGAGAAAAAACGCCGAAATCTTCCTCTTTACACGATAAAATTGCAAAACGTACCGATCCACTGCAAAAAGAAAGATATTAAGGACTTCTTTCGGACGATCGCACCCTTTTCGATTAGGCTGCCGCGGAAAATTAAAGGAATTTGCTTCGCGACTTTCAAAACGGAGAAAAAATTCAAACGTGCCCTACTCAAAGATAAGAGCTTCATAAGTAAGTGTTACGAAAATTTAGCCTGGTGGTAAAGTGATTTTTTAGATGGTAAACAAGTTTCGGTGACCGCGTATAAGTTACCGCAGTCGGAGGCGAGTGCGACGAGCAATACCAAACGATCGAAGTGGAAGAGTCAGGAGGACGCGCTTAAAGACGAAGAGGACGTGGCGGAGTCGGGTCGGATTTTTATTCGGAATTTGTCGTACACGTGTACCGAGGACGTGATTCAGGAGTTGTTCGCAAAATATGGTAGGTACCAAAGCTCTAATCCTCAAATCCTTTGAGATATAGAACTAAAAATTAGAACGCTTCCATTATTTCACATATTTTGAGGTTAAAAAATTTTTTTTTGAGTGCGGTCGCCATCTTGAATTTTTTAAATGGCATCATATGTCAGCAGCCTTAACCGATCAAGTATCCAACAAATTTTTAATTAACACCTAGGCATCCATCGATAAAACTGCACGAAAGAAAGGCATTCAGGGCATACAGAGTACAGACAAAGTATACCACACACATGCGATTGATTGAAATATTAAATTGAATTACCTTAAAGGGTTAATGTCCTAATATCCGCTCATAACTACGATCTTTAACTGACACAACGCTTAAACTACTCCGTAAACGTTATACAACGCCTGAGCTTTACTCGAGCCAGCTAAACTTTCTTCTACAAGAACTTTACAATCCCCAAACACTGACTGTCTGTCACAAAAAGGCTAACCGTTTTCCGTCAGTGGAAAATTACCGTCTCTCCTCCATACGTCCCTTTTATTTTACACGGTGCCTAATAATTCCTCATTTCCCAGGCCCGATTACCGAAGTGAACTTGCCGATCGATTCGGTCACACGTAAACTGAAAGGTTTCGGTTTCGTGACGTTTCTAATGCCCGAGCATGCGGTCAAGGCGTACACGGAACTGGACGGTTCCATCGTACAGGGTCGCATGCTGCATTTGCTACCGGGAAAGGCGAAGGCGGACGAGACCGACTCGAAGGTCGACGAGTCGACGAATTACAAACAAAAGAAGATCGCCAAGTTAAAATCGCAGGCGGGATCGTCGTACAATTGGAACTCACTATTTTTAGGACACAACGCTGTGGCGGATGTCATCGCGAAAACGTACGGGACGTCGAAGGAGGCGGTCTTGAATCCGCACGGCGATAGTAACGCGGCCGTTCGTTTGGCACTCGGCGAAACGCAAATTGTCGCGAGCACAAGGAAGTACTTGGAAGCCGAAGGCGTGCATCTCGACGCTTTTAATAATGTACTAAGTTTTGAAATTCTCCAGCGTTGTCAAAGCGAATATTTTTAGGCACCCACAAAACGCTCGAAAACTGTGATATTAGTGAAAAATTTGCCCGCGGAAACGGAACTCGCCGAATTGCGCGAACTGTTTCAGAAGTACGGCGTGATAGGCCGCATCATATTTCCCCCGAGTGGAATAACAGGTTTGTATCTCGAATGATGGTGGTGAAGCAGCAAGTTCGCTTTTAGCAATTGTCGAGTTTCTTGAACCGTCCGAGGCGCGCAAGGCCTTTATGGGGTTGGCGTATTCCAAGTTCAAGCACACTCCCTTATACTTGGAATGGGCCCCGGCTGATGGCTTAAAATCTCTGGGCGCAGCTTCAGACACTGTAACAGTCGACGCAAAGGTGGAAGAGACTCCCGAAGTTAAACTCGAGGAAGAGATTGAGGAAGAACCCGAGCCTGATACGACGCTATTTGTCAAGAATCTTAATTTCAGAACGACTGATGCCGGTTTACGTCAGGTACCGTGCGGTAAAGGGAGACATTACAAAATAGTCAAATTTTTAGCACTTTGCACCTTGCGGTAAGATACACTATGCCAATGTCGCAATGAAGAAGGATAACAGGAATCCATCACTTCAATTATCGATGGGTTACGGCTTTGTACGGTTCATTCATAAGGCCAGTGCGAATAAAGCACTGAAAGAGCTGCAGAATAGCACACTCGACGACAAGATCTTGGAAATTAAGCGATCGGAACGAACTCTTGCGTAAGTACTCGCGCTATGGGATTTAATTGCATGTAAATTCCCCAGAAATGAGGCAGGCTCGACGCGGAAGTCTTCCAAAGTGACCAAGCAAACCGGTACCAAGATCCTCGTGCGAAATGTTCCATTTCAGGCGAAACACAAGGAGCTGTTTGAGTTGTTCAGCACGTTCGGCGAAATTAAAGCTCTACGGCTACCAAAGAAAATCTCCACGGGCGAGGGCGGCGATCATCGAGGGTTCGCCTTTGTTGATTTTTTTACAAACGCGAACGCTAAGGTGAGGTTTTGCGCGCTAGCCCGCCGTTTGTGACTTGTCGGTAATTTTCAGAGTGCCTTCGAAGCGCTCGGTCAAAGTACTCACCTGTTCGGTAGACGGCTCGTTCTCGAATGGGCGTCGCAAGAAGACGAAGAGGTGGACGCGATCCGTAAAAGGACCGCCGAACATTTTCAAGAGGAAAAGGAGGTTAGGTCGAAGAAGAGTGTGTTTAATATTGAGTCATAGTATGTTCGAATAAAGAATAAATAACCTATGGCTTTGAATAAATATTGGGAAGAAGTAGAGGACAGACGCTCAGCGATTGCTTTGACCCGTTTTAGAATTGAGTTGAATCTCGACTTTGAGACAGGTACCAATGGGTCCTAGTTGCGGAGTTGAGAGTCAAAAGCAATCCTGGCATTAGGTGTCGTAAATTAATGTAGGTAGTTACAGTTATTTTTCAACCCCGAAAATGTTAGTTTACAAGGAACAAGTTAACTTCAAAAACAAACATTGAAAATTATAAAATGTTACATAAGAAATTTAAAATATGTTAAGATTACTACCTGCATTAAATAACACAAATAGGTATTACAACAAAATTCTCGTCCGCCGTATCGTGGCCTGCTATTCCATAGTGAGCCGGCACCCAGAACAAGTCGGGGAATAGCAACTCATATATCGCACATAGATTCTACCCGAAGAGTTTTTGCTAGCAAGATCTTGTACCCGAGATAGGTAACTTGCCCCTCGTCCAAATATAAGTTTGCGCTTGTGTTATGTTATAAAGTGCGAGTGATAAGTAATAATTAACTGTTACAAATTAAGCCATTTGAATCCTGCAATAAATTACATTATTAATTAATGGTAAATAATAAATTGCGTAATTAGATTTACGTTGCAATTCTTTATCTTTAAGGGCAATGTTTTCGAAAATTGATACGGTAGAATGGACCATTTCTTTTTATCTGCGGATTGCCAAAAAAAAACGCTTGAAAATTGTTTACAGATTAGATTACTTTATGAACAATATCAATAGATTATAGTTAGCTGACACTGATATAAAGTGGTGGCGTTTGCTATAAGCTCACAAGATCCAATATTTCAGTTGACCGGTAAGTATAGACACCTTTGCTCTTTTTGGGGGTTGTTCAATATTGACCAATAATTGCAATTAGTGTATTTCAAGTGTTGTTGCAGCACCCAAATCAAAGAATGTCCCGTATTTTTCTTCTATGTCTAGCAGTTTGCTTGGTCCAAATCGTTTTGGGTAAAAGTAAGTTGAGACACCATCTTGGTTTTTTCGTTACGTTACATCATATTTCCAGAATGCGGTGAAAATGAGGAGTGGATGGAGCGCATCGATTGCGAAGCGTTCTGTGGCGGATCCAAAGATATGACCGACCGTTGTGATGCATACATTTCTACGTGGGGCTGCAAATGTAAGAACGGATTTGTACGCAATCACAATAACAAGCGGTGTATGAGAGAGAATCGGTGCCCTCGGACAAATGCGCCGAGAAAGGTAGAATGCGGAGAGAACGAGGAGTGGACGGAAGTAATAGGATGCGAAGCGTTCTGTGGCGGAAATTACGGATGCTATATCTCCATTTGTGCAGACATTCCTACGTGGGGCTGCAAATGTAAAGATGGATTTGTACGTAATCATGCTAACCAGCGGTGTATAATGCAAGATAAATGCCCGCCGAAGAAGTAGATTGAAATAGAAATTAATTCACATTTTGTTGTACTCAATTATAATTAAACTCTGATCTGGATAACCTATTTAATTTAATATTAAAATATGGACAATTGCAGGGTCTTGCTGGTCAAATCAGGGAATAGCAACTCATATATCGCACATAGATTCTAAACCGAAGAGTTTTGGTTAGCAAGATCTTGCCCCCGGGATAGGTAACTTGCCCCTCGTCCAGGAACTCCTACAGTTGAGCGTCGAGCTCAGTCCCGGTATTAGGTGGTTATTATTATTATTATAACCATTGTTTTGTTTTATTAAGTAATTATTTCTGTATTCACGAGGAGTTGATTATCAGTGCGATGTTGCGCTGTTCGATTGATTCGTAACTATTCCGTGAGGGAAGTACCTAATACAGTTGGATTGTTCGCTGTATCTGTTACTTTCTTATTCGTGGCGCGCTGCAGGTCTTGTGCGTTAGCTATATGAAGGGGGGCTCTCTTATTTGATGTTTCGATGTTTGTGTGTGTGAGTGGTTCATTCTGTCTCCGTGGAGTAGGTACCTAATACAGTTCGATCTTTATTTCGCTGTATCTGTTGCCTACTCGTCTCGTGCGCATTGCAGTTCTTATCATCTTAGCAATGCGAGATATTTAGAGGCCCTCTCATTAACATTTCCTCTATTAAAAATATGTTCGACTTAAGCGATAATCGATTTTCACATGAATACTTGCTATTGGCATTCTCACATGTACTTTTCGTGTTAAATAAAATTATGTTAACTGAAGGCTGGAGTAGAGCCACACCATTTACATGTTTCCTATGTACAGGGTGGCCAAATAAGAAGGCGAGGTACAGTATCTGGGAACCTGTCCATCGTAGAGGCTTGCGGTAAAAAAATTTATTACTAAAACGGCCACGAGAAAAACCTGGAAAATATTTTTAAGTTTCAGCAATGGCCGCTAGGGGGCGGAACTGCAATCTGGAATCTAAAAAAGTGATTTTTCTGTGAATTGCGCTATATTAACCTAACAAAAAAATGTCCGGTCTTTAAAGTTGACGATAATCTAAACAATTTTTGTTTGACAATTATTGCTGTATCTCGAAAAATGAAGTGGTGCGGGGTATTCAAAGGTTTCCGTAAAGAACACCCTGTATCTTCGAAACGACTGAGCCGATTTTAATAAATTCGGGTTAATCGAAAAGGGTTATTCTTCGGCTTTCGGTTTTGTTAGTTTCACATATCGCCGCTTGAGGGCTTTTTTCGACATTCCGACAGAAATGGTTAATTTTCTCAAAAAATTAAATGCGTTGGTTTGATTTTTTTTCATGAAAAAGTAGCTAAATGATGCCTAAACAAGTTCGCGAAAACCGCATCTCGATATCTTGATCCTAACCTAAAATTTAGGCCAAAGAAAATTTTATTCCCTCAAAATTTTATTTTTTTAAGCTATCTATCTATCTCAAGATATCGAGATGCGGTTTTCGCGAACTTGTTTAGGCATCATTTAGCTACTTTTTCATGAAAAAAAATCGAACCAATGCATTTAATTTTTTTGAGAAAATTAACCATTTCTGTCGGAATGTCGAAAAAAGCCCTCAAGCGGTGATATGTGAAACTAACAAAACTTCAAATAGTATAAATATTTGTAGCTGAAGAATAGCTCTTTTGAACTAACCCGAGTTTGTTTAAATCGGTTCAGCCGTTTCGAAAATACAGGGTGTTCTTTACGGAAACCTTTGAAAACCCCCCACCACTTCATTTTTAGAGATACAGCAATACTTCATTGTCAAACAAAAATTGTTCAGATTATCGTCTACTTCAAAGACCTTTTTTTTGTTAGGTTAATATAGCGGAATTCACAGAAACATCGCTTTTTTAGATTCCAGATTGCAGTTACGCCCCCTAGCGGTGATTTCAGAAACTTAAAAATATTTTCCAGGTTTTGCTCGTGGCCGTTTTAGTAACAATTTTTTTTACCGCAAGCCTCTACGATGGATAGATTCTAAGATACAGTACCTCGCATTCTTAGTTGGCCACCCTGTACATACATGCAATTTATTAAGGATCCTGAGATCCTTTATAGTTTTGTATTGTCGTCCGTCCGTCCGTCCGTGTGCGCTCTAACTCTTTTTAAAAGTTGTCGATTGGGTTGAAATTTGGTGTACGGGTACTTTGGACATTAAGGACGGACGCTGATTTTCAGGAAGCTGGTTCAACAGGAACAAAAGTTATATGACTTTGAGTGAATCGGGAACAGGAAAAACTGCGCGCTCAATATAATAGAAATCAACATATTTCATTCCCTAGGTCATGTATCGAGTTCGGACTTTCGCTAGATTATTGCCTATTACTTTAGATGTGTAACAATTCAATATAGCTCTTCTCAGTGGTATAGGTCAAAAGTTTTAGAGCAAAATGTACCCAAAATTATTTTTTACACATGAATTTGGAGTTTTAAAATTTTTCAAACGCATTATCTTGATGCTGAAAGAGTACATCACGTGCACCTCATGTGTGTGATTCAATGATGTTAAATTATTTTTCTGAGGTCTCATGGATTTTGATCAAAATATGTCAAAATCGTTATTTATGCACCAAGATCGTTGGGAAAAAGGCTAGAGGCTTTATCTCAATGCTCAAGATATGATTTTGATGCATTTTTGGCGACCACGTGAATTTTGATCAAAACATGTCAAAATCGTTATTTATTCACCAAGATAATTGGGAACAAGATTAAGAGCATTATCTCAATGGCCTAGACATGAATTTGATGTATTTTTCTTAGTATCAATTGATTTTATTTAAATATATAAAATATTTCGAACATTAAAAAAAGGTTTAAAGATTCAAAAGAGGAAGAAAATTTTTAATTGTAAGATTTTAAAAGTGATTGTAATACTGAGGATCCTTCGATATTTCATTGTATCGGTTTATTATTTTACCAGTTGTGTTAGCTCAATTGATCGTACAGGTATTTTGATGTGTTTTTGTACTGAATTGATTTATCAGGTTTTCCTGCATTTATGATGCCTGGTGTATTTTGTTTAATTGTATTTGATTCGATTACCTGATTTTTATCATACAATTTGAGATGTTTTATTTATGTGTATTTTCTCCTGCATTTTACTACTGTAGGTGATATTTATGTGGCCTATGCCGGGGTTTTTGTCCCGTGGAAGGTTTCCCTGGTATGGTCTTGTTGTGTGCGTAATACCTATAAATATAGGTCTTCTCTTCTTGTCATTTCTTACGCACAAAAGTTTCTGTCTTTTATGTAATTCCCTTCCCCATTATGTCTCACGTCCCAACACATATAAGAACCAATTACACAACGTAGGAGTTCATTCGTGCCACCCATATCGAGCCGACTGTCATCCAAATTCAAAAGTGCCGCGAAACGTCCATCGTTTCGACTTAAAAGATATGTGGCTCTGCTTGTAGATTTTTTGCCAGAGTTGCCAACGGTAAGTATAGGGTAAGTCAACGTTTTCAGTGCCGTTGTGGTAGCGTTTCGCTTGTGGTGAACGCGCCCATTGTTTGTACTTCGACATGCTTGCTTTTTATGAATTATTGTCAATTAATTTGTTGAGAATATTTGTTTTGTGATTGTATTTAATATGGAACAAAGAGTGAAAGTGCACTTGGACAGCTTTTTTACAGATTACCGTAGCCTCTGCTATGTATATGCAAATAAAAATATGAAGACTATTCAAGATTTGATCCATCATATATCCAGCAAGTTTGATGTACCTTCTACGGTTTACTTAACATCAAACAATATATATTTGCCCCCCTTTGAAGATATTAGGATATTAGGAGACTGTGACTCCATCGTGTAAGTAATGAGGCGGTTATTCCGAAAAAAACAATTGATATTGTAGGGTGAGACCACTGGTACGCAACCGAACGTCTAAAAAAAAGAAGCAAAAGTTTTCTGATGAACCGTCGGCTGAAGTGGATAAGTCGAAAAATTGCAATGCAAGCGTAGTCATCGACCAGAATAAAGCTAGCCAGAGGTTGGAACATCCGGAATGCATGAGTATTGATGGGAGTGAAGGCGAAGATTGTACCGATTCGGCTATCCGGCATAAAAAAAAGAAGAAAAAAGAGAAGAGAACTAAAGCTGATGATCCTCCTGAAGAGCTGATTAACCTATTGGAGTCGACAGTCCCGAATGATACAACCCTCAACCGGCCTCTAAATCCGACCATAGTGAAGAGGGCCCCCTCGATTTCGTCCACCCCAACTTGTAGTCTCTCAGTTACAAATTTATCAAAAGTGTTTCGGAAGCAAATTTCGACAACTCCAAGTATTGAACAGCCAAAACCCATTCGCGTGGGTGAGGCCGTCGTCGCCGAATTTGCACGGAGAAAAAGAGTCGACCTGCTTCCGATTTCAACCGCCCCCAACATCGTAAAATCGATCCTCGTGTCCGACCAAGACAGTAATTTAGATACCAACACCGTCTACGACGTATCCTCCTCGAGCGAATCTGAGTGCTCTCAATCGAAGGAGACTTGCGAAGTGCCCGAAACCAAGCAGCGAAAACGCAAAAGGGTTCGCAAGCGCAAGCCGAAACCGCCACTCACTCCCTTGCCTTATTGCCCGCCGCGAAGTTTAAACGGTTCCAGTTCTCCACACTTGCACCTTCGATTCGATAACGAACCCGAGGCGGTCGAAAGTCCTCCAGCTCCGGAAGAGATTGTGGAAAATGTCGATAAGGTGCAGATTGTGAATTATAAAGATCTATGCGAGAACGAGATTAAGAATTTTCCCATAATGAAGGGGGTGGATCCAAAAGTGGATGATATAATCGCATTTAAGGTGAGCATTTTTAATGTCAAGCAACGAAACGTAAATCTTTCTTGCAGAGATTTATGTTGTCTGAGAATTACACGCCAGAGGTATCGAATTACATTATTGGAAGTGTTTGTAGCTACTCGCCATCCACATCAACAGTTGTCATAAAGGTCTTAGGTATGGTGTCGTATTCTTTGTTTGTGTACCTAATTAATCGTCTTGCAGAGGGAAGAGAACAATGTAACGATCCCAGGGGAAAATTTTATATGGAAGAAAATGAAAATGGCGTGCAGAGTAGTACAGTTCATCAGTATGTGTGGTCAGAATTAATCGAGCCAAGACTGTTGTTTCCGTAGATTTAATTTTTTAATGTATATTTTTCTATTGTTCATATTTATTGGATAAAGCAAAAGCTTATGCATTTCCTGAAAGCCGCTTTGAAAATAAATGTATGGCTGTGTTTACACCAAAACCCCAGGTAATGTCGATTTAGAAAAGTTAGTGTATTTTTTAAATTCCTGTACTGAAGGGTGATATGAGCTCAAGTCTTTTTTATCATTCTTAGTAATGTAAACAATGATCGGTTTAATAAAAAGTATTTAAATGAGAACTCTAGGTGAGATATTTGCCAGGAATAGATGCGTCTAAAACGGCTGTGTAAACGTTTGCAACCTCAAATTTGTGCAAGTGCACAAAAATAGTGTGTAACTAATCATTGGTAATGTAGAACTGTGGAGCCATTGTGTAAAGGATAAATCAATTGCTTATTTTATAACTGCCTTACTCTAGTCCTAATTTGATTTATACCTATGTGTATTTTGGTGGTGCACGCGCATGGGAGAATATACTCTTGAAACTAAAGATGCAAGTAGTAAAAGATATGATTATTATTTAGCGGATTTTGACTCAATATATGGCTATCCAAAGACCCAAATGAGCTGTAACTGTTATTTATTTTTCTTAGACTGCTGATAACCATTTTGTTTACAAAGCGGTGTGATGTGGATTGAATGAAAAACCTGAACACATCTTCAGCAATTTGGCAAATTTTTAATGCATAGCTAGATACGTGAACAATCCGCCACGTTTCTTTCTAGTTAAAAGCTGTGAATGACTGATTCGAATATCGTATCTGCACATATGGAACATTTAACAGACTTGGCTATTTTTCTTATAACAAAACCTGAAATATACATAGTACCAGAGCTGGGCAGTATTCGATTTTGTAAATACTTTTTAGTATTCAAATCCTTTAAAGTATGTATTCAAATACTTTGTAATTAAATATAGGTACTTTTATGGAAGCAGTATTTGTATTTGTAACTCAAATACTTTCACAAATATTTAGTATTCGAATACTTCGCATAGTATTTGAATATTTAACCTTCCTTTTATTTTACCAAAAATCGACTACACCAACATTTCTCGGGAAAACACTTTCTTATTAATTTTGGTGCGTAGAGTCCAAAACAATTCGTACTTTTTCAATCAGACTTCTCAATCAAAAGTTATAGACTAGAAACCAATTTCGAAAGAAAATTCAAAGGGCTGTAACTTGAACTAATAGCCCAATCTTGGAACTGTTTGAAATTATGGATTCTACAGGCCACATTCTATAAGAAAATTTTTTTCCGGGTCGATCTGAGACAATTTTTTTTGCGGGCCTCAAAAAAAGGCAGTGTAGAACCTTCCTTTTAACCAAAAATCGACTACACCAAAATGTCTCGGGAAAACACTTTTTCTCATTAATTTTGATGCGTAGAATCCAAAACAATTCGTACTTTTTCGAGTATTCGAATACCTTTGATAGTATTAGAATACTTTTGAAAGTATTCGAATACATTCTAAAGTATTTGAATACCTACTTATTTTTTTAAGTATTTGAATACTTTTCATTGTATCTGTATCTAGTATTCGCTTGTGCTGGACGTAAAAGTATTTAGTATTCAAATACCTTTGATTTGTGTAAAGTATTTACTATTTAGTATTCAAATACGCTCGGTATTGCATTATTGATTAACACCTTCGTCGGTACCTTTCTAAAATCGGCTTCATTCCCCGTAAATGCACTATGGTGGGAGTAAATTTTTCTCTTCGAATGGCTCTGATGGTTTATTGTCAACAGAAATTTATCTGTTTACTAATTCGAGCTAATCACGAGAAAGATTAATGAACGGAACATCTAAAAACAGCTTACTTCATTGTATTGCACATCATTTCTGCGATTTTTGCCCCGCCGTGCATTGTGTGTTGCATAGTGTATCGACAACACCATACGTGAAGCGCAGTCTAGTTATAGCAAATCTCTGGTTTAAGGGCATACAAGATCAATGACCCCATTTGTACTGTTGTTGAGTGAGTGCTTTACAGAATCTAGGAGCTTTCCTTTTTCGAGACAAATTGAGTAAATAAAGCAAGCTAACTGTCATTGTGTGTTGCCTATTACTACCAACAAATGTTGTATAAAAAAAGGCTCTCAATATGCGAAATTGTAAAGGAGCATTTTTCATACTTTACACGTAACCCTAACCTAAAAAAAAAGTAAATAAATTGCAAGTAATCAAATATTCTGGCAAATACTCAACGTAATGTAGATATGGAAAACCCTTTCGCTGCTTTACTTCAAGATACAAACTCGCCACCACTAAATACCACCAGCGATGAAAGGGCGACGACAGAAACTCTCGAGGAGACATTCGGATTTACGCTGAACAAAGATCGAAGGGGCTCCCTAATCTTTTTGGAAGATTTATCCGCTTCCTTTCCTAGCGGCGTATTAAACGTCGAAGTTCTCGAACATGCCCTATTCGAACGTCTCCTACTGACGAATTCGCAGGACGTCGGCGAAGCGGAAGTGTTCGTTTACCTCTTCCATTGCTTTAAGAAAACCTCAGCGATTAGCGATGTCGGTCTGCGAGAGAAAGTCGAGGCGCTCATATTACGTAACGCTGTCACCGCATTGAAACAGGAACTTAAGGAGCTATTCGAAGGACAAGACTTGGTAAAACAATTCTACGAGATATTGAAGACGTTGGAATTACCGGCGCGTGACTTCTTTGAGAAGATTTACAAACGTTTTTGTGACGATGGTAAGTCGCACTTTTTACTGGGAGCTTCTAGCGTTTTTGTTATAGGCGACACGGCCGGGACTAAGGAACCCTTTACGATGCTATTAAAATTGCTTCATATCGATATTGCTAGGGCCACTCCTGTTAGTTTCCCCGTGTTTGTTTTTGAGATACTTAACTCTTATGTTAGTGACGAATTTTTGGCTGGAATTCTCTTGGATTACTGTCAGCCGCCGTCCGAGGTGGGGATCGAGTATGCCAATACGTTATTAGGTGCAGTTTTCAGCGTGTCAGTATTACCGAAAGTGATCAGCGGATCTTATGAGTTTTTCCAAGATCCTCTCGATCAGGTATGTTCCAAGGGGAGTACCCTGAAGTGGTTTTCCCCTCGAATTATGCACATACTCTGGTTTTAGGCCAGTAATGCAGCGGTACAAAGCTCCCTGTGGATGAATACGAATCATATTTTCCAAGATATGCACGCTTTTTTGCTCAATCTGTTGAAGTGCGGACGGGAGATACGGATGCGCACGTTAACGTGGCTCTGTAATTGCTTAAAGGCAAACGTCGACCGCGGAAAACTGTGGAACGCCCACGTTCCCGATTTCAACCTATCCAATGGGAATACGGTGACCGACGGTTTTATGCTTAATATTACGACTGTTCTGTTGCGATTGTGCCACCCGTTTTGCGTCAATATAAAAGACGGGCGCATTTTGAAGGTCGACCCTACGTATTGCGCTGTTTCTGTAAGTTTGCCCCGTCCGAGTTGGAGAGATAACCAGTGATTGTTTCAGAATGAAGATGCGCTCGCCAAAGATGTTCATTTGCTCGACATGTCTAAGGAAACGTCTCTCATTCCGCACGATAGCGAGCAAGAGGAACGACCTGCAAGCTCGTCTTATAACTTCGTTACGGAGTGCTTCTTTATGGCACATCGCAGTTTTGATTTAAGTTTTCGTGTTACAAATGACAAATTGGTGCATCTTAATCAGGTACGTAGTCTCTCCATAAAGCACAATTCAAACCCAACTGATCAAGGACGCAAAAGCACAGTTTAGTTCTTTTTTGAATTTTGCTGGCAGTTCAAAAACACAGTTTACTTCTTAGGGCAGTATGCGAACGAATCCGAGTACTTTCCGTGATGTTTGGAGCAAATTGCGCTCATTTGGCTGAAGTTTGAGCTTAAACCCGTTTGGATCGGGTAGTTTTTTGAATTTTGCTGGCACTTCAAAAGCACAGTTTACTTCTTAGAGCAGTAGGCGAACGAATCCGAGCATTTTCCGTGATGTTAGGAGTAAATGGCGCTCATTTGGCTGAAGTTTGGGTTGAAACTCGTTTGGATCGGGCAGTTTTTTGAATTGTGCTGGCACTTCAAAAGCACAGTTTATTTCTTGGAGCAGTAGCCGAACGAATTCGGGCATTTTCCGTGATGTTTGGAGTAAATTGCGCTCAATTGGCTGAAGTTTTGGCTTAAACTCGTTTGGATCGGGTAGTTTTTTGAATTTTGCTGGCACTTCAAAAGCACAGTTTACTTCTTAGAGCAGTAGGCGAACGAATCCGAGCATTTTCCGTGATGTTAGGAGTAAATGGCGCTCATTTGGCTGAAGTTTGGGTTGAAACTCGTTTGGATCGGGCAGTTTTTTGAATTGTGCTGGCACTTCAAAAGCACAGTTTATTTCTTGGAGCAGTAGCCGAACGAATTCGGGCATTTTCCGTGATGTTTGGAGTAAATTGCGCTCAATTGGCTGAAGTTTTGGCTTAAACTCGTTTGGATCGGGTAGTTTTTTGAATTTTGCTAGCACTTCAAAAGCACAGTTTACTTCTTAGGGCAGTATGCGATCGAATCCGGGCATTTTTCGTGATGTTTAGAGTAAATTGCACTCACTTTACTGAAGTTTGAGCTTAAACCCGTTTGGATCGGGCAGTTTTTTGAATTTTGCTAGCACTTCAAATGCGCAGTTTACTTCTTAGGACAGTATGCGAACGAATCCGGGCATTTTCCGTGATGTTTGGAGTAAATTGCACTCATTTTACTGAAGTTTGAAATTAAACCCGTTTGGATGGGGCAGTTTTTTGAATTTTGCTGGCACTTCAAAATCACAGTTTACTTCTTAGAGCAGTAGGCGAACGAATCCGAGCATTTTGCGTGATGTTTGGAGTAAATTGCGCTCATTTGGCTGAAGTTTGAGCTTAAACCCGTTTGGATCGGGTAGTTTTTTGAATTTTGCTAGCACTTCAAAAGCACAGTTTACTTCTTAGGGCAGTATGCGATCGAATCCGGGCATTTTTCGTGATGTTTAGAGTAAATTGCACTCACTTTACTGAAGTTTGAGCTTAAACCCGTTTGGATCGGGCAGTTTTTTGAATTTTGCTGGCACTTCAAATGCGCAGTTTACTTCTTAGGACAGTATGCGAACGAATCCGGGCATTTTCCGTGATGTTTGGAGTAAATTGCACTCATTTTACTGAAGTTTGAAATTAAACCCGTTTGGATGGGGCAGTTTTTTGAATTTTGCTGGCACTTCAAAATCACAGTTTACTTCTTAGAGCAGTAGGCGAACGAATTCGAGCATTTTGCGTGATGTTTGGAGTAAATTGCGCTCATTTGGCTGAAGTTTGAGCTTAAACCCGTTTGGATCGGGCAGTTTTTTGAATTTTGCTAGCACTTCAAAAGCACAGTTTACTTTTTAGGGCAGTATGCGAACGAATCCAGGCATTTTCCGTGATGTTTGGAGTAAATTGCACTCGTTTTACTGAAGTTTGACCTTAAATCCGTTTGGATTGGTCGGTTTTTTGAATTTTGTCTACGAACGAAGATAAACCTTTACAAATCCTATGCGATAACTTCCAGATGTTTAAATCTAGTCCTTTAACACGTAATAAAATTCAACAAAAAACAACGCAACCCTCACTTTCGACTAGAACCGCATGAAATTAGCAATTCTTCCATTACTTAGGAATTTTTTGAATCGCTTATGGGAGTAAGTCGAGAAATATGTTACAGCAAAGGTTGTTTTTTTAGGAAATGTCAAGGATCGAACGCGCCTACCAGGATGTACTCTCGCAGGGTCCGATGAGCGAAATAGCCGACAGTATTAAGCAAAGGATGGCGTCCGAATTATCAAAGTAAATCTAGGCAAAATTTAGTGATGGATCTCGATCGATTCTAGTATGTACGAGTAAAGTGTGCGCTTCCTTACATAACAGCTTGATCCATAACTTAATTTTGCAAGAGATCACCACCAATACTAATTCGCGTTTCACGTCAATTTCTTTGTAGATACCTGTCGATTAAGTGCGCAATGTCCGAGCCGCATTTTCAAGAATCGCTCTTCAATTTTATGTCGGCGTCTGCGTTTTGGTTGAGTCAAGTCGCCGTGAGTGCGAGTTACAAATCAAATCGTGCCACTAGCGCCCCCATAGAGGCGAAGGAGATTGTGTTCCCACTGCCGGCCGAAGTGCCCGACACGTTAAAGTAGACGAGGCTGTTTAGTGAAGTGGTTCGCTAAGGTTTGATTTTAGGTGTATTCCCGAATTCGTTCTAGAAAATATTGTATGTTTTTTGGTGTTTTTGCGGCGATTTAATCCGAAAGTGTTCGAAGAGCAGGGTTACGAGCGGCTGAGTCCGATTTTAACATTTATTTTGGTCTACATGGGCTCGGCGCAGTACACCAAAAATCCGCACCTGCGCGCGCATTTGGCCGAGGCCTTGGAGACTCTTTTGCCTTATCATAAGGAGGATCCGGTTGGTTTGAATACGTTGGGGGGCATTCAAAGGGAGAGGCTGTTTAAGGAGCATCCGCACCGAGGAGAGGTAGAGTTTCAGTGTCACGATGGGTCTCTAGAGGCAATTGTTTTAGATTGTCGCGATATTGTTAGATGTTTTTGTTGGTATCGAGATGACGGGGCAGAACGTGCAGTTTGAGCAGAAATTTAATTACCGCAGGCCAATGTATTTGGTTATGGACTATTTGTGGGCGATGGAAGAATATCGACTGAACTTTGTGTAAGTTGTAACTCCGAAATGGCTCGTGTAATTTTCGTGAAACATTTAGCAACCTCGCGCAAGAAGCCGAACTCAACATGGAGGCCGTTTCGCCGCCGATTTTTTTACGTTTTATCAATTTGTTAATAAACGACGCTATTTTTTTGTTGGACGAGTCCTTATCCAATATGGCTAAATTGAGAGAATTGCAAAGAGCGAGGTAAGTTTAGGGCTGCGTTGCATGCCCATTTTTTGCTGGTATTTTGTCGGATTTCTATGGGGGTAGTAGAGCGTAATTTGCGGGGGATTATCAAAATAAACCTAGGCCATAGTATAAAGAATATCCTTACAGAGAAAAAGGGAAACAATATGAATGGCGGGCTCAGTTTTACAATGAATGGTTACGTAACTTGCGTTGGGCGATCCTGCCCTTCAAAAATATTGTTCTTACGGAAATGGATAAGAAAACTAATTGAATATTATCAAAATTTAACGCTGGCCACTTTGTAGGCGTTAATTAATTAAAAAGAGTAGGTAGGGATCACTATACAGAAAGTTTTGAATTCATTCGGTTTTGGGCGAACAGCGCGGGCACCCGTGCAGTTCTAACGTATAATTAGTTTGTCGGAATTGATTTGGTTGTGGGTTACCAGAGGCGAATATGCAGCTCTGATTGTTTAATTTTTGTGGATCATTGCCGTTGTAGCGAGAATCATCTCCATCCCAGTTTTGTATGAACATCGTCATTTCCGGAAGGACATTTTTTATATGAGGTACTGTTCTTTTATTTATGGAAAAATTAAGGATTGGTATATTAATGTGTGCGATGGGTGCGATCATCTACACCACTCACAGCACACGTGCCCAGCTAGCTCAAAACAAATAAAAAAAATGGAAACCTATACTTTTTATGATTTCTCCTCACCAGCATTAGCTACAAATTTTCCGAAAATTCCAAAGAAATCAATTACACAAATTTTGTTTTAACATTTGAGATAAATCTTGGGCTATAAAAAATCTGAACATGAGAACTCTATCAATGACAATGACAAAAAATTTATTTCGAAACACATACGCAATTAATAATCAAGAAAAAACCTGAAATAAAAAGGGACACAAGCCCGTTACATTTACCCCACACGCAGGTGGCCGACATAAATAAAGTTTCCCTGAAAAATCATGAACAGCGTACGGTGAGACAGCCGCCTTCGGCTAACACGCCCAGTTTCTTCCTTATGTTTCCTATTTAAACAGAACACCACTTCCGCAAAACTATCATACTCTTACTTCCGCTCAATTAAATGTAACGCCATTAGGGAGCGCTTGAAGTGTCCCCTCTGCCATAACAAAATTACGCACAAAAGAATCGCGTACCTGTATGCTTTGCTATTGGCGCTAAATACACGTGCGTCTCGAAATCACTTAACTTCCGTGATAACGTCGTCCTTATCGCATCCGAGCAGATAACACTTAAATGCACTAGACAAGTTTAGACGAATTTTAAACCAAAAATTATGGAATTAAAAAAGTTTAAAATAGACACTAAAACAACAAATTCCGATGAAATAAACGAATTCTCTGCTTATTTGTAATAAAATCCTCCGGATTTAAATTAATTTAGGACATTCACACATACAGGATGGCCCGATATTATCTTTGGTATTGTTTCGGCCTAAATAACGTCCACCTGATGGTTCACCCAATAATATATTGGTCCTTTATTTTGCCGAATCAAATTTCGCCTTTTACAATATTCCGACAACCCAAACTATCATTTCAGAGCTCAATTATTTACCAGGAATGGTTACGTACCTAACTTGCGTTGGTCAATCCAGTACTCCAACGAGTGTAGGTAGGTATAGGCGTGGAAGAAAATGACTTCATATTTTGTGATGCTAATTACATTGTCTCAAGGTCAATGGACCCATTTTTTTCGGTTACAAATGGCATTTTTAAAAGCACACAAGAGCATTGACTTTGGGCAGTAGGCCGCGGTAAAGTTCGAAGGGCAAGCTGTAAATTATCGTATTTCATTTTTTTTGGGGTTTCAAATTACATTTACAAGGTTAATTTGATGTGGTGTTAAATTATATGTTTAGAGCATGCAAGATCAATGACCGTGCGGTCTTAGACTACATGTTCGAGGTCATCCAAGGTCATTGACCTCAATTGTAGTATTAAAATACATTTTCAATGTCATCGAAGGTTTACAAGGTCATTTTGATGTGGTGTTAAATTATATGTTTAAGAGCATACAAGATCAATAATGAGTTCATACAAGATCAATCACCCCATGCGGTCTTAAACTACATGTTCGAGGTCATCCAAGGTCATTGACCTCAATTGTAGTATTGGAATGCATTTTCAAGGTCATCTAAGATTATGTAGTGTAATTACATTATCAAATTTTTTGTGTGGTGTCTAATTACAATCTCAGGGTTATCCAAGGACAATGAACCCATTCTGTGTGGTATTTACAAGGTCAATTTGATGTGGTGTTAAATTATATGCTTAAGAGCATACAAGATCAATGACCTCATGCGGTCTTAAACTACATGTTAGAAGTCATCCAAGGTCATTGACCTTAATTGTAGTATCACAATACATTTTCAATGTCATCGAAGGTTTACAAGGTCATTTTGATGTGGTGTTAAATTATATGTTTAAGAGCATACAAGATCAGTGACCTCATGCGATCTTAAACTACATGTTCGAGGTCATCCAAGGTCATTGACCTCAATTGTAGTATTAAAATACATTTTCAATGTCATCGAAGGTTTACAAGGTCATTTTGATGTGGTGTTAAATTATATGTTTAAGAGCATACAAGATCAGTGACCTCATGCGATCTTAAACTACATGTTCGAGGTCATCCAAGGTCATTGACCTCAATTGTAGTATTAAAATACATTTTCAATGTCATCGAAGGTTTACAAGGTCATTTTGATGTGGTGTTAAATTATATGTTTAAGAGCATACAAGATCAGTGACCTCATGCGATCTTAAACTACATGTTCGAGGTCATCCAAGGTCATTGACCTCAATTGTAGTATTAAAATACATTTTCAATGTCATCTAAGGTTATGTAGTGTCTAATTACATTATCAAAATGAGTCAAAGCCAATGGTCTCATTTTTTGTGTGGTCTCTAATTACAATTTCAGTGTTATCCAAGAACAATGAAACAATTCTGTGTGGTATTTACAAGGTCATACAAGGTCAATTTGATGTGGTGTTAAATTATATGTTTAAGAGCATACAAGATCAATGACCTCATGCGGTCTTAAATAGCATGTTCGAGGTCATCCAAGGTCATTGACCTCAATTGTAGTATTGAAATACATTTTCAATGTCATCTAAGATTATGTAGTGTCTAATTACATTATCAAAGTGAGTCAAAGTCAATAGTCCCATTTTTTGTGTGGTGTAATTACATTCTTAGGGTTATCCAAGGACAATGAATCCATTTTGTGTGGTATCAATTTACGTTTTCAAGGGCGTACAAGGTCCAGGGCCTCGTGTTGCAGTTTCAAATGCCTTGTTCAAGGTCATCCAAGGTCAATGACACCATTTTTAATGTACAATTACGGTCATCTAAGGTCAGTGAACCCATTTTTGATGTGTCAGATTACATTTCAAGGTGATCCAAGGTCACTGTTCCCCATTTTTATGTGGCGTCTAAGGCCGTCGCACCTTACCATATTTGAGCAATTGAGCATTATCAAATAGCGGAATCGGAGGCGAAAGAAGAAGTGAAAAAATCTGCAGAACTTCCGCACAGCGGAAGCAGAGGTTTGTTGCATCACTAATAATGCATAACGCGTGTTTTTTTCATACTGCCATTCCTTCAAATGTGAGGTGTGTTGCCTAACCGTAGGGGTGTGTCACTACAAGCTTTAGGAAAACATGAAGGGTTGTGGCTAGCCAACTTTCATCAACAAACAAGCAAAGAATTTGAGAACTTGACAAGTAGTCAAGGAGCACTCCAGGAAACTTGTGATGGAGTGGAAGGAAACAATTAGAAAAAATTTGCTGTGGATAGCACAGATACCACCTGCGCATGCGCGTTCTGCCCGAAAGGTGTTCAGCTCTTTCTTTTATATCGAAGAATATTTGTACCAAATTTGGTTTTCATCGGTTCGGCCGTTTAACACGTTTTAACATGTGTTTCCGTCAAAGAAGTGGGGGGGGGGGGGATTAGTTACCCGAATGCAACTTGCCGAATTTAAAAAGGAACCTAGAAAGAATTTTAAGGGGAGGTTGGGAGAAATTTGAGGAACGTGACTTGACTTAAGAAGATTCGGAGAAAAAGATGAGCGGAACTCGTGAGAATTTGCGCGCAACTTGAGAAAAGGTTGAGGGTGGGAGTGAGATTAAATTGCGCTAAAAACTTACAAAGTGGCTAACAAATTATCAAATTGCACAGTTGAAAAAAAAAATTATCATAACCAATGCTATATGTAAATTTTCCTACGGGGGTTTCCTTGGTATACGAACCTGCCCTGTTCCTATTTGGGAGAAAGAAATGTGATCGGTTTAATAATGGCCAATCACCATCCATTAACTTATCAACTAACAACGGCGATTAAAACTAACGCAATGGAAAGGGAAGTTATATACGTGAACACTGCAGGTCAGTCGTCAGTCACCATATTAACGCGTTAGATAAACCTAATTCAAAGCGCAAACGCGATGCGACGAGGCGCCGACTTGCGCATTGCATATCAATTGGATGGAATACGAGCGCGAGCCGAGCTAAAATACGCGTTGCTTTTGTCACCGAGTAACACATTGTTTTTTGCAGAGATGCGGGTGAATGGGGTAATCTACCACCTCAAGAACGCGCGCAGAATATGGGCAATTTACAACACACCGGAATGCTGGCGCGCTTCGACAACATCCTGGGCAAAGACACAATTCGAACCCTCGAGTATCTGACCTCGGAAATAAAAATGGTTTTCACTCACAGTACCATGGTCGACCGCGTTGCGGCGATGCTCAACTATTTCCTACTGAACTTGGTCGGACCGAATCAAAAAAACTTTAAGGTCTGTAGGCGTCGCCGCTGCGAAATATACTGAAGTAGTCGTTGCAGGTTAAGGACTTTAAGGAATACAGTTTCGATCCGGCCGCCACCGTCTTGGATATTTGTAAAATTTACGTCAACCTGAAGGAAAGCGACTCGTTTTGCCTCGCGATCTCGCAGGACGGTCGCTCGTACAGTCCCCAACTGTTCGAATTGGCCGAAGTCGTACTGGTGAGAATCGGTGGAGGGACGTTAATCGGCGAGCTGCAGGACGTCTCGAAGAAAGTCGAGCGGAAGGCCGCCGAGTACAAGAAGCACGAAATTGCGGTCGCCGAGGCGCCCGACCAGTTCCTGGATCCGATCATGTCGACGTTAATGTCGGACCCGGTCATATTGCCGAGCTCGAGGCAGACCGTCGATCGGTCGACAATTGCAAGGTCCTTACAATATCTCTTAGAGATTGATTTGCCAAGATTGTGTTTGCAGGCATTTGCTTAGTGATCAAACGGACCCGTTCAATCGGGCGCCGTTGTCAATGGACCAAGTCATTCCAAATAAAGAATTAGCTGGTGAAATTAAGAAATGGTTGGATGAGAAGAAATTGAAATTATAAGTTATGTTACTTTCAGTTGTTTATTGTTATTGTTTTTTTCATAGTTTTACACGCTAGCTGGATTGGTAAAATAAATGAATTATTTTCTACCTTCATACGGAGATCCAGTAATTTGATCCAAGTTTCTTTTACCCAAAATCGTCCGGAAACCTTCATTTTCATGCCTACTTTCTGTCAGGAAATTTGAGTTTCCATGATTTCCGGATTCAACGTTGTGCACATTATTTCGGCGTAAGCGGGGAACGCAAGACGTGTTCTTTTGAAGCTGGCGTTATTTCAAGTCCAATTATGATTGGCGATGATTTTGAAAGATCTTGAGGAAGGAGATTATTTTAATTGTGGGTGGTGTTTCGTTCAATACCAACAATAATCCAATAATAAAGGAAGCCTGCTGACGGTTGGAAAGCGCGTACGTTTCTTTACACTATTTATTTTACCCGCCCGATTTGATTAGATGAAGATGTAGTTTGTCATTATTATAATAATGTTGTGTAGCCGTTTGTCCTTTTTATGGAAAAAGTCTGTCAAGTTTAAAAAAGCAAGCAGTTATTCCACCGGGAGACCTTCTGTGATGCAATGGAAATTCGGCATTTTATTTATCAAGTTAACGTTCCTTGTCATCGAGATTTGTGTGTTAAAAAAATTGAAGATCGGAAGCTTTCAGCGTTTGTTAATTGCGAATCTTTGAACGACCAGATTACTAGGATTATTTGAAGAGAAAAAAATGTAATTTCAAGATTTTCTTGTTTTATTTGTCAAACGCATGCGTGCGGGGTCGTATTTCCAAACAAACAAAGCGATCTTTCGGAAATTTTGTTTTAATTTTCATTTCACGTGTTTCGTACTAAATATTTGCCATTGTTAATCAATTAATTGCGTGTTTATTCGAATCCTTTGTGCGACCCGGTTAGTTTTTTTCAGATTTACCTTCCAGATAGGGGTGAATCATCGCATCTACCAGAAGAGCCTTCACCTGGCTAGTGAGAGTCTGCACACATGATTGTATGTGATGGGTTTGGGATGGTGATGTGATGTGGCCCGTGCCTACCCCAGGAATTGCCCCCTCCGCTATGTTAGGGCCAGAATTAGAGATTAAAGACCAGTTACAGACTCAGTATCAACTGGACTCAAACAGTCCAAGGCCTCCTTGGTAAATCTAGGTCTGCTAAAACTCTAAAACCGAATAGAAGCCAGATTAGGAAGATCATCTGTGTCCTCGTGGGGCACTGGATGGTCAACTATCACATTGACCAACATTGCGGCTTGTATTAGGAGCGCCCATGCAGGTTCTATGGCGAGTAGGGAATGCAATCCCGCAGCAAAATCTCAATCCCAATTATATAAAAAATAACTTCTCCGTTATGCGTTTCATCAACAAAGTAAACAGAGTCATCTCCTTGGTCGACAAGACAAATTTCTCAGTCCCGCAAATCCCGCGGGATCCCGCTCCATTTATGTGCGGGATTAATCCCGCAAAAATGCTGCGGGATCCCGGTATTTCGGGATCCCGCGACCCCGTTATTGCATTCCCTATTTGTAGTCTATAACTTTTGATTGAGAAGTCTGATCGAAAAAGTACGAATTGTTTTGGATTCTACGCTCCAAAATTAATAAGAAAAAGTGTTTTCCCGAGAAATTTTGGTGTAGTAAATTTTTGGTAAAAAATGCAGGTTATACACTGCCTTTTTTTGAGGCCCGAAAACAAATTGTCTCAGATCGACTCGGAAAAAAAATTTTCTTATAGAATGCGGCCTGTAGAATCCATAATTTCAAACAGTTCCAAGATTGGGCTACTAGTTAAAAAGTTACAGCCTTTTGAACTTTTTTTCGAAATTTGGTTTTTTTGTCCATAACTTTTTATTGAGAGGTCTAATCGAAAAAGTACGAATTGTTATGGATTCTACGCACAAAAATTAATTAGAAAAAGTGTTTTCCTAAGAAATTTTGGTGTAGTCGATTTTGGGTAAAAAAGGAAGGTTATACACTGCCTTTTTTTTGGCTCGAAAAAAAAATTGTCTCAGATCGACCCGAAAAAAAAAGTTTTTTATAGAATGGGGCCTGTAGAATCCATAATTTCAAACAGTTCCAAGATTGGGCTACTAGTTCAAAAGTTACAGCCCTTTGAATTTTTTTTCGAAATTGGTTTCTAGTCTATAACTTTTGATTGAGAGGTCTAATCGAAAAAGTACGAATTGTTTTGGATTCTACGCCCCAAAATTAATAAGAAAAAGTGTTTTCCCGAGAAATTTTGGTGTAGTCGATTTTTGATGAAAAAAGAAGGTTGTACACTGCCTTTTTTTGACACGAAAAAAAAATTGTCTCAGATCGACCCGAAAAAAAATTTTCTTATAGACTGTGGCCTGTAGAATTCATAATTTCAAACAGTTCCAAGATTGGGCCACTAGTTCAAAAGTTTCAGCCCTTTCTCTTTCTCTTTCGAAATTGGTTTCTATGGCGAGGAAGATGAAACTATCGAGCATGTGGCGCCTTGATTAGAGACAGACATCAGCATCTTGGCGACAGTTATCTGGCACGTAATAATAAATAAATAAATATATAAAAAATTAAAGCGCTACTAGGTTGAGCTCCCCTTGTGAATAGAATATAATTATATGGTCCAGACAGTAAAAAAAAAACACAGAGAATCCGCTCGAAACCGCTACCGACTGCGGGGCTGAGAACGCCGTAGAACAACGGCATTCTAGGCCAAAGTTTGCCGTAAGCAGCGAAAGGTGGAGAGCAGCGCCAAGCCCCGACAACTACTTGAGGGGTGACGCTTAAGCGACACCGGATCGGAGGTAAAGAAATCTATTAAAACGGCAAAAGTGAGATCCATAGAGGAACCAAACACTAAAAGCTTCAGCGATGCAGCTACTACAATGCTACCGAGTCCTCATGCTTCTACGCAGTATTGAGTGGTGCGATGTAGTCTTTTATTTACATGGTGCTACGCAAGTTCATATTTTTAGTTCAGTGGGCAGCCCAGGATCTGGGTGGAAACCTTCAGGTCACTGTATTTAGGTATATCTATGATTTACATATCCTTAAGAGCGCCCTCTATTGACCAGTAGTGCAAACATGTGACGTTTAAAATTGTAAAATGACGGTTATGATTTATGCAGTAGATGTCGCTGCACATTTAAAGCACAAACATTTGTACAATTCGAATGGCTTATTATTAGTATTATTACAGTGATATGATATGATAGGAGGTAAGCTGAACCACCATTGTGTAATTAAACAATGGAGATTCTCATTCGCTTTAAATTTTTTGTAGCGACATCTAATGAATAAATCCATAAGCTTAATTTTACAGTCTTGAAAGGTACACGTTTATACTGCTGCTTAATAGAGGGCGCTTTTAAGTATACCTACTTCCTGCTCATTAAATGCATAAGGTTTGTTGTTTGTGTATATCTGTGGGAAAGGGTAACCGACATGGGTATGGGGCATTGGATGGTCAACTATCCCCTGCATATCATTGGGCTTGTGAAGGAGCTCACATGCAGATTCTTCTGGGGACCAGTTCTCTGTAGAATAAGAAACGGCGAACTAGCTGGCTCGCGAAGGCAGTGGCGGGCCGAGCTTACGCTAGGAATTGTACCCAACGTTGCTGGATGACCGGTCAGTTCCAGACCTAGTGCCAACAAGCAACCGAATGACGGAAAAAGAAATGAAAACCATTTTGAACGAAGAAATACTGGAAGACTGTGGTCAGAGAAAACTTAGAGCTTTACTAGAGGTACCAGCCAAAGGACTCAAGACTTGCTGACACTCAGCACATTTTAATGTAAAATCACAGTTCAGTAGAAATGATATTTATACCGATTGACAGGTCTATTAACGGTGCACTGTAGACCCTCTGCGTAGGGGGTGCCATTGTGAAGCCACATTTTTGTGGCGATGAAGCGGATGAAAATCCTTCATCCAGCAAGAAGAAGGGGAAGAAGAAAAAGACATCTAAAAAGACATAACTGGTGAAGTCGAATTTGAAGAGCACGAATCAGATTAAAATGTTAACAGAAATCAGAACTATAGTTTAAATCACATATAGGTATATCAATTTCAAAATCAATAATCATCATGCCGTAAATACAGTATTTTCCCATAAATATCCTTCATAACAGATCTTGGAGTAGGCCTACCAGGGAAACCACGTTAAAAAAAACCGCGCCCAAGTATACTACCTCGGTGGTGTGGAAATGTGTGTAACTTCTTCAAAGGGCAATAGCTTGGGAATGGTGATTTTTAAAGAAAAAAGCATAAGGATCATTTTTGTAGATCATCTACAACTTTTGTCTGAGCTGCATGTTTCATAAATGGAATGTGGAATGTCTATTTTGACCGGACTAATATAGAAATTTTCAAAATGTAGTAGATGTCGGGATGTGTTAGAGGCGTTGATAAGTGTTTCGAAAGTTAACTTCAACAGTTTCATAAAAGCTTTAGAGGGTTTCGATCCATTTCAGAAAACACGAACTACTTATGTAGCAAATTTTAGAGCTTCGAAATCTTTCAGAAGGTAAAGTTTTCGATGTCCTAGATCATGCCAAACTTTATTAGATAAATTCGTCTTCCAATGGAGCCAAAAATCGTTTTTGTTTTGCTAAGTACGAAATGGGCCAGTATCAAAACTGGCCTCAATCGCTCATCTGATCATAAATGAGTTTTGTAGAGCACGCGCTTCCTTCTACAAGGTTTCTCATAACGCCCGCTAATTGGATTGACGAATTCATTCACCTCGGCCCAAAAGAACTGTTCACGCTCCCCCTAACAGGCCATTAAAGCTAATGAAATACAAAATTGAATCAATGCCGGACTACACTCCGAAGGCCAAACTGTTAGTCTAGCCTTCCAACGTCTATTATCAGTCCAATTACAAACGGGAAGGTCTAATTGTTGAAGAAAGGAAATAATTCCCAGAGAGTACCGTCACTTATCGCGCGTCAGAAATCGATGACTGTAATTTGTGCCATTTCCTCCAATTTATAGTAAATTCTCCAAAAAAAAAAACGCAGCGCGTTGCCATAGTGACGAGGTTTTCGTTGCAAAGGGGGATGGTAATTTTGTTTGCAGATTTTGGGGGCGCGCATCCGATTTCGCCGCTTTAGGTGCTGCTCTACGGCCGAAATTATTATTATTTCCGTTTGCGTTTATATATGCTATAGATTTGGCAATGATTTTGATGAACCCTCGCTAACATTTTGGCGCAGTCGCATTTCATTTTTGTAAAGGAGAAGAGAAATTTACAGGAGTAAAGGAGACGAAGAGGCGCAGCCCGACTAGTTACCTTCGTACATACGCTGCGGGACGCAGCAGCAGACGCGCGGCGTTCATTTCGCGCTCACGACGACGACGTACAATTCCACCTCCCGCTTTATATTTTTAGATTTTACCGGCTAAATTTTCGCCACTGTGCAGTGTTTATTTTTTTGTGCTGTGATTTCCAGGGCGCCTCCGCTGATGAGATTTCGGAATTTTCTTCAGGTTGGTGTCCGATTTTTTTTTAAATTAGCGGCGCGCACTTGCTGCGTTGTCATGTCGAGGTATTTATATTATATCAATAATCGCACAGAGCACGTGCCGTTATGCCGCATTTTTTTTAATGGCAAATTCGCGCTTTTTGCCCACATTTATTATTGTTATTTCACGGTTTCTCTCCTTTCGGAATCTGGCGCGGTCAACCGTAGATATAGTTGGATTTATTTCCACGCGCGTTTTACCTTTACATTTTGTTTAAACCGGAAATTACCGCTTAAATCGAAATCGATTTCGTCGACAGTTTCCAGGGCAACCAATTTTTAATTCATTGAGTTACTTATATTACGTTGTAAGCAGTTATACGACCTTGACCATTGCAGTAACCCTCCAGATTACAAAAAACGTAAGAGCTGTATATGACTCAACCGTGTTGTGTAAGTCTATAATAATGGATTTATTTTGCTTAAATTTACATGAATAAACAATGTTGGTCATAATATTTAAAAATAAACCGTTTATTCTATTTAGGTATTTATTTTTATTTTTCAAGCTCGAAATCAATCAACCGATTTTAAAAAGACGTAAGTACATGCGCACCATTATTTATTGCTTCATCTGTAGCAAATTTCAAATCAACTATGTATAATGGGCGAGCCATGTGCCTTTTTCCCAACAAGATTGGTGCATTAATAACGATTTTGGGCAACATAATGGACGCCAAAATAAAAAATTGCATAACATTAACAATCCATTTTTTGAAAAAAAAAAAATTCTAACACTTATTAAGCTATTCCTATTCGCATGGCCCTTAAGGATCTCTAGAAAAATTCACAATCATTTACTGCCAGTCTGACAGGGTGAAATCTACCCCCCTCCCCCCCCACCCCCCCCCAGGTATAAAACAACTCATATGGCACCCTTAGAAAAAAGGTTTCACATTCTAACAGTTATTAGGTTATTCGCATGGCCATTAAGGATCTCTAGAAAAAGTGACAATCATTTACTGCCAGTCTGACAGCTTGAAATCTAGAGCTGGGCAGTATTCGATTTTGTAAATACTTTTTAGTATTCAAATCCTTTAAAGTATTCAAATACTTTGTAATTAAATACTTTTATGGACGCAGTATTTGTATTTGTAACTCAAATACTTTCACAAATATTTAGTATTCGAATACTTCGCAAGGTATTTGAATACTTTGAGAAGTATTCGAATACTTCGCATAGTATTTGAATACTTAACCTTTCTATTTTTATCAAAAATCGACTACTCCAAAATTTCTCGGGAAAACACTTTTTCTTATTAATTTTGGTGCGTAGAATCCAAAACAATTCGTACTTTTTCGATCAGACTTCTCAATCAAAAGTTATAGACTAGAAACCAATTTCGAAAGAAAATTCAAAGGGCTGTAACTTTTGAACTAGTAGCCCAATCTTGGAGCTGTTTGAAATTAGGGATTCTACGAGTCAAATTCTATAGGAAAATGTGTTAGAATGTGAATCCTCTTTTCTAAGGGTGCTACATGGATTCTTGTTATTGTGGTAGATTCCAGTTATTGTGAGACACTTTGGAGGTAGATTTCACCCTGTCAGACGCGTAACCGACGTCCCTGGACGCTCGTTCATGCTCGGCATTTTGGCTGCTAGGTTTTTGGCATGAAGAATAACTTTAATTGAAAAACGGTTGTGTATATTCTACTTAATTGTAGAGGGTGTAACATTTTCGACACTATTTATGGGGCTCCTATCTCCGTAAAAAGCAATACAGGCGTCACGTGCTCTTTTTGAATCAAACCTAAAATGGTAACCTCAAAATTTGAAACCATTCGTTCGATTAAGAGATCCGGGGGAAAATCAATAATTGTCAATTTTCTTAGCATATTCAATTCTATTTTCAAAAATATAACAGGCTAGGACGAGGCTAGGTATGATATTCAAAAAAGATTCAAAAATATTTTTAAAAAAGGTTCAAACTATTAAAAAATACAAAAAAATTCAAAAACATTTTTGCATTTTTTTAAAACCTTTTCAACTAATTTTGAATTTTTTTGATTGTTTGAAAAGAGAATTTAATGCGCTGTCTTTTTAGAATAAAATTTACAGCGTGTTTCTTTTGTAATAAACATATTTCTGCACCTCTTTTAACTAAGAAAATATAAGGTCATTCCGAGATTGACAATTTGTCTATTACTTCCCAGCGAATATTTTCAAATGTTTTTTTTTACTATTTTAAGTTTGATCCCAAGAGAGCACATAAAGTCTGTAAAAGTGTCAAAAATGGGACACCCTCTCCGTGGATTCGTTATACTTGAGGTTACAATTCTGGAACAATACGTCTCTATGTAGAAATTTTAAATGGCCGACACGGACTGTTTGTAGAATGAGACAGATACACAGCTCTGTCCTAATCTTGGTAGAATGAAGTAGAATTGCGTGCTTGAATCGACAAGGTGGCGGTGGAATTTTACTAGCGCAATATTGAGAAAATCCAAAACTATGCGGTTTCCACCAAGGAATATCGATGTAGAAAGCAAGAATCAGATAGGTAATAATGAAGAAAAGAGTAAGGCAGACGTAAGAAGCCTAAAAGATGATTATTCGAAGTACATGCGCCGAAAAAAATTAAGAAAATTTCTGCACGACCTCGTGCGGCAAAACAAAGAAATATTATAAGAAATTCTATTACACTTGGATGGCATCTAGTGGCAAAAATAAAGAACTAGGGTAATAACAAATTTACTACAGCATTAACTTACAAAGGGAATACCTAGATGGCGGCTTCAAGAAATATCGTTATTGTTTGAGATAAAAAAAAGTACATAATTAGAATGCATGAGTTTGTGTAGATTGACTTATGAAAACAATTGAAACCGTTCGACGAAGAGCTGGCGATCCCGCGGATTATGTAGGTTTAACTAACAATTGGTAATACTTTCTCTGAAAGGACCGTTGCGATTCCTTTATTCGGCAGTAATTTGATTCAATGAAAATTATACCGTAAGCACTTATTTCTTATTGTATACCAAGATCTAACTGTTCAATATCGATTTGATTGCTTCATGCTTGATTAATATAATTCTATCGTTTCCTGTTCTGTGGATCACGAGTCCCTTTGAACTATATAAAAAATGGCGATGGAGTGGCGTTCTCGGGTTACTCGGAATTGCAAATTTCTGCTCCAATTCGCGCTTGGGATGATCGCCTCGAAAGCAACTGGACGCTCTAGAAACTCAAATAAGTCCTTCGTGTCGTTTGCGTTTACAATTAGCGAACCGTCTTCGTTTACGACAAAGTAATTTAATTAGCCTCCGACAAGGTTGGCGAAATCGATCCGCGTGCCTACATCCAATTACGCAATTGAATCGTCGATTTTTATCTGTGAGCGTAAAACGACGCTAAATTATCCCTTTTTTCGTCCTCGATTCGCCTTGACATTTACTCTTTGTGTATTTTAAAATCGATTTTACCTGGACAAGGTTGAAAAGTCACACCGCGAGGGGTTGGTATTGGATATGGGGCTGAAAACGCTTCGTCACAAGATGGAATGATTAACCCCGACTTTATGCCACGATGATAAATTCGTCTAAAAGTTGACGTGACATCACAATGTATGCAAAAATAGCTCAATTAAACAATTCAAATGAGGAACATGTAAATTAGACGGACGAATCTGACACCTTCGTTAATCTACGTACGTTTTTAGCAGAAGTCAAGGTTTCGCCCACTTTTGCAACTATCATCATCATTCGAAGCAGATTCGAAATACGAAATGGTATAGGTGTCTTTTAGCATTTACATTGACCCACTTTCCGTTCTGATTATTTTTTAAATTGACAATGACACGGTGCATATTGGATTACATTACGGTCTAGAGTTTCACGAGCAGAAAGAAAACGGCAGTTCTTCCTGATGGATAATAATAGTAATTGACAGAGACTGTCGAGGACTTGCTCTTCCCAGTGGACAACTTCGATCAATCATAATAGAAACCAAAATGTTCAACTTATCCTACTAATTCCCAAAGAGTCCCAATTTATCAATTTGCAAAATCTGCCCCCTACAGGTCGTAAACCAAGGTGGTTCGGAAATAGCAAAAATATTAATTACGGCTATAAAGAAGCATTAAAGCTCGTGCCACGACACACGCACCTTGTAACGACCCTCATTTACGGTATTGATTGAATTCTTGTGCTATATTTGAATGGATTTTTTACGATACGAAAATAATTTTTACCCATAACTTCAGTACAAAGAAAAAACCGTTTGGAAAAGGAAACTAAAATATGAACGTTTTCAGGGCAGTAGACGAGCAGAACATACTGTATAACAATTAATGTACTATAACGTAACGTTAGATTCGAAGTCAATTATGTTTTAAATAAAAGTAAAAGTTTTATCTCTGGTCGCAGATAAGATGTTTTGTTATCGCTGCGTAAACTAATTAGTTTCAAGATAAGAAAACACAAGTGCAGTTGATGGTTCAAAGTCGCGTTATTCGTTGCTCTTTTTGTGGTGAACATAAATTGTTTCTTGTTTCATAGTGGCTTTTGGGGAGGCAATCTTTTTGTCTCCCCACATGGGAACGCTGAAACGCAACCACTAAGTATTTTGGTGATTGGCAGTTTTGCCGTTGTTTGGGTGTATTATTCGAAAGACAGTCAGTCTTTATAATCGTAAAGTTCTTGTTATAGAAGAAAGTTAGTTGAAGAGAGTTGTGATAAAGGTGAATGCTTGAGTCAAATTAAAGAAGTAAAGTTCCAAATTTTGTTTGTGCATCACTTATTTTGAATCATTCACACTTTAAGTTAATTAAGATTTATTTAATCAATGTTTCCTATCAATCGTGTGTTGCGTGGCATTTGTCTTCTGACCCTGAGTGCCTATATTTCTTTCATATTTTATTGATGCCGAGTTCCGTATGATATAATTTCGTAATTCGAATGAAGAGGGACGCTAAAGAAAAAAGAGAGAGGGAGAGATGCCATATTGCAAACTTAAGCTATAAAAAA